CGTTGCGGTTGTAGTTGCGGGAAATGAAACTAGGTTTCGATAAGATATGCCCGTGATTTAAAGCTTTTCGGTCGCATTTGGAATGGATCGACGCGTCGCGGTCGCGTTGCGATTATAGTTGCGGAAAATGACAATAGATTTTGATAAGCTCCGCCCGTGATTTGAACCTTTTGGCCGCATTTGGAATGGATCGACGCGTCGCGGTCGCGTTGCGGTTATATTTGCGGAAAATGAAATTAAGTTTCGATAAGATATGCCCGTGATTTGAAGCTTTTGGTCACATTGAGAATGGCTCGGTGCGTCGCGGTCGCGTTGCGGTTATAGCTTTGGTTTTTTTCGACAGCTCTCCTGAGATTTATCAGAGCATCGCCCATATTTCCCCTCTTCATACTGACCTCCTCCAAACCGCGACGCGTTGAGCCATTCCCAATGCGACCAATTTTTTTTCGTAGGGTTCAATTCGACTGTAGAAACTCCAAAAATAGAAGCGAGGGCGAAAAAAGAGATTTTTGCAAAATATGTTTCTTTGGAGTCGTGAAGTTGAATTAGATCAACGACGCGACATCCGATTCTGATTGAATTTCCGGCTGAAGATTTTTTGTGATTATTCGTGTCAGGCCGCATTTTAAAGATTTTGGAAGACGTCGCAGTGTCTTTGTTTTGACAGGAAATCCCGGTGATTCGATTTTTTGCTAACTTAGATTTTAAAGGCGCATCCGATCTAAGGTCTCGAAGCGAAAAGACTTTTTTGCTTTATTAATGTTTTTATAAGACTTCTGCGCTTATGGAGAAAGTATATTCATGTTTTGATATTTTCGGGTTGATTTAAAGGCACATGGGTAGTGGAATTTAAGGGTCTTATGAAGAAATTCTGAAGATGTGCATTTTTAGTCATATATTTAATTTTTCCGTGTAGAAATTTCAAAGAATGACGCTTGTATTTTGGCAAAGTCGGAATGGTGGATAATGGCCGCTTAGAGGCTCGAAAAAGGCTGCAAAAAGGCTGCAAAAATGCTGTAAAAAGGCTGCAAAAATGTTGCAAAAAGGCAGCGAAAAGACTGCAAAAAGGGCACAAAAAGAGTCCCTTTATCGAGCCTTCCATTTTTCTGGTATTCTAAAGGCTCAAGAAAGGTGGAAAAAGGGACAGGCTGCAAAAAGGGTGAATTAAAGCCGATAAAATGGCGCAAAAAGGCAGCAAAACAGGAACCTTTCTATGGAGCCTTTTCCCACCTTTTCCGACTTTGCCTCCCAAAATGGCTCGATTCTTGCTTATCAACTCAAAAAATTTGAAATTTCAAGAAATCTGTAAGAATTTCAAAAAAATTTTTAGTTTATCCTGAAATAAATGTATATAGGAAAAGTGCAATTAACCCTTTCCAGGAAAAATCATCCAAAGTTCAAAAAAATGAAAGTCTATCCTTGATAAATTTGTTTATGTTTCGAATAAAAAAAGTCACATGAAGATAATCGAATCTTGCAAAAAAATGGGGCGCTTCTTTCCTGTCTGGAAACTTTGCAACTAAAAAATTTTTTTTTGATAATTTTAGCGAAAAATATTTGTTTCAAGTCTGGGGATGATTCAAACTTGTGATTTTCTTGGAACGACGTAGGCATTCAGAAAATTTTTGAAGCCTAAAATTAGTTTTTTATGGTGGGTTTTTGTCAAAATAGGTAGTCAAATGCTTATTTTAATGACTAAAAATGAAAATTCAACCGTTTTTCAAAGAAATTGGTTCAAACTAGACATTTTTTTGGGACCTTATAGGGACTACTTTAAAAAAACCCCTATAGGGGCCACTAAAGCTTGCAAAAGTGGTTCTTATAGGGACAGGCTAGTCGATAACTTTTATGACCTCTATCGTTGCGGAAAGAAAAAAACATTTTTTTAAATAAAAAAATTGAACGATCCCTATAGGGACCACTTAAGCTTCAGGGGCTATCAGATCCTAAACCCCTATAGGGACCACCTTGTTTTGACCCCTATAGGGACCATTTTTTCGGTCCCTATGAAGGACCTTTTTCCCCATACCCTTAAAGGGACCACTCTGAAATTCCTAAAAAAGACCCAAATAATAATAAATTTCCTACCTGACCTTTCCAAATATTATTCCATAGAACTGACAAAAAAAAAACTAGTTTCCTATTATTTTTAACCTTCTCAAAAATTAGCACCCACAAGTCGAGAAAAAGAAAAGTTAATTTCACGATGGAGCGCAAATGCTTTCCGCATCACAGCCTCATTCAATTTCGACTCAAAGTTCACTTGCAACCATATATAATTTCATTACACTTTTTATAGCTTTCCCCTTTGAGATCTTTTGCAAAATGAGGAAAAAAATGACTCGAGTTTTAGTATATTTCTTGTTTTTCAATGTTCATTGAAACTTTAGTAGGATTATACTATTTGGCCGAGTTTCTCATAAATAAATCACTAAAATTCCTTTCCAGTATTGAAATTTAACCATTTTGAAAGTTCTCACAAGTCCTCAAACAGAGCAAAAAAATGGTCGCATTTGGAATGGCTCAACACGACTGAGCTGCCCCCGACCTGATACGGTTCGCGCCCTCGAGCATTGCAAAGCTTTAATTCTAGACTTAGGAATCTCAGAGTGGTCCCCATAGGGGTTAGAATGGAAAACAGCCCCTATGGAGGTAAAATTAAAGTGGTCCCTATAGGGGTTCAGCGGCTGACTGACTCCCTAGCCCCTACAGCTCAAGTGGACCCTATAATGGTCTTCTAATTTCATTTAAAAATGCTTATTTGTTCAGTTTTCCCATGGAAATGCTTCTAGGCTTAGAGTTCATACCAATTATCGATTAGCATGTCCCCTGTAGGGACCACTTTGACAAGCTTTAGTGGCCCCAATAGGGGTTGATAATGGGGGTCCCTTTAGGGACCACTATGGAGCTCCCAAGGGCCAAATTTCAATTCACCTCTGTACTGCTACGCGACCGCGTCGTTTTGAGTCATTTTAAGTGCCGAAAAGGTGATTTCTCTTCCCTCAAGTGACCACTTCAACTTCTCCACAAGCCAAATTTCAAAGAAAGTGTCATTTTTTGGAAATTTCCGAACCTTCTCTTTTTTTTTAAAATTGATTCCGGAACAAATATTTTCCAATTATTTTACTCCTCCGTAAATTCTTCTTCCTCTTTCTAACATAAAAGAAAAAAATTAACCCCGATTTTTACGCCTTCCAATCAAGAAAAGCTCATAGAAGCTTTTCTGCGAAAATTTTTTTATGGCCACTATAGGGTTTTCACGTTTTAGTGGCCAACGTAGTAGTCAAGTTAGTGGCCACTCAAGGGGTTAAACATTTGTGGCCACTATAAAGGTCTAAGTGCTACTTCTGGACCAGAAAAAGTTTAGTGGCCACTTTAGGGGTCAATGGATCGACACAACTGGTCCAATCTTTTTGTTTAAAATTATCAGAGTTACTGGAAGGAATACTGGATGAAAAACTACTAAAGTGGCCACTAATAATAGAACCTCTAGAGTGGCCACTAAAACGGAAAATAGTGGCCACTATAGAGGTGGGTTTAGTGGCCACTCTAGTGTCCTCTCCACGTAGTCTTTGGCGAGCCTCTATAGTGGCCACTAAAAATTTTCCCAGTTTTTCAAAATAAAAAAAACCATTTTTTTCCCGCAAACTACATACGAATAGCTCCATTTCGTGACACCTTTTTAATGTGTGCGGAAATTGGATCTTTTACGTCATTTGATCTTTTCTATTTATTTATCATTTGGTCAGAAATGCCGAAAATCACTTCTGTTTGAAAAATTGTCGATTTTTTGTGAATTTTCCTGAGGTTAAGCTGTTTAAACAATTTATTAATTTGAGCGAAAAAATGGCAAAATTTACCGTGAATCATAGAAAGACGAGGAAGAGATTGTCATCAATATAACTTTTGTATTTGTAGTATTTTTTGTTGGTTTTCCGGCCACCTTTGGCTGATTTTTCTTAGAATGTCTTTTTTTGTGCGATTGGGAGTATATAAAATCAAAACTTCCCTATATCGGTTTGACAGTGTTAAATAAAGTTCCTACGCTTTCTCGAGGCTAAATTTGTGTCTTAATCATTTTTTTTTTCCGACACTCCACTTGACGCATATTATGAAAATTTTCCGACACTCCACTTGACGCATATTATGAAAGATTTCCGACACTCCACTTGACGCAACCATTTTTAATCATAAAATCCTGTTTTTTACTTTTTGAATCCAAAGTAGCTTTAAATCTGACACCCTAAGCTTGCATTTTGAGATCCATCAAAATGCGCCCGACTCAAACCGACTCACGCTCTGTCATATTGGAAAGCATGGCTGTAATTCGGCCAACAGCGCTTTTGATAGTTTTGAATGATACTCTAACGCTTTCTCGAAGCAAAATTTGTGTATCAATCTTTTTTTTTTCCGACACTCCACTTGACGCAACCATTTTTCATCATAAAATCCTGTTTTTTACTTTTCAAATCCGAACTAGCGTTCAATCTGACACTTTATGCTTGTGTGCGCAGTTCCATGAAAATGCGCCCGACTCAAACCGACTCTCGCTCTGTCATATTGCAAAGCATGGCTGTAATTCTGCCAACAGCGCTTAGTGAAGAAGGAAGCATATAGTCGGTTTTTTGCGACTTGAAAGAACCGGATTTCTCTGCGCCCTCCTTATCTCTCGACGTCTCTCTCATGTTTACATGCTATTTCCATGTTTCTCTAACCTCGCCGGTGAGGGAACATGAGATCCATCGCAACGCGCCCGACTCAAACCGACTTACGCGCTGTCATATTGGAAAGCATGGCTGTAATTCTGCCAATAGCGCTCTTGATAGTTGTGAATGAAACTCCAACGCTTTCTCGAAGCAAAATTTGTTTCTCAATCTTTTTTTTTTCCGACACTCCACATGACGCAACGAAAAACGCAGACCCGCGAAAACTGTCAAGACGCGCCGTTCCAACTTCCAGACACTTTTTTGGAAAAAAAACGTTTATTAGAACGAAAAAAATCAGCCACTGCACCGTCCACAAGTCCTGGGGCACTGCTGAGTCATCAAAGAGAGATAAACGGGATTATTACAAAGATTGGCGTTGGCGGTGCAGTCCGACCTTCCAGTTGACGGGTTGACTTTGTCGACGCAAGTGCTGCTGGCTGTAGTGATCCTTCTAGTGGTCGAGGTCACCACTGAAGAACATCTTCCGCAAGTCCTCGGGCATTGTTGCGTCATCAGAGCGAAGTAAGTCGGGTTGTTGCAAAGACTGGCTCGGGCCGCACATTCCGACCTTCCAGTTGACGGGTTGACTTGGTCGACGCATTGGCTGGCCGCTAAGCTGACTAGAACACTTGCGAGAAGGAATCGGAACATTTTGATTTGATTTTATCGAAAATCGAGGCTTTTTATACGGCCTGGAGACCCCGGAAGTTGTAGATTTGTTTGAACAGGTTTATGGCAAGGAATTTCGTCAGTCTGACTAATTGGAATGCTATAGTCTACTCAATATCAGCTTAAAACGGACAAAATTCAAGCATTTTCTACGAAATTTGAAAAAAAAATAATATACGACATTTTTCAAAACAAATGAAAAAATCTGAACGCTTGACCTTTCAGTCAAAAATTTGAAAAAAGGAGTCTTTTTCTTCATTTTTTCGTGTCATTCGGATTGAAATTGGCTTTTCTTGTAATTGATTTTGTAATTTTTTCAAGTCTACTCGATCAAGAAGAGCTTTCTGATTAGGAACTCCAAAGTGGTTCCTACAGGGGCTCTTGGAGGGTCCTCTCTAGGGACCACTTCACGAGCCCCTAAAGGGACCTCTGAAGGTTGAAAGAGGTCCCTGTAGGGATTTCAGTTAGTGACCCCTATAGGAGACTTGCTAGCCGATAATATGCGAAAAACTACATAAATAAGAGTTTTTTGAAAAAATTGAAAGACCCCTATAAGGACCACTTAAGCTTTAGGGGCTAAGGGGTCAGATCCTAAACCCCTATAGGGATCATCCTGATTTTACTTCTATAGGGACCTCTTTTCGGAGTCTGTAAGAACTGTTTTCCCCTTTACCCCTATAGTGATCACTTTTCGGCCTCTTTAGGAACTTTTTTTCCCCTTTACCCCTATAGTGATCACTTTTTGGGCCCCTATAGGTGCTGTTTTTTTCTTTAAACCCTATAGGGATCCCCTTGGTTTCACCCCTATAGGGATCACTTCTTCGGCTCTAATAGAGACTGTTTTCCTCCTAACCTCTATAGTGATCACTTTTTGGGCCCCTATAAAGGCTTTTTATCCTGCTAACCCCTCTAGGGATCACTCTAAAATTCCTAGTGGGTGTAAATAAATAAAAAAGATTAATTTTAACTTTCTATTTCAACTTTTAATATTTTTTTCCGGGTCAACAAAAGCATTCTTAGGCTCATAAATTCCTATAACTATCCGATTAATTTCCCCAAAAGACGCACTTCCTTGGAACCAAAAGGAGATAAACTTTTTTCTGCGTCAGCCTGAGAAGATTATCAAAGTTGTGACTAGTTTCTACACACTCACACATATTTGTGAAAACACGGCCAAATGAATGAATGAGTCAACGCCCTTTTCTGAGAGACAGAGGATGAATCTTCTTCCTCGTATGAGGCCACCCATGTTTATAAATCCCTATAAGGATATAAGCTCTTTTCATTACCCTCGTTTTTCCCATGTTTTCTTGTCCTTTTTTGGGAGTTATTTGGATTTTTCCGAGCTTTCAGTCTTTCTGAGTTTTTGAAGTCTTCAAGAAAATTTTGAGTGGCCACTATAGAGGCTCGCCAAGGACTACTTGGAGAGAACACTACAGTGGCCACTAAATAGGAAATCTCTATAGTGGCCACTATTTTCCGTTTTAGTGGCCACTTCAGTAGTTTTTCATCCAGCATTCCTTCCAGTAACTCTGATAATTTTAAAACAAACAGATTGGACCAGTTATGATGATCCATTGACCCCTAAAGTGGCCACTAAAATTTTCAGTGGTCAAGTAGTAACACTTAGACCTCTATAGTGGACACTAATTTTTAACCCCTCAAGTGGCCACTAATTTGACTACTATAGTGGCCACTAAAACGTCAAAACCCTATAGTGACCACTAAAAATTTTCCCAGAGGTCGATTCATTCTCACAGATAAAGACGATGAACTTTGTCGCAGAAAATGCGGTTTTTGGGTCAATTTCAAGCTTTTTGAGCCCCTTTTCATAAAATGTATTTTCCTTGAACTACACTGTCCTTTTTAACCAGAAAAAAAGAAGTATAAAAAGAAAAATGTACGTAATATTAATTCACCTGTCCTATGAACCTGCCGTTCAAAAGTTACCTGTGTGAATTAATCGACCTTTACTACCTAATTTGACGAAAAAACCGAAAAAAGCTAATTTTAGACTTCAAAAAATGTCTGCCTACGTCGTTCCCAAAAAATCAGAAGTTCGAATAAACTCCAGACTCCAAACTAATATTTTCGCTAAAATCTGCGAAAATTTTAAGTGGCCTCTATAGGGTTTTGACGTTTTAGTGGCCACTATAGTAGTCAAATCAGTGGTCACTTGAGGGTTGAAAATTAGTGGCCACTATAGAGGTCTAAGTGCTACTACTTGACCAGAAAAAAAAAAATTATAGTGGCCACTTTAGGGGTCAATGGATCAACATAACTGGTCCAATCTGTTTGTTTTAAAATTATCAGAGTTACTGGAAGGAATACTGGATGAAAAACTAGTGAAGTGGCCACTAAATAGAGAGCCTCTATAGTGGCCACTAAAACGGAAAATAGTGGCCACTATAGAGGTGGGTTTAGTGGCCACTTTAGTGTCCTCTTCAAGTAGTCCTTGGGGAGCCTCTATAGTGGCCACTTCCCAGTTTTTGGTCGAACGGCAACTTTTCAGCTCTACCAAATAACTTCTTGGTTCAATCCCGTTCTCGGTTTTTGCAAAAATTTCCAGGAAATGTTTACAACTTTAACTCAGACAAACATCAAAAAGAAACATTTTGTAAACAAAAAAAAAATCATTGTGCGTAAGCACAAATTGCACCTGCTTTTTGAACTCCGCCCTTTGTCATGAAAAGGTCTATTTATTCCTTATTGTCCTTTTCTCTAAGGAAATGGCCGTAAAGTCAAATTTTTCCGATTTTTGTCTGGAGGCTAAAATTTCCGGTTTTCTCGAAACCTGAAATCGACTTTTTGTGTCAAATTTCAAATTTCCAACTTATATTTTCATGTAGTGGCCACTGTAGAGGCTCGCTAAGGACTACTTGGAGAGGACACTCAAGTGGCCACTAAACCCACCTCTATAGTGGCCACTTCAGTAGTTTTTCCTCCAGTATTCCTTCCAGTAACTCTGATAATTTTAAAACAAACAGATTGGACCAATTATGATGATCCACTGACCCCTATAGTGGCCACTAAAATTTTTAGTTGTTTAGTAGTTGCACTTTGACCTCTATAGTGGCCACTAATTTTTAACCCCTTAACAAGGCCACTAATTTGACTACTTTAGTGGCCACTAAAACGTCAAAAGCCTATAGTGACCAAAGTTTTTCCAGTATGTGACTTCCCTGCTTACTTGAATCTACAGAACTTTCCTAAAACCATGGATTTTTCAGCTTTTTTCATCGTTTTTCGGTGGTATGAAAAAAAAGCCAGCGAATTTTCAAGCGGCGACTTTTCCGATTTTTTCATATCGCTAGGGAACTTTCCGACGGCTACCTTTCCGACGAATATTTTTTCGACTTTTTTTCTCGATAAACTCTTCGTTTTAAATCTTCCTATATAAAGTAGGTGGTTGGTTCATGATTAAAAACACAAAAATGGGAAAAAAATGTTTATAGATGTTTTACAAACTGAAAACTATAAGGGAAAAAAGTCGGAAAAGTTTCGTCGGAAAGGTGGCCGTCGGAAAGTTCCCTAGCGATATGAAAAAATCGGAAAAGTCGCCGTTTGAATTTTCGCTGGTGGTTTTTTCATACCACCCATTTTTCAAAACAAAAATCCAGTGGATTCTCGTCATTTCTGAGGATCGTAGAACTTATTTTATTTTCCAAAAAACTCGCTCTTTTCCTTTCTCACCAATTTCAGCTCGATAAATTAGAAAATTTTCCACTTTTTTCCAGGTAACAAAAACGAAAAGCGCCGTGTGACGTCATCTGCCGGCCAGCGATTTCATTGTCCCTAAAATGGCCACTTGCAATTTGTTTCAGTCGATTTTGTTTGTCGCCTTGGCTTCATCGACTCTGGTCGCCGCTTTTATCGTTCCAGGTATGATTTTTGGTCAAGGGAGCCCTTAAGGGGTTATAAATATATTTTTAACCGTGGAGCACACTTTCACTAATTTTCAGAGTTAAATAATTTTTTTTCGAGTAAATGTTCCTGTAATATATGTCTATTGAGATGAAGGATCAAAGTCGGCTATTTTCAAGTCTTAAATGCGCTCCATTGATAATTTTCGAATTTTTCAAATTTCCAGCCAACGCGCCAAACCGACTACGACAATGGCGGTTTCTCCGGCCGGACCTTGTGGATTTTAACCTTCAATTGGCTTCGACTGATGTGAGTTTTAATTGAGTCTGAACTATAAGAAAAAACTGAAATCAGCTGATCTCTCTTCTTAGGGATTTTTGAGTGATCCCTGTAGGGTTAAAAAGATAAAAAGCTCCTCCAGGAGCCGAAAAAGTGATCCCTATAGGGGTAAGATCAATGTGGTCCCTATAGGGGTTCAAGGTCTGATTCCTTAGTCCCCAAAGCTCAAGTGGTCCGTGTAGGGGTTAGGGAGATAAGCAGCCCTCTTAGGAGCCGAAAAAATGGTCACTATAGGGGTAAAGTCAAGGTGTTTATTTAGAGGTTTACGGTGTGATTCCTTGGCCCCTAAAGCTCAAGTGGTTCCTGTAGGGGTTAGGGGGACAATCAGTCCCTCTAGGGGCCGAGAAAGTGATCTCTATAGGGGTAAAATCAAGGTGGTCCATGTATGGGCTCAAGGTCTGATCCCTTAGCCCTCAAGTGGTCCCTGTAGGGGTCTTTTAATTTATTCAACAACGCTTGTTAGAAGGTCCACTCCAAAGACCCTTAAGGTTGCCCCTATAGGGACCACTCTGGAGTTCCAAGGGTCTCACTCTCAATCTCCGAACACTTACTGAGATTTTAAGACAATTTTTAGAACTCTTCATATATACCGCCGCGCGCAAGTAGTTCCCAGTCCGGCGCGCCTGAAAATTAAAAGAGCCATTTTATACTTTCTATGAAAGTTCAAATATTAATAATTTGTTAAATTTATCATTTTCAGCCCCGTTCAAAACGCGAAATGGATCATGAAGCGTTGGCCGTCGACAATTTGGACGAACTGAATAAAAGGACAAGCTTGAAACGGCTCGTTTACCTGTCGGCTCGTGGTTTCGGCCGTCGTTGACCTCTCACCTGACTCATTGTGATACTGATTAATGGATAATGTTGTAGAGCTGATTCTCGTGAAAACTTTGCGGTTTTTTTGATTTTTTCGCTTTTTCCTTTTGTCGTACAAACCTTTGCCAAAGCTAACTCAGAAAAATAAGTATTCTGTACAAAAATCGTGGTCTCCTGCATTCGTTTACGTGTGATGGAATAAATTATTTTGTTGATCTCGGAAAAAAAAAACGTGAAGTTGGCTCAATTGAGCCATCGAAAAAAGGTCCTGACACGATAAAAAAAAAAGAGATAGCGTGGGGTTAGTGGAGAGCGCAGACAAGCCACAATTCTTCCAAGTTAGCCATGAATGGACTATGAGAAAGGTCTCGAGACGAAGAGCATTTTTTCAAGTTCTGACGTCTCAAGAATAAGAAAGGCACTTGAAAGCTTCATTTTTCATGATACAGAAAATGAAAGTTTGTCTTCTTCTTTCAGTTTATCGCTCGAACAAGAACAGAACATATTCATTCATTTGCTGATTTGCTGGATTTTCCGGACTTTCGAGAACTTGCCGACTTCTCTGCCTTTTCTTTCAGGAATTTTTCCTTGGCCGCCAAAAGGCCTTTTTTCTCGCTCGACTTCTCTTTTGATGTCTCCTGTAAATTCTTTATTTGAAAAGAAAGATGAATTACTGAGGATTTCCAGAGTGGTCCCTATAGGGGCAACTTTTACCAACCCCCTATAGGGGGCCCCTGAAGCTTGCAAAAATGTCCCTAGGAGTTTTAGTTTGTAGCCCTGAAACTAAGAGACCCTATAGGGACCACTTAAGCTTTAGGGGCTACGGGTCAGACTCTAAACCCTTTTAGTGACCACCTAAATTTTATCCCTATAGGGGCCACTTTTTCGGCTCCTGTAGACGTTGTTCTCAGCCTTAACCCCTATAGGGACGTCCTTAATTTTATCCCTATAGGGACCACTTAAGCTTTAGAGGGTAAGGAGTCAGATTCTAAACCCCTATAGGGACCATTTTTCGGCCTCTGTATGGACTGTCTATGTCCCTGACCCCTATAGGGACCACTCTAAACTCCTGAGCAATTTACCTTATGTTTATCGACCGGTTTTTGGAGGTCGACCCAATCGGCGCCAACGTTTTCAAACTAAAAATATTCATTTTCAAGGCCAAAATATTTTTTCAAGCTCACATCGAGCAAGCTGTATTGAATATCGTCTCCCAAGTTTTTGATCATTAGACGCCTTGCCACGACTGCGCTGATTATGAAGATACCTTTGGAAAAGCCTTTTTTCTTTCTAAGTTCTTTAATCTCACCTGAAATCAATGTCAAACCGCCCGAAATCGCCAGAAAAATGACCCAAAAATGGATATACCAGTGGCCAGATTGAGTGTAGATGATGAGCTGGAATTTTTTTCTACTTTTGGATTTTTATTTTATTTTGTGCAACCTCGAACGATTCAACAGTTGTGATAAGAAAAGTTAGGTCGAAGAGAAGCTGAAGAGCCGTCATGGTTAAGAAATGGTTTGGAAAGAAGACACGTTTTTTTTATTTTTATGATTTTTTTCATGGCTTCAAACTATTTAAAACTAAAATTTTGATTATTTAAAGGTTGTTTCTGGGTACTGTAGAAACATTTTCTGTAAACATTGTGTAGGATGTATTTTAGATCCTACGGTACACGGCGTTCCCAAACAAGGTGGCGAGGCGTCAAACTTTCTGAATTTACAAAAAAAATTTAGTGCGCGCTACGGATAAAATGCACTGAGTATCAAACTTTAATAACTTGTTTTTTTCGATCGCCTTGGGCTGTGAACTGTAGATTTCAAATTTCGGGCCAAATTTTTTTTTTTTTTGACGTCTCCCACCCCGTTTGGGAACACCGTGCGGTAATAAGAACCCTCAGAATGAATTTTCAGTAGATCTGAGCACAGATTTGGAATCGGGGTGAAGTTCTGATCAAGATTGGTATTCATTTTGATCTGAGTGAACTTTGAACATACTCTACTGGCTTTAACCAAAATCTCAATCACGGCGTTTTTTTTGGAGACGCCTACATTTTTTTCCGTAAAGTGTATTGTGTCATGTGCATACACTTCGGCGCTCTCGCACATGCCGCGTTCAAAGATATTTTCACGTAATTCAAAAATCATATCGGAATTTCTGAAATTCAGTTATATTTTTTTCACTCTCTGGTGGCTATTTTGAATTTCGCGGAACTATTTTTCAATACGGCATGTGTTTTAAAAAGAAATAAAAACAGAAAAAAATCGCGTTTTAGTGTTTTTTTAAGAAACTTTTGTATTTTTTTAAATAGAAACGGAACATGCTTCACAACGAAAAAAATCGGGTTCACCGGCGCGCCAAAGTTGCTCCAAAAAAACTAATTTTTTTGTTTGGAAGCAATTTTTCGTTTTGTCCGATGAACACGCCATAAATATAAATTGAACCGTGTGCTTCTTTTTTCGTATTATTTCTTTGACTGTTTCGAAATTTTTTCTTTATATTACAGACACTGAGAATCCCAATGGCTTCCATACTATAGCCACCAGGAAATGGCTTGACAGACGGATGAGTCGAAACCGGAAACTTTGGAACTTCTCATTGTCCACCGGCAGTGTCTGGACAATTACCGACCGCCTCTTGTAGGTCAGTTGGCCACTCGCTTTCGTCTTCAAGTTATTTTCCTCACTGTTTTCCCTTTCTTGTTGCTTTCTGAACAAATAAATACATTCAGGAATAATTTCGTGTTTGGAGAAGTCATTTTTGCGTAGGGTTTCGAATTTTCTATAAATTTTCTCAAAAAATCTTCGAAAATCGATCCCCCCATAGTCATCTGCCCAAACTTTTCGTTTTGGAGATGATTTTTTAAAGTTTTTGTCCAGAAACAAGTGTTTGGAAGGAATCTATGCGCGCCACAAGCCATTGCACAACAGCTAGGTGCATGGCGCAGTGGCTAGCGCAGTAGCTTGTGATGCCTACGATGAGGGTTCGAATCCTTCCGCCGCCATCGTTTTTTGCCATTATTATTTTGACGGATTAGGATGCAAATTTCGAAGTTTCATGATTAAAACTGTCGTAAAGTAAACGATTTCTTGGTTTTGAGTATTTTTTTTTCCTTTTTTGATCCGCAATTCTTCCAGGAAACCCCCAGAAATCGCCGAGTGATCCCTAAAGGCGTTCTCCTTTTTTTTCTCTCTCATATGGCGCTTCTTCGCTCCTTCCTCCTCTTCATAGCACTTACAGTCAATGGTAAGTGACCTCTTAAGAAAAACGAGAAATCGATGACGTCACTTCAGAAGTCAAGGCGGAGATCAGCGCCTCATCGGAGCTGAACTGCGACTTCGGAACGGCGTGTCGTTGGCGAAATTCGACGGAAGACGGCGGCGATTTCCTCACAACGATGGTCTTGGACACGGACGCCGTCACGAAAATTAGCCCTATGAGGGATGGCGACCGTTAGTGGCCCCTTGAGGGATCAATAATTGATTTATTTTTGCAGAAACTCCATTCGCTTACACAGCTGGTTTCATGGGCAGGACGATGGCAATGCTTGTTTCTGAGGTATGAAGGGGCCGCTTGAGGGTTTTTAGTGGAAGTTGAAGTGGCAAATTGAGTGATTTGATAAAAATTTTCCTTCTGAATGAGGTAGTTTTGTTAAACATACGTTTTCCTAAAAAAAAAACAGGACTTCATGGGGGGACGAATCTATATTCTAGAATAGCCCCCCGCATTACAAAAACGTGGGTCGATTCTGAAACCCCTAGGCAATCTTTCATATTCGCCCCCCCACACTGCTTTGAAATAGTCCCCCCTCCCAGAGCTTATTCGAACAATACTCAATACACCCTTTATTTCATCTTTTTCATTAATTTTATTATCAGGTGGTACTTTCTAGACGTTCTAGGGTTCCTGAGCTTTTCGAGTATTTTTTCCTAATTTTTTTTTCTCCAGGTAATCAATTGCCAATTGGGAGGTGCCAGTTTGAAATACTGGTACTACAAGACGGGCCACGAGTCTCAGCTTGAAGTCTGCATCCGACAGCCGCCGGGCAGTCGCGAGCCGGCATCTTTAAGGTTGACCATGACGTCATCCTTGTTTTTCATGACGTCATTTTCAGATGCTATGACGGCGTTTCATCGACTTTCGCCAAGCAATGGATCTTCAGGGCGGTGGAGCTCCCGCCGATCGCCCAGCCTTTTGAAATCGTCTTTCGCGCCTTCTACTTCCCGCCAACTGACGTCATCGCCATCGATGACGTCATCTTCGATGCGGCTCTTTGCGGTGAGAAATGATGATTTTTAGAGACCTTTTTGGATTTTTTCGAATAACTGAATAATTTTTTTGACCAATGACTTCAGTTTCATATAAATAAAAGACCTTGCTTCCACCTTCCTGACCTCATCTGAATCGCATGACGTCATTCCATCAGTAACTGAGAAACGAGGCGCGTTCAGGCGTGTCGAACCGTCGACGACGTTCTGAACTTCGACGAATCGGCTACCGCGACTGGGAGACCTACCGTCGCTCGGGACAGTACACCGGCGAGCTGATGCTCGTCGTCGCTCAGGAGGAGACTACGACGTCTTCTACTTCGACGACAACGTCTTCTTTTCCGACGACGACGTCTTCAACCACTTCCACCACGTCTTCTACCACTACCACTACTTCTACAACATCTACTCCTCCAACAACGTCTCCTCCAGAAGAATTAACCACTTCTGAAGCCATACCGACCTCTTCTGACCTTCCTCCTTACCAGAATCCAACCGTTGAATTATCTAACTTTGTCAATTTCCTGAAACAAACCGCCCCTGTTCTTCCATATATTCCGACTCTCGTTCGCTCCTTATCCGCCCTGGATCCCAGAATTCCCATGGAAGCTCCAACTCTCGACAGCTCTCTGCCTGACGTCAGAAGGGCTCCGCAGCCTGTCTATTCCAGCCATTTCTACAACACCAAAGAGCCGGCTCTTTTAGCCTCACCCCCTTCGGATCCGAGTCTCGTGTCGCTGGCCAAAAAGTTCGGACTTCTGAACGCGGACGCCGACCTGACAACTGTCGCAGTTCCGATGGATTTGAGCTTGAGTCTGACCACAACTACGCCTGTGAACCGGTTTGGCCTGAAAAACGGGAAACTGAAGCTGCAGAAGATCGAAGACGAGCTGTCGTCGGTCTACCCCCAGAAGTTGATAAAACAGAAGAAGGCGGATGTTGAAGAGATCCACAAGAAAATCTTCAGCATGACCACCACCACGACTACAATTCCGATCCTGACCTCGACCTCCAAGGAGTTGATCATTTTCAAAGAGCCAAGCAATGCCGAAACCGACGTGGCGAGTAAATTGGCCGAGATAACGAAGCTCCTGCCGACAGGAGCCATGGAGGACCTCTCGGTTCTCAGAGACATCCCCGACCTTGAAGGCCTCACCAAAGGCATGGATTTGACCGAAATCAGAAAACCTGGGGGGTTCGCGAGGCTGAAGAAGGAGTTCATGGAGCGGTTGATGCGAAGGACGCTGGGCTTACCTGTGGAAACCACCGCAAGGGTTTTGCCGCCACCCATCGTACCTGTGAAGGTTACGAGGAAAATGATGGCTGAAATGGCGAGGCGACAGCGGGCGGCAAGAAGGAAGGCCTAGCTGGGTGGCGTTTATAGTCTGTTCAGATTTTTAATGTCAAGGGCAATGACGTCATTCAAAAACACTCTGTGGATGGCTCGCTCTCTGATTTGTTTGTCACCATTAGGGTGGAGCTTGAGCGACGACTTGACATTCAAAATCTGAACAGACTATATAAATAGTTTACTCAAATCTGGCTCTTTTCCAACTATTAAAAAAATTTTTCAAGGTTAAAACATTGATTTAAATTCGTGATATTTGAGAGCAGCATCATGTAGAACTTTTCATTCCGAATATAACGGTGAACTTAAAAAAAACCCAGATATGACAAATTTGAGAAAAAAAAACACGAATAACGCGACACACTGATAATAAATGAAGCGCAAAATATCGATATCCCAACCGAAAGCTTTATAAAATCATCATTTTTCACCAGAGAAACATTTTTCGATAAAAATTTGCAATTTTTTTGTTATAAATAGAAATTTTCATGACGAAAAATAACTTTGGTGACAACAGAAAAAATTGAAAATTAAAAAAACAACGAAAAAAATGCGAAAACCCGAAAAAAATGGCGAAGCGTGTTGTCCATGGAGCAACTTTACTGCAAAACGCCTTTTTTGCGGGAATTTTCTCTCTCCGACTTTGAGTTATTTTTTTTCTCCAAAAATTAGAAAGTTATCTACTTTTTTTCAAGTTCACCGTTCGACTGGCAAGAAAAAAAGCTTTACAAATTGCATATAACCCCATTTTTTTCCTGTCCCTATGCTTCTAAGTTTTGCATTTTAAGTTTTTGACTTTTTTTCTTATTTTTTTCAGTTTTCTAGCTCGAGAAGCCAAGATGCATAATTTTTTGTTTTACCGACCTTTCCATTCTAAATACCTCTTTGTGTATTTTTCCTATTGTTTTTTTCCACTTTTTATTTTCTCAGAAATTGTATTGCAGAGTTTTTTTAATTCACCTTTTGACGGGTTTCATCAATGACAATTTAAAATAAATTTATTTATTCCTTTTTTTTGAATTATTTTTCCATTGAAGCGGTTTCATAGCCATTCAATACTTTTGTAAAGAAACCTGAGTTCAGAATCATCAAACGGCGGGAATTCCGAGGGTGCCGGAGGGACGTTCGGAGAAAATCCGGTCGAAGTTGCTCAGTTGGCTGACTTTGAAGGGAATGGTGTGTTTTAAAAAAATGTGGAGAGTCAATGTTCAATTTTCGAATAACGTACGAATATAGGTATTAGTGGTTACTTTAGTGTTTTGACGCTTTAGTGGCCACTATAGTAGTCGAATTAATGGTCACTTTAGGAGCCAAAGTGTTACCGACAACTAAAAACTACTGTAGTGGCTACTAAGGCGCTATATAGTGCTTCTATAGAGGTGGCTTTAGTGGGCCCTTTAGTGTTTTTTGACGTTTTAGTGGCCATTATAGGAGTCGAATTAGTGGCCTCTTAAGAAACCCAAGTGCCACTAAAAACTAATGTAGTGGTCACTAAGAAAGAAATAGTGGCTTCTATAGGGATGGTTTTAGTGACCACTTAAGGGTCCTTTCTAAGTAGTCCTCGAGGCACCTCTTTAGTGGCCACTAGAATTTTCGCCTTTTTTGGAACCTTTTTTTAAATTTTAATGAGAACTTGGTGAAGCCAGAACCTCTAAATTCACAAATTTTTCATGATTTTAATGGGTTGAACTAAAAATACACTGAAAAAGACTACTTTTGTAAAATTTTCAAAGTTTTTAATTTATTCAAGAGTTTTCCTATTCGCTTCATATAATTGGCTTCTGAATAACTTTTGAATATTAAAAATGTCTAAAGTATCTGAAAAAGGACTTGCAGTCTCATTCCTCTCATAATTTTTGGTCTTTCCAGACCTGACCCTCGACGCGGTGCGATTCGAAACGGCCGCGTCGTCGCCGCAAACGTCGCGTCCGGTGAATTTCGCCGCGCCGACCGACAGTCGAAAAGCGGCCATCGGCACCAAGAGGCCCAAAGCTTCCGAGTTGTCTGCCCCTCGTTCCGGGGCCGTCTACACCCCCAAGTGTCCCGCCGTCGATTGCGATTTCAATGATGGGGTCCGCAAAGTTTTGGAAAAAAAAAAGATAATGAGTGTTCATCAGTATGAGCGCGCTTTTATATTGTTTCAAATCAAATTTATAAAAATCCAGAAAAAAAGACTAGATACCTTTTTGAAATTGAAAATCAGATCAACTTGGTATATTCGAAAGAATGTTTAGGAACTCCAGAGTGACCCCTTTAGGGAACAGGGTAGACTATTATTGATATGAACAATTTTAGAAGAAGCATTTCCATGCAGAAACTCCACAAATTAGCGTTTTTCGAATAAAAATATTAGCAGAGGATTAATTGTTAGAGTTTGCTTTAATTTTAAAATCTGAACAGAAAAGTTTCAAGACCCTATAGGGACCACTTGAGCTTTAGGGGCCTCGGGGTCAAATTCTAAACCCCTATAGGGTGCACTTTTTTGTCCCTTTTAGGGAGTTTTTTCCTCTAACCCCTATAGAGATATCTCTGGCGACTAAAAAAGCTTTTTCTTTCGAATTTTTAAACCTGAACGAAAATTTGAAAGGTCCTTTAGGGACCACTCGAGCTTAGTGTCTTCGGAGTCAGACCCTTAACCCCTATAGGGAACACTTGAATTTTTGCCTCTGAAGGGGCCACTTTTTCCTCTATCTTTGAAGCAAATATGACTTCAAAGCGAAAAATCAATAATTTTTGAATAGATTTTCTTTAAATATATAGAAATAGCTTTTCAAAAACTTTTATACTCAGTTTGAAATATTAGAAAAAAAGATTCTAGGACACTTTTTTCCGTTTTTTGTCCATAATCTGTTCAGATTTTGAATGTCAAGTCTTCGCTCAAGCTCCGCCCCTAATGGTGTGATGAACCAATCAGAGAGCGAGCCATCCACAGAGTGTTTTTGAATGACGTCATTGCACTTGACATTAAAAATCTGAACAGACTATAAATGAGCGTTTCAATTTTGTCACAAAATCCGAGCTTTGTATTATTTCGAAATATTCCATTTTTAGACCCTTTGTAGCTATGTGACGAGCAGCGGAAATCTCTCCACTTCCACTTCCATCGATGGAAATAACCTGCGTCCCTGGGCGGTCACTTCCCGAAGCGTCCTGAACTCCCTGACCGGAGTCCCTCATGACCTTTCCAAAGGTTCTCCTCAACTAATCGACCATTTTTCGACCGATTCCAGGCGGATCTTTCGCCTTCGCCAAAGGAACTTCACCGTCGGAAGTGTTCATTTTGTCGTCGGACAAATTGATCGAGATTTCCGAGCCGGCGAGATTGGACTTTTTCGTTTATCAGGCTGGTTAGTGATCCAAAACGGGGGCGGAGTTAAAAAGGATGACGATGCAAGGTTGCTACTGAATGAGCTAGATCTGTTTGTCTTGAGAGCTTCTCTAGGAACGCCAGAGTGGCCCCTATAGGGGCAAACTTGAAGGCTCTTGGAGGGTCTTCTCTAGGGACCACTTTACCAGCCCTGCAGGGACCACTAAAGCTAGCAAAAGTGGCCCCTATAGGGGACATGCTAGTCGATGATTGTTATGAACTCTGAGCGAAGAAGCATTTCCATGAGAAAAACTGAATAAATGAGTGTTTTTGAATGGAGTTGAGAGACCCCTATAGGGACCACTTTTAGTAGCTAGGGGGTCAGACTCTAAACCCCTATAGGGATCACTTTTACGGCCCCTATAAGGGTTTTTTCCTCCTCACCCCTATAGGGACCCCTTGATCTTTAGAAGCTAAGGGGTTAGACTCTGAACTCTTTTAGGGATCACTTATATTTTACCCCTTTAGAGACCACTTTATCGTTTTTATAGGGTTTTTTTCTTTCTGACCCCTATAAGGACACCTTGATCTTTAACGGCTAAGCAGTCAGACCCTAAACCCCTATAGGGACCAGCTAAATATTACCCCTATAAGGATCAATTTTACAACCCCTAACAGGTTTTTTTCCTCCTCACCCCTATAGAGATCACTTGATTTTTAAGCCCTTTTAGTGAGCACCTAAATTTTACCCCTTTAGGGACCACTTTTTTGCCCTCTATATAGGTTTTTTTCCCCGTAACCCCTCTAGGGACCACTCTGAAACTCCCAAGCTTCATTTCGATCCCTTTCCCCATTTTTTTCCCCAGGAACCCGCGGTCAGCTCAAAGTCTGCATTGACGACGACACGAACTGCCCTTTGCAGCTTTTTGGAGAGTCAGTGCGAAATAAATCAATAAAATTATCTTTTTCTCCTGTTTTCAGAGACATCGACGTGGATTCTCAGAAATGGAAGAATTACTATGTTGACGTGCCGACCGGGAAGCATGTGGTGAGTTTCGAGTTCGGTTCCCAGCAAGGGCGGGAGAGTTTTTGCCATTTTTTCGCGCTATTCTTGTCGTCATAGCTATCTCAAGTTCGATTCCTCCCGAGGGAGAAGTTATTTTTGCCATTTTTCGGACTCATTTTGTCGTCATAGCTATCTCAAGTTCGACTCCTGAGAGACGGTGAGACTTCACAAGAAAGAAAAGAAAGAAAGGCTCCAGAAAGGCCGCAAAACGGGACCCTTTTAGCGGCCATTTTGCAGCCGTTTTCCTCACTTCCGACTTTGGCAGTGGTATTTGGTACACCGAGGAGTGTCCGGTCCGTATAGACGTTGTTCTCAGCCTTAACCCCTATAGGGACCACTCCGAAATTCCCAACCTTTCATTTCGGTCACTCTCCCTATTTTTTCCTCAGGAATTTTATCCCCTGGCCAATTTTCAAGGAAATATTTTTTCTAGTCGTTATTTAAATTTCAATACGTAAAATGGCCAATTTGACAGTTCCATTTCATCGTCGACGGCCTCTTCGAAAACTACGTCATTGGAATCGACAATATCCAACTTTTGAATCGATTTGGCGCCGCTTCTTTCCCGTGTCCGTGAAATATTTATTGCCGTTTTCATCGTTCAAATAAAGGTGTTCTTCCCTTAATTGAGTTTTTTCTCTCTCGGGAGATCGTCTGGAATGATCGTTGCGTCCTAATTGAAAGATTTTTCGGAGAGATAGAATTTTCTTTGAAGGTGATTGCAGCGTTCTTTGACAAAAAGCGGCTTGAAATAATGGATTGATAAAAAATGGCTCTTTCATCTTTGGAGCGATTGTAAGGTTGAAAAAATGATAGATCTGATTATTTTATTCAAGCTGTGAAATGGCTGGAATTTTTTTATAAAAAAAAGTTGAAAAAGTGTATAAGCTTCTGGGAAAAATTTCTAGTGGCCACTATAGGGTTTTGAGGTTTTAGTGGCCACTATAGTAGTCAAGTTAGTGACCACTTCAGGGGTTGAAAATTAGTGGCCACTGTAGAGGTCTAAGTGCTACTAATACACCACCAAAATTTTAGTGGCCACTTTAGGGGTCAGTGGATCATCATAACTGGTCCAATCTGTTTGTTTAGAAATTATCAGAGTTACTGGAAGTGCGAAAAACGGGTGCGAAATGGCCGCTGAAAGGGTTCCGTTTTGCGGCCTTTCTTGAGCCTTTTTTCTTGGTGGGCTGAAAATGCTCAAAAAAAGAGTCCAAAAAGAGTGGATAAAAGCCGATGAAAGGACGGAAAAAGGCAGTAAAAAGGAAACCATTGCCACCTGTTTAGGAACAATTATTGGACACCTTTTGATCCATAAAGGACGCTTAAAGGGTCAGTAAAGGGTCCTTCCGATTTTGTCTGAAACCTTTTCAAAAGCTCAACTTGGGCAAAGTCGGAATGGTGGATAAGGGAAATAAAAGAAAGAGGCTCAAAAAAGTTCGCAAAAAGGCTGCAAAAAGGAAGCAAACAGGCAGCAAAACGGGTGCCTTTATAGAGCCTTCCATTTTTTTCTGAGATCTTAAAGGCTCGAGAAATGGTGGAGAAAGGGAGGGGCTCAAAAAAGGCCGCAGAAAGGAAGCAAAAAGGCAGCAAAAATGCCCCAAAAAGGCTGCAAAAAGGCTGCAGAAAGGCAGCAAACAGGTAGCAAACAGGCAGCGAAACGGGTCCTTTTATCGAGCCTTCCCTTTTTTCTGGGATTTTAAAGGCTCTAGAAATGGTGGAAAAAGGGAGAGGCTCAAAAAAGGCCGCAGAAAGGAAGCAAAAAGGCAGCAAAAAGGCCCCAAAAAGGCTGCAAAAAGGCTGCAGAAAGGCTGCAAAAAGAGTCCCTTTTTCGAGCCTTCCATTCTTTTCTGGGATTTTAAAGGCTCTAGAAATGGTGGAGAAAGGAAGAGGCAGCAAAATGGGTGCATAAAAGCCGAAGAAATGGCGCAAAATGTCAGCAAAAAGGGAGCCTTCATCCCTCGGAGGGTCCTTCCGACTTTGTCTATGAAGTTAAAAGTAAGTGAAAAAAGCTTCTGAGGAAGTTCTGAAGCTTTTTTTGTTATAACCAGCTCACCAAAGCCGTCTCAACGACCAAAAACGAAAAAAACAGAAAAAAAAAACTTTTCCGACATCTATCCCTTGATCCGTCGGATCACAACAAAACAACATCGCAAAAAGCCGTCAAGTTCATTGTGAATTGTATTTTTGCGATTGGAAAGCGACAAGGGGAATGAGGTCAGTGACGACTTTCGTTTTCCTCGGGGCGCGAAAGGGACAATCCAAACGGCCGCAATCCATTCGGGGCCCCGCACTTTCCTTCCCGTCTTCATTTTTAGGCCCGTCTTGAGGCTCCGTCCTGAGCAACCCTTGATTTTTATCGATTTTCTGGTTTTTTTGTTTCCGCTCATCCTTTTTTTTCGAAATGGTGTCAACTTTCATGCTTTCGATAGGGAAGAGCTCACAAACTTAGGAGCTCCAGAGTGGTCCCTATAGGGGCAACACTAGGGCCTTTGGAGGGTCCCCTCTAGGAACCGCTTTACCAACCCCTTTAGGGACCCCTAACGCCCGAAAAAGTGGTCCCTATAGGGGACATCCTAGTCGATAATTTTTATGACCTCTATGCAAAGAAGCATTTCCATGCGAAAAACTAGATAAATAAGCGATTTTTGAATAAAATTGGAAGACCCCTAGGGACCACTCAAGCTTTAAAGCCTAAGGGGTCATACCTTAAACCCCTGTAGGGACCACCTTGATTTTTTATCTCTCTGGAGACCACTTTTTCGACTTCTATAGAGACTTTTTGCCCCCCGTTGAACTTCGGAATTTCAAAATGAAAATTTCTCTGGTTTTCGAGTTAAAACGCTTCAAAAGCTTGAAATAGTCCTTTTTGTCTTTATTTGCCTATTTCGCACACTTTGAAACTTCATAACTCGGAAGCAAGATTTATACGAATTTTTTTTTGTCCTTACAAGGGAGGTTTTTCTATTTTTCGGTTCGGATTTTTCTGAAAATTGGCTAGAACACTTCTTGATGTACCAAATGAGAATCCCAGAAGTTTGAAAATTCAAAACTTCCTAGTTATCGAGAAACAAGGGCTCGAAGCCTCAAAATGGCTCATTTTAACGGATTTTGAGGGTTTTTTTTTTGACTTTTTCTCGAAAATAAAGGAGTTTTGCTTTTTTAGACTTTTAGGACCTTTATCTGGTGCTTCAAGGAATGTTCTGACCAGATTTTAGGAAATTCCGAACTGGAAAAATGACCTTAGGAGGCTGTCTTCAGACAAAACGGGGCCAAAAAATGCTCCCTTGTCGGTTATCCAGAATATAATAAAGTCACGCCCATTTTTCTTCGTTTCTAAAAACCTCTAACAAACCGTAACCTACCGTATCCTTTGAATGTTTCCAGTCGAGACCACAAAAACGATGGGGAAGCTCCTGCGGAACCCGTTCGGGATCCTGCAGGACTTTCTGGCCTACGCCTTTTATCACTACGGCAAGCTGATCTTCAACCGACCGCGGCTTTTCGCGTTGGGACCACTTATTCTGACTATCATTTTATCATTTGGCATTCTGAATGTTCGGATTGAGGTTAGTTTCATTATTTCTTGAAGTGATTTTGTTGATAAAAATTTATTTTTGTGAAGTTTGTGGCATTTCAAACCTTATTAGTTATAAATTCCTTCATTTTTTTGGAAGTTTATTAAATTCTTGATGAGCAGGGAAAGCACAAAAATTTCACATCGTTCACCGAAAAAGTTCTTTAACTATTTTCAAAGTTTGAAAGGGATAAAAGTGCTCAAAAGGTAAGAAAAACTTTCACCAAACAACTTTTCGTCGTCAAATCAACTAGAAAATTGAACTGTGAAAGAATCAATTTTCAAAAAACGCCATTTTTCGAACAAAAAACTTTTTTTCGAATATAATGAGTATGCGAGTTAGCGTCGTTCTGTGTACGCACCAAAGACGACAAATATTACGGAAATTCAGAACGCCCACGGCGCAAAAAAATTGCTCCAAAACTAAAATTAGTTATGTTTTGGAGCTACTTTGGCCGTTTCTGCGATGAACACGCCGTTGGCCTTTTTTTCGTAAAGTATAGTGTGTCGTGTGCATGCACCTCGGCGCTCTTACACATGCCACGTTCAAAACATTTTCCCGGAATTATAAATTTTCTCTCAATTTTTAAAATCAAATTATAGTTTTCACTCTCTGGTGACTATTTTTCACTATTTTTCACTAGTTTCAAACGTCTATGTGATTCTAATTTTCTCAAAATCATCTTTTTGAAAAATTTTCAGGAATTTTTTTTTTTCGTAATTCTTACCCATTGATATTTTGATCCCTATTTATCAACTTTCAGGACGATCTTCGATTTCTGTACTCGCCATCTGATTCATTATCCCGGGTTGAATACGAAGCTCACAAAGTCTTCAGTGGTGATTCTTCCAATAGGTCTCTTTTTTTCAATTTCAAAGCGGTTATGAAATATTTCTATATTTTTAAATAAGAGGAGCAAAGTCTTTCTAAAGTTAAGCAGACCAAAACTAATAATTAATTTTTTTTTTCGAAGAATCATTAGGAACCAGTTTGTTTTTAGTCTCAACTTAACCTATTTTTTTTTCTTCGTTTCATTTTGAACCTCTCTATCAAAATTTCAGCTCTTTTGTGAGTCTCACCGTCGAAAGAAAAGATGAAACCGACAAAAACTTGCTCACGAAAGAAATGGCGGAAGCCCTGAAGAAACTCAACAAATTCTCCCTGGAATCGATCAAAATCGAACTCGGCGGCGAAATGGTTAAATTTTCCTATGATTGTCGGTTTATGATTTTTAATCCAGGTTGATTTTGGAAAGGAGATCTGTGCGCCTTCAACGGAATGCACCAATAATAACTTGATTGTCACGATTTTCCTGGACACTTTTTGGAGTGAAAAGGTCGGGTTAAATTTTTTTCATTTTTCGGAAGAGTTTTGTTGGAATTCGTTTGTTTAAACAAGGCTAAAAACGGCGTTTTTCCGACGAAGCCACGCCCACTTTTTCTCCGTAAAATTTCGTGTGTCGTGTGCATGCACCGCGCCGCTTTCACGCAGAAAAAATTGCGTTTATGTAGAGAATTCGATTCGTCTCAAAGACCTCTGGCAATACGGCGGCCTGCGCCTTTAATATGACCCATTTACGCTCTTACACGAGGTGTCCAAAAATAATGGATTGAGAATATGATGAAACTTGGTATATAGGCACTTCAGGACACCCTGCTTCCAATAAAGTTGAGAAAAAGCGCGCTTTTTGCGTTCTAGTCGAGTTATGGCATCTCAAAGTTTGTACGTGAAAAATGCATTGGATAGGAGGAGGGAATCTATTGCAGCGGCTAGCCTCTGCAGGGAAGAGGTGGCGTGGTGTAGTGGCTAGCGGCCTGCGCTGTGGGGCACATGATGCGGGTTCGACCCCTTCTGGTGACATTCATTTTTGCGCGAAATCTCTTGACGTGGGAAATTTGTTTGAAGTTCATAAATGAATCCTAATAAGTTTTGAAAGTAGTTTCGAAGGCTCTGAGTTGAAAAACCCTTCTGAATTTTTCTGCTTTATTAAATCACAACAATCCAAGTTAACATTGTGGAAAAAAAACCCTAGACTTTCTATAAAATGTCTTTTTTCGACAAATTCTTAAAAATTCGAACATTTCCAGCTCCGCCAAGATGCCAGAATCTCCATAGAATACCCGACGATGCAATTTTTCGAAAACAAATTCTTCCTCCCAACCCATTTCTACGGCGTCACCCTCGGCGGCAAACTCGGCATCGAATCGATCGAAATGGTCCATTTGATCTACCTCGTTCCGTCATATAAACATGTAACTTTTCTGAAAGGTTACGGTATTTTAAAGAGAGTTACAGTACACCTCGGATGAGGTCTCCAAAGCGTTCGAAAAATCGCTCAAGGAACACCTTGCCAGAGACGACGTTCCCTTCAAAACCTCCATGTTCAGCTTGTCGATTCTGAAGGTGAGGCCTTTAGGGCTCTTGCTCATGTTAGCTGAGGATTGCAGGACGAGATGCAGAAAAACGCAACTTATACGATTCCATTCATCTCTTTGACGATCTTGCTTCTGATGAGCTTCACGGTTGGATCTTGGTGAGCGATTTTTGTGAGAAAGTCATTTTTTGAGCTTGACTACGGTATTTATTTATCGTTACAGTATCCATTCAGAATATTACCGTAACCTTCTTTGGTAGAAAATCTTTAAAAAGCTTAAAAAAACATCAACAAAATTCACTCTGTAACTGTGTCTAGGAGTACCGTCATAATGTAAGAATTTTCAAAGTCTTGATTATTAGAACTTGACTACAGTATCGATTTATGGTTACAGTAACCCTACAGGATCTTACTGTAGTTTTCTTTGGTAGAAAAAAAAATTCAAAGAGCCTTTTTATTAAATCTTGAAATACCAATATATTTTCGTCTTTCTTCTCAAAACTTGACTACGGTATCGATTCATTTTTACAGTACCCCTTCAGGATCTTACCGTAACCTTTTTTGCTGGGAAAATCTTTAAAAAGCCTCAAAATCATCAACAAAATTCACTTTGTGCCCGAGTCTTGTAGTACCAACATTTTTTTTTCTTCTTCAAAATTGATTATGGTATTGATTTATTGTTACAGTAATCTTTCAGGATCTTTAATCCTCTTTAGTATAAAAATCTTCAAAGAGCCTAATTATCAATGAAATGCGCCCTGAAACTGTGTCATGAAAAAAACCAACATATTTTTGCCTTTTTTCTGAAAACTCGACTATGGTATCGATTTATTGTTACAGTAATCTTTCAGGATCTTACCGTAATCCTCTTTAGTATAAAAATCTAAAAAATAGCCTAATTATCAACCAAAAGCGATCTGAAACTGTGTCTAGGAATACCGTCATCATTTCAAATTTGACTTTTGGGAACTCGATTACGGTATTGATAAATGGTTACAGTAACCCTTCAGAAGTTTACCGTAACCTTCTTTAGTGAAAGTATCTTCAAAAAGTCCTAAAAATCAACAAAATTCAATCTGAAACTGACTTGACATACCACCGTTTTAAATCTACCGTAACCCTGTCCTACTGTAGCATGACGAGTGACTGGGTGACGTCAAAGCCAATCGAAGCGATGACCGGAATTCTGACGTCATCGATGGCCATCGTGTCCGCTCTCGGCCTTCTGTTCGCCTTCGGAGAGCCTTTTATCAACCAGGTGGGTGTTGCTGCTTGTTGCTCATGTTATGAAGGTCGGTTTCAGGTTACGGTAATGCCATTCATTGCACTGGCCATTGGGGTCGATGATGTGTACGTGATGCTCGGTGAGTGGAGGTTCAAGTGGTCACTTTAGGAGATTTTTATGAACGAAGCCTTCAAAATGATCGATTTCGTTGCAGGAGCCTGGCAGGACACGAAAAGGTCGTTGCCCCCGGAGAAACGTATGGCCCTGGCCCTTTCCGAGGCAGGAAGCGCCATCAGCGTGACGTCACTCACGTCGATCTTCTCCTTCGGAATCGGAACCTACTCCTCCACGCCGGCCATCGCCATCTTCTGCCGATTCGTCTGCGTCGCCGTCATGTTCGATTGGTTTTATCAGGTTTGTTTTGTTTTTTCAGTCGTTTAGAAAAAGCTTCATCTTTTTCTGTAAAGTTTTAACTGGTTTTTTGTAAACTTGCTCAAGAATAATTGATTACCAGCAGGTGCCAGAGTGGAAATGAAATTTTAGGTCCTTCTAAAATGTTATTAAGTACTATCTTCAGAAAAGGAAGATGCCTATAAAATTGACGGTAGTGTAGGAAAAATTTCGAGCCCAGTCCTTATTTAGGTCTGTTCAGATTAGTCAAGTCCTCTCTGAAGCTCCGCCCCTAAGGGGTGATGAACCAATTAGAGAGCTAGCAAACCACTGAGCGTTTCCGAATGACGTCATTCCACTTGACACTAAAAATCTAAAGAAACTATATAGTCTGTTCAGATTTCGAATGTCAAGTCCTCTCTGAAGCTCCGCCCCTAATGGTGCGATAAACCAATCAGAGAGCCAGCAAACCACTGAGCGTTTTCGAATGACGTCATTGCACTAGACATTCAAAATCTGAACAGACTATAGTGTTATAAATTGCTCAAGGTTTCTCAAAAATTTTTTACGGCTGCCTTGAGACGCTAAGAGGCGTGGCCTGTCTGCGCTCTCCACCAACCAAACACTATCTCTCATTTTATCGTCTCGAGATAGGGACCGCAGACCAATTTTCAAAAAATTTTTTTCAGCATTGAGCTTTGTATGGTTTGATAGCTGTTTCGATTCAAAACTCAGAACCGTTTAGTTTTTCGAAAAAGATTGAGGATGAAAAAAGTTATGACGAAAAATGTGGCGCGCCGCGCACCATTTTTTTAGTACTGAAATTTTGGTATTATCCATTTTTGACATTTTTCTCGATTTTTCTTCTAGAACAAGTTTTGATACTGGTCTATTATGATGTAAGAAATCATAATAGAGCTCTAAAATGATGAAAATTAGCTAGTTTGCCGAAAAAGTCGGTATTTTCCAGAAAACAAAAAACTGACGCTTGCGGGCATCGAACTCGCGACCTCAAAATGAAAAATCGCAGCGCACGCGCTGCGCCAAGCTGCTAGGTCTAGCAAGGGGAGCTTCCATCCGCCTTACCCTTTGAGCCGTTTAGATAGCACAGATTGCCTATTTCAAAAAAATAAAAAAACTTGAAGTAATTCAGCTATTTTTTTATCAGAATATGTTCGCAAATCTTTACTCAAACTTTCCGTGAAAAATTCACTTCGAAAAAAACTGTTTTTTTAGTGCTTTTTTTCCTCGTTTAACGACCGCTGCCTTAAAACGGCCCCGTAAATTTTTTTGGCAAAGACGAATTTTTTTATTTTATTCTTTTTAATTGAAAGATTTTTTTCACTAATAAATGTATATAATCGTTTAAAAAAACCTGCGTTCGGCCGCTTTCTGTGTGATAAACGCCGCTAATTTTATTCTCTAGTTTCAAGAGCATTTTTTTGCGTATTAAACAACTATTTCAAGCACAGATACTGTGAAGAAAAAAATTTAAGTAAGGCCATGATCTAAATTTTTAAAAAAACAAAAAAACTTGATTATATTCGCTTATTAACGATATTTTTGAATTATGACTTTCGGCGCTCCCTAAAAATTTTTTTGGCAAAGACGAATTTTTTTTATTTTATTGTTTTAAAAATTTTTCGTTACTTGAATCAAAAATCATTATTTAAAAAAAGAAAGAGTGCGTTCGACCTGAAAAACACATGAAAAAAAGCAAAAAAATGACAAAATTTTTTTAGTTCCATTCACGTTTTTTTGTACGACATTCCGCGAGAACGCATCAAAAAAAGCGTGAAATATTTTTTTAAACGAAAGAGGAAGCTTTTTCTGTACATGTGTGTCAAATTTTATTCGCCAGTTCCACATATTTTGCAACTACAACAAAATGAAAGTTGAAAACCAAAAAAAAGCCACTTTTTCTATCGCGAAAAGGGGCGTGGCTTTGCGGTCCCTATCTCGAGACCTTTTTTTGGTGGCCTAATCCGCCGTGAATCAGCTTTATCATTAAAGTAATGTTCCTTGAATCGGCAGGATAAAAATTGAAAATTTTCTGCAAAATATAAGCTTTTAGCTATGAGAAAATTAGATTTTTTGTATAAATAAATCCATATATCATTGATTTATACGCCCCTAGGTTCAAAAAATGACTTTCATTTTGGGCTTTGATGGAAATAGACAAATCAGCAGCTTTCAAGATGAAAAATTATCATTTTTCTTTTTTTGATTTTTTTACAATAAAAAAATGCTGATTTTTTTCGATTTAAAGATTCATTTTTGGGCCATATATTCCTATATTTACACAACTCAAGATTCAGAAAAAGTCATATCATTAGACGAAACTTCAAAAAAATTGAGTTTTGGAACTGAAATTTCTAAAAACCGATTTTTTTTTTCCAGTTGACTTTCTTCACCGGTGTCATGGCTTTGGGAGCTCGCCGTGAAGCCGCCGGCTATCACTGCATTTTCGTCTGGAAACGGTGTGATCGAGAGGAAATCGAGAAGGTTTTTCTTGAAAATTTTTCCAATCACGCGGCGTTTTTTCGACGACGCCCACTTGTTCTCCGTAAAGTGTCGTGTGTCGTGTGCATGCACCGCGCCGCTTTCACGCAGAAAATTGCGCTCATGTAGAGAAATTTCGATTCGTCTCAAAGACCTCTGGCAATACGACGGCCTGCGCCTTTAATACGACCTGTTATTTACGCTTGTTTCCGATGACGTCACGTGGGAACGGCGGATATTTTGGCTCCGCCCACCGTGTTTTTGGTTTCGCACTTCCTTAAGGCAAAATTTAAGGCGAAAAGTCCGCTGGCGATATCGCCGACGCGATATTTCTTCGAAGAGATTTTCGCGCCCTTCATTTGTAATCCATTCACGAGGATCGGAGTGGTGAGCTTTATTTGAAATGAAAAAAAATCGGTTGAAATACAATTTATTTAAAAAAAAGAAGTTTCATTGGGTCAGTATGAACAGTATTTTAAGGAAAAACCGCTTTTCTTTCTATTTTTCAAAAGAAAGGGGCTCCACTTCAAGAAGTTGAACGTCACCTAAGTGAACGCTTAAGGGAGGTGAATAGAAAAACGATCTTCCCAGATGCACCACCAAAACTTAGGAGTGGCCACTTTAGGGTTTTGACGTTTTATTAGCCACTGTAGTAGTCAAATTAGTAGACACTTCAGGGGTTGATAATTAGTGGCCCCTATAGAGGTCTAAGTGCTACTACTATACTAGGAAAATGTTAGTGGCCACTTTAAGGGTCAATGGATCAACATAACTGAACTAAGAATAACTGCCGAGATAAACGCGAGACATTGACGAGCTCGCAAACATCTCGCGCCGGTTTCGCATTAGTCTGGGCGCGAGCTCGCATTTCTCTCGCAATTTGAAAATTTCCGAAATGCAAGATAAATGCGAGATGGCGCCGAGAAAAATGCGAGGTCGCGCCGAGAGAAATGCGGGATCGCGCCTAGAAAAAAGCGACATTTTTGCGAGTTAGTCAATGTACCGCCACCGAGCTCGCGTTTATCTCGTCAATTATTCTTAGTGTGGTCCAATCTGTTTCGTTTTTAAATTATCAGAGTTACTGGAAGGAATACTGGATGAAAAACTACTCAAGTGGCCACTAAAACGGAAAATAGTGACCACTATAGAGGTGGGTTCAGTGGCTACTTTAGTGCTCTCTCCAAGTAGTCCTTGGCGAGCCTCTATAGTGGCCACTAAAACGGAGAATAGTGTAGAGGTGGGTTCAGTGGCTACTTTAGTACTCTCTCCAAGGAGTCCTTGGCGAGCCGCTATAGTGGCCACTAAAAATTTTCCCAGTACTGCGGAAACTTTTCTATAGTAATCGATCCAGTGGCCACTTAAGTGGCTGAAAGTTAGTGGCCTCTTTAGAAATGGGAAATTATTAGTGGTCACTTTAGGGTTTCGAAGTTCAAATGGCCACTATAGTAGTAAAAATAGTCACCAATCAAGTGGCTAAAATTTGGTGGCGCCTTAAGAAGCCTAAGGAGGAAATGTCTGAAAAAAATTAGTGACATCTTTAAAAAAATCTGATTTGTACTCCTAACCACTAAAACTACTACAGTGGCTACTAAGAAGCAGAATAGAGATAGAGGTGGTATTAGCGGCCACTTTAGTGCCCTCTCAAGGCACTACTTGAGGAGCCACTAGAGTTTTTACTAGCAGTTTTCAAAGAAACTGTTAGATTTTATTACAGCGGTATCGAAAAAATTGAAAAAAAATAATCTTTTACGGATTTTTTCGCCAACAAGTTCAAATTCAGTTGATAATCTACGTGATCTACCTCTTGCTGTCCTTTTACGGATGCTCGCTTCTGACGCCGAATTTGACGCCTTCAAGGCTAGTCGTCGATGATTCGCCCCTGATTCCTTACCTACACCTCGCTGAGTCCAGAATTTGGGCTGAAGGCCTCATCGGCCGCGTCTACGTCAATAATGCACCGGATTTCAGCAAAAGCCCGGAGCAGGTCCGTTGAAACTTCGTCAAAAAATCAAAAATGAATTTTTTGGGACATTTCGCCAATTTTATGAGGTACAAAAACAGTTTTGATATAGTCCCTCCGCCGCGCCTTTACAGTTTTCGCGTGTCTGCGTCTCTCTGTTCCCTCACCGGCAAGGTCAGAGAAACATGGAAATAGCACGTAAACATGAGAGACACGTCGAGAGATAAAGAGGGCGCAGAGAAATCCCGACCTTTCCCGACTAGAGGATCGAGAAAAATGAATTAATTTTACTGTAAACTTTTTTTTGGTGACGTGTGACGTCATTCTGTTCAATCAATGACGTCACTTCGTTTTCTTATCTAGAATTTTTTTTCGATTTCTCTAGTATAGCTCCCGACTCGAAAGTTTTCGCGTGTCTGCGTCTCCCTTTTCTCTCCACGAAAAGGTTAGAGAAACTTGAAAATAGCACGTCATCATGAGAGACGAGGAGGGCGCAGAGGAAAATAGCAGTTTCGAGTCGCGAAAAATTTACTATAACACTATTTTTTGGTGTATAACCATTGCAAATTGAATTTTACCATTTTCGCCACGACTTGAAGAAGTCTGACGTGTCTGCGCCCTTTTTCCTCTCACCGACAAGGTCAGAGAAACATGGAAATAGCACGTCAACAAGAGTGGGTAGTCGAGAGACGAGGAGGGCGCAGACAAGTCCATGCCATTTAAGTAGCGTAAAATTGACTATAACGATAATTCTCGATGTACAACCGTTTCAAAATAACTTTCATTATTTTTGCCTTAGGGAAATCTAACCTGTCTGCGCTCTCTTTTCTCTCGCCGACAGGTCAGAGAAATATGAAAATAGCACGTGAGACGAGGAGGGCACAGTGAAGTTCCGGCCTTCAAAGTCTTGAAGAATGGGCCATAGACACGTAAATGGATTCCCAATAAGTATGACGTCATTTAACTGAAAATGACGTCATTCGAAATGATTTTTTAAATTTGAGCCTAAATTTTTTGGAAGAATCTTGAGTTTCTTTTTGTATTTTTCTCTCTGAACTCTATGAAAATTGGTAGAATTTTCTATGACGTCTTTTGATGACATTTGTATGACGTCATAATAAGTTTCCCCTTCAGATGGATCGAATAATGCAACTGGTGAACGAATTGGAATCCACGCCCTACTCCATGGGACCCAATTCGACGAGTTTTTGGCTCAATGATTTCAATAATTATCGACAGTTTTTCGCCCAGGACGATAGCCGGTATGACGTCATCTTCCTTCCCTAATGACGTCATTTTGAGATTTTACGAAACGCTGCACTCCTTCCTGCAAGTGTCGTTCAACAGCCACTGGCAGACCAACTTGATCTGGGACACTGCTAATCGAACTTATCAGGTACAAGGATCTAATCCTTATCATTAATTTTTTTGAATTAATTTTAAAGTTTCAAAATTTTCTGTACACTTTCTTCCATACCTTCTCAGGAATATTCAGCATTTTCAGTGTTTTAAATCATATAAATCATGAAAAATGTTGAAGAATTGAAATCTAACTGATAAAAATCTCTAGTGACCACTTAAGAGGCTCCTCAAGGACTATCTAGAAAAACACTAAATTGGCCACTTCAGAGGCTCCTAGAGAGGACACTAAAGTGGCCACTAAGACCACCTCTATAGAAACACATAAATTGCGTTTTAGTGGCCACTATAGTGTTTTTAAGTGGTCTAGTAATACCAATAAGAATTCTAAAGGGTCGGCTAATTTTCAGCCACTCAAGTGGACACTAATTTGACTGCTAAAGTGGCCACTTACATGTCAAAACCCTGAAGGTTCACTAAAAATTTTGACATAGCGATTTGAAAATAATTGCTATTCAAAGTGTGCGCAGTTTGCAGAAACTCCGCCCATCGAATTTTTTTCAAGTCTTGTTTTTTTTTTAATTTTTTTACAACAAGAATAAGTGAGTTATGTAACCATTTTTGTTCATAGCGATCTCTTGACGACGCCCCGCCCACAATTTTCGTAATATATGACGTCCTTGGTGCATACACAGCACGGCACTAACTTGCATTTGTGGAATTATCACGTACCGTAATCCAGAAAAACTATAACTTTTTGCATTCATTTAATTTTTTTAATTTTTTCTGATTGGTTTTCATCTTTTTATCATTGCTTTTTAGCAGCAATGTGAACATTTTTGAAATATTTAGATTTTTTTCAAATTTAGTATTTTCCGTTTAGATATTGAAGATAAATGAGCAAATATTCACTGTTTCTCTTTTTTCAGCTTCAAAAAAGTTTTTTTGTCCATTTAAAATTGTAAAAATTTCGGCAGTATGTTACATTTCGTCGGCGGTAAATGCACAAGAAACATCATATTTGACGATTTTTAGGGGCAGAACGTAGCTCTGGAAACGCCGTGCACGGCGTTCTTGTCAGTGAAATAAAATGCAAAAAAAAATACCAGGAGCGGGCCTCCTTAAATCGTACGACTACAGTAGTTTTTATCTGTTCAGGACCCGTTTTTGGATTACAAGACCTACCCTATAAAGTTCTCTCTCAAGATTTACGGAAAGAGTTAATTGAAAAAAAAAGCATATTTTTTGCTTTTTTCTTTATTAATACTTCTTTTAACGTTTTTTCTATAAGTACAAGTTATTATTCAGTTCCTTTGACGTAGTTTGAAACCAGTTTCGTGTAAATTAGTGCCAAGTTGAACTTGCTGATGCAGTTTGAAGGCTTTGTTATATGAATCATCAAAATTAAATTTTTTTTTCTAGTTTTTTGATGGTTTTTCGTATTTGAACAAACATTTTGCTATACGAGGTTTTTTCTAAAATTTCTGCTTTTTATCCATTATTTGTTTTTCTGGAGTTAGGTTTTCAAAGTATATAAAATGTTTCTTTTTTCATTTGCTCCTCGAATTTTCCTCATTTCAATATTTTCTGTATTTATAATTGCTTATTCAATGAGAGCTGATTCACCTTCATAATATTTTTTGTTTTTATTTTGTAATCAGTATTTTAGAGTTTTCCCCTTTCGAAATCGTTCCTAAATGTTTTTTTAACGTGAGTGAATGTTTTTTTCACATCATATTCTTCAAACTGACAAGATTGCGAACATTTCAGGAGTTATTACCCTAAAACTGCAAATTCTAAAATTGAAAAAAACAATTTTGAGTATGCGATAGTGCGCCTCGGTGTGCTTACACCCTAAGCATCATAATTTACGAAAAGTCTTGACCTTGCGTAACAAAAAAAAAAGCCGTGCGTTTCAATACAGCCTTTTTTGCACTACCTTTGTCATTTTTTCATGCCTTTCTAACCGAAACAAACGTTTCATTTTAAAATAAGCTTCAGAAAGGCGCAAGAGTCGAGAAATTCCTCTTCACGACGGCCTTCAAAATCGCCGATTGGAATGTTCGCAGCGAGTTGCTGCTCACGTGGAGGAACATCACTGGCCGGTATCCCGAGTTCGATGCCCTCGTTTTCGATGAAAACAACTTTTACAGTGATCAGGTATTTTTTTGAATGGATTATAGAAAATTTTTCAATTTTGAGATGCTCGAACTTCAAACGACGATCTTGTCGTCTCTTGGGACAGCTATTATTACGCTCATGACAGGTTTTATTGAATTTTAATGATTAGAAGGTTTTTTTGAAGTTGAAATGTATTGAAAAAAAATATACAAAATTCAAAATAGCCGTCAAAAAAGGAAAAGATAACCGAAAATAGGGTCAATTTTGAATTTTTTGGAAAATCTTCAAGATTTCTAGAGTAGTCCCTATAGGAATTTAAAGTCTTTGCCCTGAACCCCTAAAGCTCAAGTGGTCCCTATAGGGATAAGCGGAACAAACAGCTCTCATAGGAGGTGAAAAAGTGATCCCTATAGGGATTTAAACTCTTACCCCTAACCTTTAAAGCTCAAGTGGTCCCTATAGAGATTAAGGGAACAAAAAGCTCCCATAGGAGCTGAGAAAGGGGTCCCTATAGGGATTTGAAGTCTTTGCCCTGAACCCCTAAAGCTCAAGTGGTCCCTATAGGGATAAGCGGAACAAACAGCTCTCATTGGGGCTGAAAAAGTGATCCCTATAGGAATTTTAAGTCTTACCCCTGAACCTGTAGAGCTCAAGTGGTCCCTAGAGGGGAACTCCAAGGACCCCTAAGGCTACCCCTATAGAGACCACTATGAAATTCAACGGAATGCCTTCATAGCTAAATTTTTTTGAGGCTTCATTCATTCAAAGCTTTCTGATAAGAAAAACTAATTGTTGAACTTTTTACAGTCTGTATCCTGTTCATCGCCGAGTCTTCGATCGTCTTCTGGGTAGCCTTCACGTTGGTCTCGATGGACATCGGGACAGCTGGATTTTTGTCTCTCTGGGGCGCCGATTTGGACCCGACGACTGTCGTCAACATTTTGGTGATTTTTTTTGGTTTATTTAGGAAACAAAAGTCATCTTCCTACATAAAAAAAAATAAAGGAAGCTTTTCCAGTCAGCATATTTTAACCAAAGGGACGCAACTGATTTTTCGAATAAGTTCAAAAAAAGATCGATATCTCTTTGAAAATGTTGTCGGAAGATTTTATAACCGATAAACAACTAGCTAGGGACAAAAAGAAGCGTCTGTTCAAGGTTGGATATTTTTTTGAACTTCATTTGAAAAAAATAAGGTGTTTTTTTGTGCTCCAGAAAAAGAAGCTTCATAATTTTTTTCACTCAGATTTTTTTTCTAGTTTTTAAAAAAAAACCTCTATTTTCCTCATAAAACGGCGTTCCCAAACAGGGGGGGGGGGGACATCAAAAAAATTTTGGCGCGAAAATTCAAATCTCAATTACGCAGCCAAAGGCGATAGAACAAACAAGTTATTGACATTGAATACTCAGTGCGATTTGTGACGTAGTATGACGTCATTTTATCCGGAGCGCGCACTTACTTTTTCTTGTAAATTCAGAAACTTTGACGCCTCGCTCACCTTCCCTCACCCCATTAGGAATGTCGTGTAAAAAGATATAGCTGATTCACGGTTAGCTTGGGATGCTAAGGGGCGTCTCTCTGCACTCTCCACGAGGCAGGCACTGTCTCGTGCATTATCGTGTCAGGACCCTTTTTTGGTTTGCTCAAGACAGCCGTGAATCAGCTATAGCTTGGGACGAAAAAAAGCGTGGCCTGTCTGTGCTCTCCACGAACCAGACGCTGTCTCTTTTCTAATCGTGTCAGGACCATTTTTTGAATGGTGAAGCCAGCTGTAAATCAGCAACAGCAGGTGGAAATGGACTCAAAGAAAAGAAAGTTATTTAGAAAAAAGCAAAATTTTTCTCATTCGGAGGCATTTATCAAATTTCTAAATAAATTTACGGAGTTCCAGATGTCAATCGGACAGTGTATCGATTTTTCAACACATGTCGGGTACAGAATCTACCGTTCCGAGTACGAAGATCCTGATGAGAGGTGCGAATTATGGAAATGTCGCCGAAAAAAAAGTTTTTTAGGATTCGCGACGCTTTGGGGGCGATCGGATGGCCGGTAGTTCAAGCTGGAACTTCTACGTTACTAGGTTATTTGATTTTCATTTTTCATTTATGATCAACCTGGAGATCCTTTAGGGCTTTCTAGGCTTCTGAAATGCCCTTTAAAACTTTAAAAGACGTATTTTTCATATCTTTTTCCAAAAATCATTCGATTTTATTCATGAAATTTGAGATTTTTTTTTTTAAATTCTAATACTGCGAAATTTATTTTCTTTTCCACGGGCAAAGTCCAAACGGCCTCAAAATCCAGAACTCTTTTTTTCAGTTCCTAAAAATTAGTCAAAAGTTCCTCTGAATCACCTTTTTTCCGCCTGCTTCTTTTTTTTTTGACCTAGACAGGTCTTTTCTAGAAAAAAAAAACAAGGAAAAAGACTCGGGCAAAATCGGAATGATGGATAGTCGCCGCTAAAAGGGAGGGGCTCAAAAAAGGCCGCGGAAAGGCAGCAAAAAGAGTCCCTTTATAGAGCCTCTCATTATTTCTGGAGGCTCAAAAAATGGTGGAAAAAGGAAGAGGCAGCAAAAATGGTACATAATAGCCGATGAAATGGCCCTAAAAGGCAGCAAAAAAGGAACATTTTTATGAAGCATTTTTCCACCTTTTCCGACTTTGCCTATGATGCCTGTAAAGGCCTTTTCCCAGAATCTTCTTTTCAAGTCTTTTTGTACTTTTCCCATGATGTTTCCGATAAAATATGCTCCCTAGGAAGCGTTTACCCCCCCCCGCCCCCCGCGCGTTGAACTTTCGAAACTTGCCTAAAGTGTACTTTAGGGCCTTCCTGATTCTAAAACAAAACAAAAAATTACTCGCATTGGATTTGGTTTCCGATTAAGGGCGCTTCAAACGTCCGAATCAGCCTTTTTGTCATAAATTGCGTCTTTTGCGAGCTTTGAAGCGTAAAAAAAAGTTCAAATAGCGGCTGAAAAACGTTCCCTTATCAGTATCGTTGGAAAAATTCTCATTCTTCCTTATTCCTCTCCAATATTGATTTTACAGCAATAGTTGTGATGATTCTGGTTCCTTCAAGCGCTGTCAGAATGTTCGCCAGGACTTCAGTTCTCGTCGTTGCCACGGGACTTTTCCATGGCCTCCTGATCTTGCCGATTATCGTTAGGTTTGTTGATCTCTATTTTTTTATCTTCAAAGTTTGAAAAATTTAATTTATTACAAGTCAAGTTTGAAAAAAATATAAAAAAATTAAAAAGAAAAAAACGATCTTTTTACAGATTGATAAGAATTAGGAAAAGCTTAAGAGCTAACGGAACAGTTCTTAGGAGAAAAATTATTGATTTTTTCATGAGCCGTAGTGACCACTTAAGAGGTCCCTCAAGGATTCCTTGGAGAGGACCCTTAAGTGGTCACTGAAACCATCCCTACAGAAGCCACTATTTCCTTCTTAGTGACCTAGTAGTACCAGATAGACTTGTAAAGAGGCCACTAAATTTTAGCCACTTAAGTGGCCACTAATACAACCACTAACCCGTTAGTTTCTTAAATTTCAATTTTTCTTCTCATTTACTGAAAATTTAATTTCCAAATTTTCAGATCATTCGCCCCACACGCGAAAGCCCACAAGCCGAGTCATCATTAGAATATTTGTCCAATTTAACATTTTTCCAAACTTCAGGTGCTTCAAATCAACCTTATGAGATTTCTGTCGATTATATTTTAGAGCCCTCCTCTACGGGTACCTTTTTTTCTTGTTGAATAAATTCTATTGCCTTTCTTGTCTTCGGAAAGTCGGAAAGTATGTTCCCACAAAAATAATCTCGAATTTAATAGATTTGTGAGAATGTAAGGTATGAAACGAGAACGGATTTTGAATTTATTTCTGAAAAATGCAGCGAATCGCTTTGATTTTTGCCGCTATCTTTCTCGTATTCTTGGCGGCTTCTGTTCAAGGTTAGATGATTTTTTTAATTTATTTTTTTAAAAAAATTATCAGAAAGTAAGGTGTTTATTTGCGTGCTCCAGAAGAAGCTTCATAATTTTTCAGGAAAAAATTTTCAAATCTCAAGTACGAAAATTCAAATCTCAAGTACGCAGCCAAAGGCGATAGAACAAACAAGTTATTAACGTTGAATGCTCAGCGTAATTTGTGACGTCATTTTATCCGGAGCGCGCACTTACTTTTTCTTGTAAATTCAGAAACTTTGACGCCTCGCTCACCTTCCCTCACCCCATTAGGAATGTCGTGTAAAAAGATATAGCTGATTCACGGTTAGCTTGGGATGCTAAGGGGCGTGGTCTCTCTGCACTCTCCACGATCCAGGCACTATCTCGTGCATTATCGTGTCAGGACCCTTTTTTTCGATGGCTCAAGCCAGCCGTGAATCAGCTATATTGAATTGAGTGTGAAACATGTCCAAGTGGCCTTCAAGCGATTCTTGAGATTCTAAGCAATTTAGTGATCACTCAAGTGTTTTAGCCCATCTTTACTATAAACTTGAATAATAATTGTAGCCGACTGCATCGACACTGGCTGTCCAGCAGGCGAAAAGTGCACGAGCAGCATTTACAGCTGCATGAAAGAATTCAAACCTTGCAACTCGATCTTCAGAATGTGCCGACCATCGAAATGAAGGCGTCAGAATAAAGTTCGAAATTATCTGATTGCTGTTTTGAAATAATTTCACTTGAAACGTGAGGATTCGCACAAAGATAGACCTAAAAAAAGAAACCATGAAAAAAAACCAAAATCTCTGAAAACCTCAAAGGACCTCTTAAGAGGTTTTTTAAGGACTACTTGAAAAGGACACTAGAGTGGCCACTGAAGGCAACTATGTAGAAGCCATTATTTTGCGTCTTAATGGCCACTATAGTAGTTTTGGTGGTTTAGTAGTACCAGGTAGACTTCTAAAGATGTCACTTTTTAGCCACCTGAGTGTCCACTAATTCAACTACTACAGTGGCCACTAGGACGTCAACAGATACTTTTCAAGAAGAAACATCCGAAAGGTGAAAACAACTTCATTCAAAGTTAAAAATGAAAAACAGCAACAAAAGAACAGAAGAACAAAAACAAGAAGTTCACAACTCAAAAACGGATAACAATAAAGAATTTTTCAAAAAAATGCAATAGAAAAAAGAAAGCTTCACTTTTTGTAAATATTCACCAAAGATATTCGCCCAAGTCGCGGGGCAAGGTTTTTCGCAAAAAATCCTTGGAATACGTGGCTTCGACAATTTCGGCGCTCATCTCCTTCAGCGTTATGTATTTTCCTGGAATTCATGCCGTGTTCAAAGTAATTTCCGCGAAATGCAAAATGATCTCTGACTCTCCAAAATTTAGTGATCTTTTCCTTTCTCTAACGGGTATTTTGCATTTCGCGGAAATTACTTTGAACACGGCATCAAATATATTAAACAAAGAGAATGGTTTTTCACCAAGAATCACGGGGTCTTGAAAGTTAGGCTTGCTTTGAATTTCCGATAAGGAGGAGAAAATATGATGGCCCTCGACGTCGCGAATGAAAAGCCGCGACCCGTTGATGATTAACTCGCGCAAAAAGGATAAATGCCTTAAAGATACTATTAAAAACGGTGGATAAATTGATATTCGGTTACTTGAAGCCAGGTTTCTCATCGGGTTTCTGCGAAAACTCATAAAAGTAATGGAAAATTGCCGCGAGCGCCGTATGTCCGTACGCATCTTTCTCATTGACGTTGGCGTCAGCTTGGACGAAAATCGAAACCCAATGCGGTTTACTGAAGTATATTTAAGATATAGTCGATCCATCCCGAATTGAAAGGCGAGGGATGCGTAGCGTGCGCGTACGCGGTTTTCGGTAAAGGCCATTCCGCGCCAACTTGTCGGGTTTTTCTTTCCGCCGAAAGGCCAGGTAAAAATTTAGCAAATTCTCTTCAAGACCTTTGTTTCTTGCCGTTATAAAAGCATAAATTCGATCTAATTTGGTATACGATCTTTTTGGCGGAGAGAAAAACGTGACAAGCTGGCGCGGGATAAGCTATACGATTCAAGGCGGTTTTTTTTTGACGTCGCGCCGCTTTTTTCCGGTAAATGTAGTGTGTCGTGTGCATGCACTGCCCCGCTTTCGCACATGCCGTGTTGAAAATAATTTTCGCGTAATTAAAAATCATCTCTGAATTTTCGAAATTCAGTTATATTTTTCACTTACTGGTGGCTACTTTGAAATTCGCAGAATCACTTAGATCACGTAACAATAAAATTGCGTTTTTAAAAAAATGAGAAATCGATTAGTCTCGTGACCTGTTGACCATGCGCCTTTAATAATTCCTGTTGTTTACGCCTGTTTCCCATGACGTCAAACTGGAACGGACCGCTTTTTTGACAACTGTTCTATTTTCTCAACGCACAAATGAATATGAAAAATTAAAAAATAAATGAAAAAAATTAGTCGCTGAAGAACCGCGCGCGCACACGCTACGCGTCCCGCCTCCCTCGCCTTTCAAGACGGGAATGACAATTCTCGCACTGATCACCTGAGAAACATTGTTGAATGAAAAAGTGGAATTTCGTGGAATTCGGCGATTCGAAACGTGGAAGACAACTGAAAAAGGCGATTTTTTCGAAAGAGCTTATTAACACGCTGTCTCTGTAACTGTTAAAAACAACGGGTACAACAAAAAATTTTATTTTTTGACTCTGATGAAACTTTATCCAGTGTGATAACCCATCATCAGAAAAGCAGACACAACTTTTTGAGCCATTTCCTCTTACTTTTCTTACCTCTCACGCAAAAATTGAGTTCAAAGAAATTCTAATTTTTTTCGTGGCATGGTGTGGAGCATACTGAAGGGCATATTCCATGAAAGCAATCACGACGCGATTCTATGCCGACGGCCAGGGTGACCGAAAAACCTACTTTCCAAACACAAAAGACACCGTAACTCGAAAATTCCTACAGTAACCGAAGATGGTAAGTACTGAGAAAACTGCTAAAACTGGATTACCTATCGATTGATATATCACATGCTTAGTAAAAACTCTTCAATGCTTAGATACGCAGGTGCCCACCTGCCCACCTGCCTACCGTAACTCGGCTACAGTAGGAGGGAACGGCTCAAAAATTTGCGTCCGCATTTCTGATGATGGGTTATCACACTGGATGAAGTTTCATGAGAATCAAAAAAATTTTTTTTTTATTGTACTCGTTGTTTTTGACAGTTACAGAGACAGCGTGTTAATAGCTTACATATGAAACTCGGAATCCTCTTTCGGTTCGATCTTCAGGGCTTTTGGGAGCGCTTCCAATCTGAAACCGAATAAATATTCCAAACGCTAAAAAGAAGGAAATAACCACATATAGAAGGTTGAAAATACTTTCGCCCACTTCTTTGAGAAAATCATTTTCGACGCGTCGAAATATAGCCTGAAATCAGTAGGCTTATCTTTGACATGAATGCGGAAGTACTGGGAAAAGCTGAAGTGGGTCCTATAGGGAGTGTTAGGACCTCCTAAAGAGAGAAACTTGTAGGAACCCCTATAGGAGGCCTTTAAAACCACTTTTTCGTTTGGGAGAAATTCGTTTTTCATCTGGGAAAAGCTATAGTGTGTCCTAAAAGACCATTTAGGGGATCTTTTCGTATACCTCCGTAGGGTTTTTTTTTTCCCTATAGGACACACTACAGATAATCCCAGTGAAGAGAAAAGTGCAGGGTGCGCATAGAACACTTGAAAAAAAATGCTTGGCTGTTAATTCATGCTTTGTTTCTCTTGATTACAAAAGCTATTTTGTACCGACTCCTATAGGGGCCACTAAAGCTTGCAAAAGTGGTCCTTATAGGGAACATGCTAGTCGAATTTTTACGAACTCTATGTGAAGAAGCATTTCCTGGGAAAACTGATTAAATAAGCTTTTTTTGAATGAAATTTAAAGACTCCTATAAGGACCACTTGAACATTTTATGAATCAGACTCTAAAAACCTCTAGGAACCGCCTCGATTTTAGCCCTATAGGGACCACCTTTCGTCCCCTAGGGGGCTGCTTTTCCCTCTTAACCTCTATAGGGACCACTCTGGGATACCTACCCATCTTTGTTTGTTTGCTGCACTCCGAAAGACTTGAAAAAAAAATTCAAGCCTTTTAAATAAAGCTTGAGCGATGAAACTCTGTATTTAGAAGCACGCAACCCATGTAAAAAATCATAGAAAACAGGATTTGAAAAAATTGGATAGCAGTGTTTTAAAGATTATTGCAATACTTTATGCGCACTCCTAAAATAGTTACTGAGAAAAGTTTAGAGGCCCCTATAGGGATTTATAGGGGTTAAGATAGGGGAAAAAGACTAAAAAGCTGCTTAAAAAAATTTACCTCCTATAGGGGCCCCGACATGGCGAAATCCCTATAGGGGTCCCCTAAACTTTTCTTAGTAGCTTGCCCTAAAAAACTGTAGTTTTTTAGACCCATTTTTTAAAGGAGAAGTAGAACGGACCCGTCTCAATGCGTAGAAGACCTCGTCGAGCAGTTCGTCGGCGAGTTCAACGAGTTCTTCCCAAGTTTCTTGGCTCCGTCCTTCGTTGAATACCATTGAACACGCCATAAGCTGGGTGCTGATGTAGCTTATCACGAAAATTGAAGATTCTGACAGCCCTTCGGCTCTACAAAATATAAATTTTCAGTTCAAAGAAAAAAATAAATTACTGGAAATACAAGTAAGCAGTGTGATGGATGAGGTCGTTGTCGCTTAAAAAATCCAGCTTCGCTCGTTTTTTTTTCGTCAAAGTAATATCTGGGATCGTAACGGAAGGAGAAAAATCGGATATACCGGCGTAACTGATTTCGAACGGCTGGATGACTTTCGTCAAGGATTCTTTCTCGCATTATGAAGCACTAAAAAAGATTTTGAACTTCAGGAAAAATAAATCACGGCATTCCTAATGGGGGTGAGAGAAGGTGAGCGAGGCGTCAAAGTTTCTGATTTTACAAAAAAAAGAAAGTGCGCGCTCCGGATAAAAGGACTGTGACGTCACAGCTACCTATTAAACTGAGTATCCAACGGCATGAAAAATACCGTACTCCCCATTTTGCTGCGTACTTGAGATTTCGAATTTCGAGCCAAAAATTTTTTGACGTCTCCCCACCTCGTTTAAGAACGCCGTGAAATCGTTTTTTTACTTGAAGGATTACGAATCTTTTCAGATCTTCAGGTTTCTCGGCTTCAAACTCGCGGAAAGAGGTCGCTTCATTCAGATAATCATAGGCCCGAATCGGATTCTCACAATAATTTTCTCTCTTCAAAAATTATCGATAGAGCTAATTAACTATTTTTCAGTGGAAACATCCTTGTCGGTGATCATTCCCAGGGGCCTCCTCAAACAGTCCAACTTTTCCAAGTTCAGCTCTTCTTGGCAACTCAAAAGTTCGGTAGTTGCTCTCAGCAACAGCGCGTCTTTTTTCAAAACCCTATCCTCGACGTATTCAATCAAATGAGCGAATATTTCAGGCTGCAAAGATGAAAATTACAACAAAAAATATTTGAAAGTCGAACACAATCCGGATCCAAAGCCGCGACGAACAGCGGATTCGTGAAATTCTCGGCCGTTTCAAAACTCGCGCCTTCGGAAGTTAGAAGCTTCACGAGGATGATATTACGATCGATTATAGCATAATGAAGCGCCGATAACCCTAAAAACTGATTTTGTAAAAACCTTCAACTAATATCTTTATGCATTTTTTAAAATACGATTAAATAGTTTTTCCTATCAAAGAACCTTGGGGCCACGCGCCCACTTCAAATTTTGTTTTTGCATATTCTTCAAAATCTCTCAGTTGAAAGACAAACTCTGATTCACCATCGTCATCGACAGCATTGACGGAAAGACCTTGAGCGATAATAAACTTGAAAATTTCCGCCTGCAATGAAAACTATACAATCTCAAAAGCCTCTTGAGAAACCGATTCTTCGTAGTCGAAAAAATCAGACTTCATAAACAACGTTTTGCCGTCCTCATCACGGTCTTGAACGGAGGCGCCTTTCTCGCAAAGAAGCTTCACTGAAAATACATAAATGCATTAATAAATAATTCGTTTTCACCTTGTTTGATATTGGAATCTCTCACCGCAGCGAACAACGGCGGCTCGGTATCAAAGCCGATCGCCATATCCAGCAAAAGCTCTCTGAAAGTTTCAAGAATCTACTAATATATGTTAAACCTCCGACAACTGCGCGCATAAAGGCGCCCGCTTCCCCGCCTAAAGGCGCCCCCTTCCCCGCCTAAAGGCGCGCACATCCCGCGCTTTCGTGGCGCAGTAGTGCCGCCGCGTCGCGGGAACTGCGCTGTTGTGCCGCTTTCGAGGCGCTTTCAATGCGGTTTTACCATTCAAATAGCCTCCTTTTGCTCAATTGGGCTCTATTTTTCGTACTTCGTCAATCATGACTGATTGATAAAGTACGAAAAAAATGAAAGCCAAAAAGAGGGTTTGCCTTATTAGTTTACAAAACTTCAGATATCAGAAATAATTTTTTTAGGTAGATTACCTATAGCAGGATATAAAGATAAAATTTTTTTGTGAAAATATATATTTGAAGAAACTTCATACAAATAAAAAAACTCAAAAAAAGACTGTCCAAAAAACTTTTTTTTGTAGAGAAAAAGAAATAGTAAATAGCTCAAAGAAGATTAGCGTAAAAAATGACTAATGAATCGACGGCCAAATGAGAAATCGAGATGGAAAGAAAAAGAGACGACTCGAACAATCAAAATGCTAACGGAATTAACAGAAAAATTTAATCTCCTTGATCGTCAACGAGAAACAATCCAATATCGCGACGCCTTCATTTAGACGAGTCGTTTTACACGTTTCCTGTAAAAAGTCGCAATGAACTATTCGATAAAGCTCTCAGATTTAGTTTTATTTTTTTATTCTACCCAACAAAAAAATGTATATGCCGTGTTCAAAGTGATTCCGCGAAATTCAAAATACCCGTTAGAGAAAGAGAAAGATACCAAATTTTCGAGAGTCAGAGATAATATTGCGTTTCGCCGAAATTTCTTTGAACATTCTATTTTTTCTTGCTTAGTTTTCTTATCTAATGTACACGAGCTACTCACTCGTATCACCCAGTTTTTTTTTCTTCCAAAAAACGCTTGTTCACTCTAAAAATGTACTTTTCTCATGCAAACATTGACGTTAAACTTTTTTCGTTCTAGCTTTTCATCTGAACATGAGGTATTTTTAACTTCCAATTCAGAATTTTCTTTTGATTTTCCCAAATATGGATGGATTCGTATAGCTGATTCACGGCTGGCTTGAGCCATCGAAAAAAGGGTTCTGACACGATAATGCCCGAGATGGTGAGTGCAAAATTTTTTGCATTTTTTTTTAAAGAAGAAGAAGAAAAGTTTGTGAACAGCATAAAAAAAGTAAAACGTCATTTCTTAAAAAATTGATTATCAAAAAAAAATTGAAGGAATTGAAAAAAGTCATATTTCGCACTTCGATGCCTGTTGGAATTTTTCCTAGATCTCTCTGAAATTTTTTCTATGAATGACGCGAATTGAAAACATACATAGTTGTAGTGCAAAAACAGACTATTTTATTCATTAAGTTCTTCTTCGAGAACCAAATTAATCAAGAAAAATCGTTTTCATCCATTTTATGCCTTTTACAAGGTTTTTGCCTTCGAGGGAAATGCAGAAAACTTTAAACTCCGCAGATACCATGGATACTCAAAAAAAAAAAAAAAACAGCGAGACTGCCCCAAGCTACCCTTGTGAAAGAAGGAAGTTCAGGCGCGTACATGACTCTTCCTCTATTTCTTTAGAGAGATTTTTCTCAGAAGCCTATGGGGTCTAGTAAATAATCTACTTTCTTTCCTTGGGCGTAGGTTCATAAGTCGCCAAAGTTTCAACTCGACCCCTGCTCAAGCGAGTCGATTTTTGAGTTTTGGGGTGATTACTATTTGAGTTCGTACGAGAATATTGGAAATTTTTTAGAGTAAATTTTTTCCGTTCGTGAAATGAAATTTATTCCATGATAACGCTCAGAAACCCAAAAAAGTTGGAGAGGCTTCGGAAAAAGATATTTAAAAAAGTTAAAGAACCATCTAGAAAAAGCAGAGCTGTGCTTTGGGTCGAGCTGATGGCCGACTCAGCCCACAATCAGTCGCAATCGCGAACTTTTTATCTCACTTTATACTTCACATCACATAAGTTTTTCTAAATAATACATTCCCCGTCACTCACTTCCCGATTTACACAAGTAAGAAAAAGGGCTCGAAGTTTTTGAAAAATTCGGATTTCATCTATCATTTTGTACACTGAATCGGATCACTCACAGATTTTCGACATCTTTATTAGATTCGCCAAAAAAAGTCCAAAAATCGAAGCGAGTCAGGGATAAATTCGAATTTCGCGAGATTACTTTTTGGCACAGTTGAGTTTTTTTAATTGCGTTTTTTTCAATGATATAATTTATGTTAGTTTTACAAACTCGATCGGATACCGGAGAACGTTCTAATGTATAACAGTAGCGAATTAGAGTTTTTTTTTCAAATTCGGCAAAATCTTTTTTCACGTTTTTCACACGGCCTCTGGATTTTCTGCACAAGCCACGCCAAAAAATGATTAACTAGCGTGTAAACTCACAGTTTTAACATCGATTCCATTTTCAAGCCCAGAAACGCTGATCATCGTAGAAATAAAAACCTCAGATTTAGTCAATCATTTATTCGACAAGTGACCTGAACAGAAATGAGATTATTCAACGAAAAAGGTAAACTTACCTCATATTGAGGATAACTAAATAAATAATGCTTTCCAAGAGAGGAAGAGAGAGGTCTAACAATCTTCGAATCAAGTTTGGCGAAACAAAACCTGAAAACAATCGGAAAAAAGTTTTGCATGGCGGTAGCAATAAGAAAAATTTATTTAAATGTTTTTTCAGCAAAATAAAAAAATGAATATTTTCAACGATCATGACAATGAAAAAGAAATAAATAAAAGAAGAAACGAAGTCCCAAAAACTTTTGAAATAAAAATTGTAAGAAACATGTTCGCGCTGCCGCATTTTCAATCTCGTCGCCTCAATTTCGGAGGTCCTCCGACTCTGCCAAGTTCGGGGCGCCTTTAGGCGAAACGGCCAGTTGCGGGCGCCTTTAGGCGGTGCCGTGTCGGAGACCTGCTTGTGTGAGTGCTAAAGGAGAAGAAATAGACTTAAATTATGACATCGAACAATAGTCAAACAACTAAGAATATCAATATAAATTGATTACCGTTTTGAATATCTCGTTATTGCCTCTTAAAGCACGAAAATACAAACAAAAGGAACAAATAGGAAAACGTTTTTCGAAGAAAAAGCGGACTTTGAAGTGAAAATATTTTGTCGAAGTTCTGTATTTTGTGACGCCGTGAGCACATTTGCGGTCGGCGTGTTGAACTTCACGCGCTTCTGGGTTCTTTTTTTTCGCATTTTTCGCGCTTCTGTGTTTTCTTGTTTGCAGTTTACCCGCCTCTATGTTTTTTTTTCTCGATAAATCGAGTTCGTTAGAAGTTTGCCAGACGTAATTAATTTTCTCTTTTCACGAACTTTCAGGCTAACAGCAGCGCCATGGACATCCGATCAACAGTATCGAAGAACTCGCTGCACAAGGGTTGTCCCCGTGAGTTTGTTCATTTTGCTCTTCCCATGAACTTTTTGGCACAGGGTCAGGCCGGAAAACTTTTTAAAGGAGCATAGGTTTAAAATCTCTGAACGTCCTGTGTTCTTTCCCATGATTTTTCTTTCATTTTCCATTTTTTTTTTTCCGTTTAGGTGAACGGCATTTACTAAAAAAGGTTGCAATTAAATATTTGAACGGTTTACTCGAAAAAAAGAGAACAAATTGAGTTCGCATCAAGCCCCGTTTCGAATTTGGCGTCTATTGTTGTCATTTTGGGGATGAGAGGCACAAAAACCGATTCTCCCCTTTTTTGAGACTTCTGAAGATGTTCGAGTTTTTTTTTTCAGTACTCTTCGCAGCATTGAAAATTAGGCATTTTCTTGAAATATTGGGAAGAAAACATACCTCAGAAGCTTGTGTCGCTTCTCTGAAATGATTTATAATTTTTGAAATCAAACAAAGAAAAATATTAGGCGAGTCTCAAATGTTGTTCGCAGCTTAAAAAAAAGAAAAATTCAAGAAAAAAGCTCTTAAAATTGTTTTTTCGATAATCAAGGGAACCCTTACAGGGAAAAAATGTAATGATCACTTAAAAGGTTCCTCAAGGGGGCTAAAGTGGCCACTATAACCACCTCTATAGAAGGCACTATTTCCTAGTGATAGCTATAGCAATTTTTTGGTTTAGTAGTACTAAATAGACTTCTAAAGAGGCCACTGAATTTTAGCCACTGATTCGACTACTATAGCGGTCACTAAAACGTCGTGATTCTTAAGTGGCCACTCAAACTTCACCCAGTAAATGCTTAGATGACATCATGAGACTCGTTTGTACTACGAGCGGAAGTCCCAGAAGACCCGCCGCCACACAATCATAACGCAACTCCACCCTCACAAAGCCGCCAACGGCTCTTTTTGATTTTTTTTTTTTCGTATGTTCCCCTGAACGCTTTGAACCCTGACTTTTGAACAACTGAAAAATACGGATTTTAGAAAAGATAAAGCTCGAACCTTCAAAGAAACGAGGGACATATTTTTTGTCAACTCATTCGTTTTTATAGTGTCACATCAATCATTGAAGTTTAAAAACTTCCAAGATTTCTCAAGGAAAACATGGATTTTTGAAAAATATAGTTTGAACACCCAAAGAAACAAGTATATATTTTTTGAAGTCATTTTGATAGTGTCACATTAATCGAAGGAAAAGTCCAAAGCCTCAAAAAGAAGAATCTGAAGCTCTATTTTGAGCTCTTAAAAGGTGTCAAAAGTAACTTTGAATCTCCTTTTTTCCGCCTTCTTTCTTTACACCTCCTCAAAAAGGTCAAGAAAAAAAGGAGCTTTTGAGACCTTTTTCCAAAATATTATTGACCCATTAGGTACTTTTATTTCCATGAATTTTCATCTCCAAAGTTCCTTTTCAGTTTTCTTTTCTTAGGCAGGTTCTGAATCTTTTGAACTCCTAAAAAGTGTCAAAAGTTTCTCTGAATCTCCTTTTTTTTTACCTTGTTTTCGCCTTAGTCTTTTTTTTTTATCCTAACAAGGGTCCTTGGTCAAGAAAAAAAGACGCTTTTGAGGCCTCTTAAAGACTTTTTCTTCCAAAATATTATTTTTAGCTCCTTCTGGATTTTATCCACTTCCATTTCCATCAATTTTCATTCCCAAAAGTCCTGTTCAGTTTTATTTTCCCGGACCCTTCCAACAAAAAAAAAGTCAGCAAACCCTAGCTTTTCAGGACTTGGCCTGTGATGTTGGTAGTTAAAAAATAGGAGTAGGGAACGTTTTTACCCCCCGCGGTTTAAATTTTGATGAAATTTTTTTGAAGTGTACTTTAGAACCTCCTGATTGCATAAAAATAAAAAAATTTCTCGCAATTTATCTTGTTTTCGAGTTTTTTTACGCTTCAAAAATACGCAAATTTTGACAAAAATAACATTATTTCAAGCTTTTTGAAGTGTCCTAACTCGAAAAACGAGATCTATTGCGAGAAATTTTGTTTTTCTGGAATCAGGGGTCCTAAAAGTACCTATCAGCAAAGTTTCATCAAAAGTTCAACACGGGGGAGGGGGGTTAAAAACGTTCCCGGTAAGTACGTCATTTTCAGAAAAAGGAGCATTTGAGACCTTTTAAAGACCTTTTTCCAAATGATTGATTTTTACTCCTTCTGGATTTTACCCATTGCGTTTTTTCATCTCTATTAATTTTCATCCCCGTTCAATTTTTCTTTTTTTCTAGGTTGTTTCAACAAGCTGGAAAAAAAGCCAGCTAAGAGCTTCTAATTAGAGAACATCCCCCTGGTTGAAATTTTGATAAAACTTCTCTGAATTTACTAATCTGATTGCGGAAAAATAAAAAATTGTCGCGTTTTTGAGTTTTTACGCTTCAAAGTATGCAAAATACGCAAATTTTGACGAAGACGTTCCCGGTAAGTAGGTCCTTTTTAGAAAAAGGAGCATTTGAGACATTTTTTTCCAAAAGCTTCTTCACAAGCAAAGTCCAAAAGGACCTAAAAAGGCGCCTTTTTCTTGACCTTTTGCTGAAAAGGACCTTAAAAGGTGGTAAAAAAGGAAATTTCCCAGACACTTTTTTCTTGTATTTAGAGACCCAAGAAAAGCTTTAGGCTCTTTTTTAAGACCTCTTTGAGGTCTTTTGGACTTTTCCTGTTCTTCAGGTCCATCTGGACTTGACCCGTGATCATGGAAGTTTAAAAACTTCAAAGTATTTTTCAAGTTGAGTTGATCATTTTTCACTGCCCACCACCACCAACATTACTTTGAAAAGCAATAATTTCAAATTGGAGCCCCTTGACAAGCATTCTTTTACACACACACACACACACGTACACATTTCAAAGTCAATAATTCGCAGAAAAAGCTTGTGACAAATGATGTTTTTCTCGAAACGAAGATCACCGTTTTCCACGGCGACGGACCCCTCAACAGTTGTTGCACCTTTTCTCAACATTTTTGATCGGCCCTCTTATTTTTTTTCGTGGGTAGTTCAACGGAAACCTTCCACCCCTGATAGATCCGGTTACATTCCGCTTTTTATTTTTCTTCTCTTGTTTATTTTTTAGTTTTTATGAAAAGTCGTACGTTTCTAGGGTCGCCCGGAAATGTTTTTAGATTTTTGAAAAGGGGCTAGAACTTATATTTATGATTATTCAGAACCCGATTTAAAACTAGATTTTTTTTTTCTGGTTTCAAAGGTAGCTATACACAGAATTAGTATTGCTGTATCGAGCCATTTACAAAAAAGTGTCGAAATTCATTTTTAATATTCCAAATTAGAAGCTGAATCACATATATCCATTCCCAGGAATTAAATAATTAAAAATCCTGAACTTTGAGTAATTTTTCTTCAAGATCACTATTACCAACTCCATTCTTTTTCAAATTTTGAACTTTTTTTCAAAGTTCAACATGATATTAAAAAAAGTGATAAATGAGATTTTCTACCCTTTTTCATAAAAAAATTATTCGCCCCCCCTTCTGAAAAACTCTTTTTGCAACCAGTTTCTATACCTTTCTAGAGAAAATTTTTTTACTTCTTTAGGATGTTTTTGTTATTGTTTTTTTCTCATTCTTCTTGAGAAAAAATTGGTTTTGTTCCTTTTCTTCCCACCCAAATCTAATCAATCCATCATTCTCAGGCCACCAAAATAAGCTTCTGAAGCTTGAAAAAAAAAAGAGTCGAATTGTTTTTCGCTCCCTTTTGCCAGTTTTAGGTGTGGCTCAACAGGTTTTCGTAGGAATTTTTCGAAATTTTGATCATCTTGAAACTTCAAAAAAATTTTTTTTTCATAAAATGAAATTCGTGTAAAAAAATTTACTTTTTTTATTTTATCAATTTTCACATTAAAGTGGGCTCCATCCGGGATTTTCAAACTTTTAAACTTAAGTGAGGAAATCAGGACACTTTTTCCAAAGGATTTTTTTAAAATTCGGATCGATTCCAGAGAAAAAGTCCTCTTCTCACAGAAACGCCATAAACCGTTTATACCAAAAATTTCAGATTGAGTTTTATAAGCTCAAATTGTAATCATAATAACTACACAATGTCCTGAAAATTTTACAAGCGTTTTTGACAGGCTCCGCCCCTTTTTTTAGATTTTTGAGAGGCTCCGCCCCACGGTAGGGATATTACCAAAAAATAAAAATGTAACTTTTTTCTCCGTCGTCCAAATCGAATGTAACTATTTTCAAACGAAAGCCAGTGGCAAATTGAACACTTTCCGTTCACAAACTTTTTTTTGAATATTTTTTTCATAACGAAATAAATTTATTTTCATTAGAAATTGTGCGTTTTTTTGGATTTAGCGGTTTTTCGACTGGAAGAAACCACTTGAAAGTTAAATTTTTTCGCTCAATCGACGCATTGGGTCTTTTTGTGCTAGAAAAATATAATGACAATTGATCCAGTGAACCTCTAACTAGTTGAACGCATCTAAAATCATAGATTTTGTTGAATTTTAAGTGGAAAAAGAACCAAAAACGTGATTTTTGTCATTTAAAAGTTTGATATTAGCGCTCTTTGGGCCGGCTGTTTTTTCTTGAGGCTTCGCTAAAACCGGGCCGGCCCTCGCCTAGAGAGAGTGTAGGACAAAGGCGCCGATTCCAAGAGCGCCAGTCCGCAATGCGCCGTCGCGTGTATGCGACGTGTATGCAGACGCCGCTTTCTTTTGCGCCGAGTCCGTTTGCGCCGTTATTTTTTAAACAGTTTTTTGTAACGGTCATCTTAATTTCGTGGAACAATAGTTCGAGTTTTTTTCGAAAATGGGGTAGAAAAGTCCATATTAACAGGTGGCGCGAAAATTATTCGATTTTTATATGAATGTGCACTACACAATCAACAAACAATGATAGAAAAAGAGAAAAAAGAAAAGTTCAAAATAACGGCGCAAACGGACTCGACGCAAAGGAAACGGCGTCTGCATACACGTCGCATACACGCGACGGCACATTGCGGACTGGCGCTCTTGGAACCGGCGCCCTTGTTCTACACTCCCTAGAGAGAACGATTTATTGATCAAAAACGTGAATAACTGTTCAAAAAAACTCCCTCGACTCGAAAACTCAATATTTCACGCCGAAGAAAGTTATTGAGCGGTGATTCGTCATAATCGTTCATCGATAAACCAACGCTATGTCGGTCGGAACACCTTTTATCTCCTCTTGTTCTTCGCTTATTTTCCCGTCCGCCAGAACTACAAACTCATTGCTCGTCGAACCCGCCACACGTTATGAACATCAATCAGCGACAGTTGTGGCGGCTCTCTTGTTTTTCCCCGCCACTCGGAGCCTCCACTCGAAACAGTAAAGTCATGTAGTTTTCAAGTAGCTCCCCGCTTCTCATTTGAATCCGATCGATTGGTCTCCCTTTTTTATTTTTAAAAAATCATTCATGAAGAGGAGATATCAAAATTTTGGTATTTTCTGATATTTCGGTACCTTTTCTTGAGCTCAAATTTCGTTTTGTGGTTCAAATTTTTTTCGTATGTTTCCTGAGCCTAAATTCCTCAGTTTGAATTTTGAAGATCAAGAGTTCATCCAGACTTGAAACTTGATATTCGCCTTGTAGGTGAGGTTTCTAGAAGTATACAAATCTTTTTTCAGCCGATTTTTATTTTTCAATGGAAAGACAGCCACTTTTTTACTGTTAATAACGGCTCGAATCGAGTATCAAAACAGAAATCAGCCTTCAAATCAAGTTTACAGAACAAAAAAGGCTTTATCAAGCCGATTTTATACTTTTTGAGAAAAAGACAGCCACTTTTTTCTGATAAGAATGGTTAGAATCGAGCCAAAAATCAAATATCGGTTATGAAAAAAGAAGTATTTTTCTCTTGAACTTTTAAAATCAAGAGATTATTCCGACTTGAAATTCGATATTCACATCGTGAATGAGGCTCTAGGAAGTTTCGAAACAGAAATTAGCTTAAAAAAACAAGTTTATAAACCAGAAAAAGGTTTTTTCCAGCCGATTTTTATTTTTCAAAGAAAAGACAGCCACTTTTTCCTGTTTAGAATGGCTCGAATCGAGCCAAAAATCAAATTTCGATGATGAAATTTTTTTTTTCTTGTGCTCAAAACACTCCTGAAAATTTTCTATCATTTGAATTTCGAAGATTAAGAGATCATCCAGGTTTGAGTTTTGATAATCACTTTGTAAATGAGGTTTTGGGATTGAAACCAAGAAAAAAACTTTTTTTGATTTTCATTTTTTTCAAAGAAAAAGTCAACCACTTTTTTTGTTAAAACGGCTTGAATTGAGCCAAAAAAATTGAATTTCGGTAATGAAAGTCGTTTTTCATGTGCTCAAAAAAAGCTCCTAAAAAGTTTTCTATCATTTAAATTTTGAAAATTAAGAGAACATCCAGTTTTGAAGCTTGATTTTAAGTTTTTAAATGAGGTTTTGAAATCGAAATCAGCCTTCAAATCAGGTTTATCAACAAAAAAGACTTCATCGAGTCAATTTTTATTTTTCAAGGAAAAGACAGCCACTTTTTCCTGTTAAGAACGGCTTGAATCGAGCCAAAAATCAAATTTCGATAATGTAATCGTCCAGCTTTCGAGTTTGTTTTCAGCTTTTTGTCTCTTTTTCACCAACTCAACTATTTTTTTCCCTTTGTCTTTCAAATTCTTGTCCGAATTCACTCTAGTTCTCCTCAATTTCAATTTTAAACGCTTTTAGTTTACTTTAATTGCGAGAAAAATCATCAATTCCTCTTCTACCCACTTTTTTCATTCTCATTAAACCTTCATCAAAACATTATACGAACCTAATTTAGAAAGAAAGGCCACCCAGCAAAAAAAGCCACATCGCAAAATCCAATTGAAACATTTTTTTGGTACTTTTCCAATTCCCACAAGAATTGGTTTTTTTTCCTGATGTCGTCGTTCCTCCTTCAGATGCACTTAGCGATCCTTCAACCAGGCGTTTCGCCGTTTTTCAAACATATTTTCGAAGATTTTTTCATCAGTTAGGAATTTACAGACTTTTAGGAAAATTCCATTGCTTTCTTGGAAGAAAAGTTCTCAGAACCACAATTTTAAGCTCAGGCTTCTTTAATAAATGAATCAGAATTGTTTTATAGTAAATTCTAATCTGAAAAATGAGTTCTAGGCTTGAATAAACTCAAGGAAAAAAACCTTCTAGTAGACAATTTTTTTGCCCTTTTTTTTCTATTTTTTTACTCATTTCATTCAAACGATTTTTTTCATTCAAAGACTTGAAAAGGTTCAAATAGACCCAAAAAAATGCTCTGAAGCACAATTTTAGCTCAGGCTTCTTTAAAAAAAGTGAATTGGAATATTTTGATAGCAAATTCTAATCTGAAAAATGAGTTCTAGGCTCGAAAAAAACTCATATAAAAATTTTTTTCTAATAGACATTTTTTTGCCCTTTTTCCTTTAATTTTTTTACCTAGTTCATTCACACGATTCCTCATGGAAGAGTTTTATTGATATATAGGAATTTTAAAGCTCGAGCTCGAGAAATTTCTCTCACCCACAACATCAGAGAGATCATTAATTGACTGGCTCCCGTCAAGAAAAATCTTTGGATTTTGGTTTTTAGTGAGAAGTTTCTATGAAGATTCATTCATCAGTAAAAAAAAAGATGGAGAGATTTTTCAGCAGATGAAAATTTTCGAGTAGTTTCACTTCATTTTATAGACTTGAAAAGGTTCAAATAGACCCCAAAAAATGCTCTGAAGCGCAATTTTAGCTCAGGCTTCTTCAAAAAGTGAATTAGAATATTTTTATTTCAAATTCTAATTTGAAAATAAACTCTAGGCTTGAAAAAACTCATATAAAAGCTTTTTGGTAGACGATTCATTGTTGGCTTTTTTCATCCGGATCTGTTATAAAATTGATTTGAATTTTTATGATTTCGTTAAATAGGGAACATTTTATAGCCCCCGATTGAAATTTTTGATGAAACTTTGCGGATACAGTACCGTTAGAAGAAATACGAAAAAACGCGAATTTGATCACAAATTTCTCGTGAGGAATTCAATCTTCTTTTCTGAAGCTGATTTTTTTCTGTGGACCGAAATTTTGTCAGAGTGTTGAAAATAACAGTCATCACACTTCCCCAAAGTTTCAGAAAGATTGAATTCAGCTTACAAGAAAGTTATGACCGAAACCTCTTTTCTGACGGTACTGTATATTGATTCCAAATCAAAAAAATAAAAAAATTTTTCAATATCTGTTTTCTATTCGAATTATGAAGGTTTGTAAGTAACTTTCTTCATATGTTGAGCTCATACATGGGCTAACCAACTACTTTTTGTGACGCCATCACGTATCCCCCGGCGGGTAACTTTCGATGTGAAATGATTAATAAAGTTGAGATAAAAAAATTAAATGAGACTATTATCTTGTTTCGCGGGCTTTTTAGAAGTATATTCAGCTAGGTGTCAATACTCCAAAAACAGGAATCTATCAACTTTTAGGGGGTTTTTTGAAATTTCCAGTTTTTTGACTCAAACTCATTATTAACCTTGAGTTAACCCTAAATGAGGTACATGCTTCAAATTTCCAAGCTTCCTGACGTTTTTTGACCAAGTTACAGTGTTTCAAAGCGTTATCACTTGACGGTTTGCGTACCCCCGTACTCCCCCAAAAATCCGAAAAATCGATCTGTTTTTCAATGTTATTCTACATTTTTGAATTGAGTTTCATGATCTGGCCAAGTTTCAAGCTGTTTGGATGAGTTTTAAGAAAAATAATTTTTTGCGCCACTGTAAATTAATATTTTGAAATTTCCAATTTTTTTGGCTAAAAAAATCATTATTAACCTTGAGTTAACCATAAATAAGGTACATGAAGGCTCAAAATGTGAATTTGTATCGCATACCACTAAAAAGGCTTTTTCAAGCTGTCTGCCCTGTTCAAAATGATCTCTTCCAGCTTCCACCTCCTACTACGAAAAGAACGGCTAACCGATGATATTTATCAATACGAGGCCAGTGGACGAGAACGCGCAGTGCGAAAGACGGCCGTCCAAGGCGCCGTCCCATCAGAACATGAGTCCCTACGAAGCGGCACCTCAAATGGCGGTTTAGTTCTGGATCTTGAGAAAGTCATGGTTGCATGGTAGTGGCGAAACAGCTGCTAGAAGTACAAAAATTCCAAAAAAGTCCCAACTTTCATCTGTTTCTGTTCGTACTGTATCCACCATCCTAATTTGAAAGAATGCTAGGGATTTTTCTGAAAATGGCCAGGACTCTTCTTGATTCACCAGTTGAAGATCCTCAACGTGGCCCCTAGAGGGTCAACCTTAGGAACCCTTAGAAGGTCCCTAGAGGGTCTAGGGATTACTTAAGAGTGAACTTTCGACCTTATTTTGGGAAATTTTCAATTTACCGTAAGATTTCCTAAAAAGGTGGTGGTTACTGTAGGCATCTTGAAAAAATGACCAAAAGCTATGAAGCTGAGCAATCTTTAAAAAAGTGAAAAATTTTGGATTTCCCAAACTTTCAGAGCGTCTTGATAAAGCTCCAAAGAGGATAGAGTGACAGTAAGAAAAAGATTACTGTAGCTATTAGATTTGAAAATTCTTTGTAAGGGAGACCTTAGGGCATTCGAAGGCTCCGCTTTAGGGACCATTTTACCAACCCCTATAGGAGTCACTAAAGCTTGCAAAAGTGGTCCCTATAGGCGTTTCAGTTAGTGGCCCCTTTAGAGGACATGCTTGTCGAGAATTGCTATGAGCTTTAAGTGAAGAAGCATTTACATGAGAACAACTGAATAAATAAGCGTTTTTTGAATGAAATTGAAAGACCCCTATAGGGTCCACTTGAGCTTTAGGGTCGGACCCCTCAGCTCCCTATAAGAACCACCTTGATTTTAGCCCTATAGGGACCACTTTTTCGACCCCTATAAGGGTTGTTTTCCCCTCTAACCCCTATGGGGACCACTCTGGAATCCCTAATAACTTTCAAATTTTTGAGCAAGGACATTTTGAAATTTAAAAAAAAGTGAGCCCCTGAAGCTCAATGGTTCTATAGAGTCTTCCAATCCATGTTCAGATATGATAAATTTTAAAAAAAACTTGATAAATTGGTCCTCTGTTGATACTTTTCATTCAAAAAACGCTTATTTTTTGAGTTTTTCACCTGGAAATGCTTCTACTTCAACAACATCGACTATCATGTCCCCTAAACCCCTCTAGGGACCACTTTTGCAAGCTTTACTGGTTCCTTTAAGGGAGGTGAAGTGGCCCCTGGAGGGAAACCTTCAAGGGCCCTAGGGTTACCCCTATAGGGGCCACTGCGGAGTTCCTAAGAAAGCCGCTTGAAGTAGAAGATCGATAGGATTTGAACTGAAAATTTAATTTGGGATTTTTGAAATTTCTACATATTACGTCACTTCCCCAACACACGATTAAGACGGAAAAATATCAGTCAATTAATTTTTCCCATGACGTCACAGCCTAGGGTTGCCCCTATAGGGACCACTGTAGAAGAAGAGTTCCAAGAGTTGGACTGTAACTTCAAAAAGGGGATTAATTTTTGAGTTTAAAAACTCTGGATCTCAAGAAATCATATAAGATTAGACAGGAAATAAAACGGTTAATCGATTTTCCCATGACGTCACAGCCTAGGGTTGCCCCTATAGGGACCACTGTAGAAGAAGAGTTCCAAGAGTTGGACTCTAACTTCAAAAAGGGGATTAATTTTCGAGTTTAAAAACTCTGGATCTCAAGAAATCATATAAGATTAGACAGGAAATAAAACGGTTAATCGATTTTCCCATGACGTCACGACGTTTTCAGAGACTCGCCCTGTCGCTGATGCTCTTCTACGTACTGGTGTCAGTGTTCCCTTGCATCCTGTTCTACCCGATCTCCTTGCTCTCGTTGGTCATCCCCGTCCTGTCCATCTTCTTCGCTCTCTGCGCCATGCGACGGGATTCTCAGTCGAATCAGTGGCCTTTCTTACTGATCGCTGTGAGTTTCAAGCTGAAAATTGCCTTTGAACTCAGCTTGAGCTTGGCTTTTCTATTGGTAGCCAAGAATATTCGATTTTGAAGTTTTGAACGGAGAGATATAGATTTATCAATAGAGCACACTTTCCGATAATTTTATGGCAGGGATTTTTTGAATTATTTTACCTTGAACCCCTACTATTTTTCTTTAATTTCCCCGTATTCAGGTCGTTGGAATCCTTCTGAAAATTGCCGCAATAGTCGTATATATTTCACTATTTCCCGTGAGAGACAATCTACGGAAAACTGGAGGCTTTTTGGCCAAAAATACTGGTAAATCGAATAAAAAATTGAAACACCTGCGAAACTTCCAGTAAAAACTGAAGCCGATTCCCGGCATTACCGGACAGTCTTCTTCATAATTCTCGTCGCGATCGAATGTTTTCTGCTGATTATTGGCGGCTGCCTCAAATGGCACATGGTCACGTTTGAACAACGCGACGATCGGCATAAAAGGGTCGGTTATGAAGAAAATTAGCTCTATTGGTCGCTCAAGAGGTTCCTTGAGAAGTATTTTGAGGGGACACTAAAGTGGCCACGTCTTAGTGACTACTGTACTTGTTTTAGTATTCTAGTAGTACCAGACTTCTAAAGAAGCCCCTAAGTTTTAGCCACTTAAGAGGCGACTGATTCGAATACTATAGTGGTCACTAAAATGTCGAAATACTAAAGCGGCCACTAAAAATTTCCCCAGTAGATCTAAAATCAACTGAAAGAACTTTCGAGAAAATGGCAAAAATTGTTTGACGAGGAGAGGATTCGATCTCGTGACCTTTAAAACACGGTTTGAATTTTAATTCTACCTATTCTGCTTCGAATCTTCTTTCCATGAATCAAAACTCGATTGGTAGAACTTTTAAAAAATGGCAAAAATTGTTTGACGAGGAGAGGGTTTGAACTCTTGACCATTAGAACAGAGTTTGAGCTCCAATCTAACTATTCTGGTTTGAATCTTCTTTCCACGAATCAAAAAAACGATTGGTAGAACTTTTGAAAAAATGGCAAAAAAAGAATTTGACCAGGAGAGGATCTGAACTCGTGACCATTAGAACACCTTTTGAATTTCCTTTCTACCTATCCTGGCTCGAATCTTCCTTCCATGTCAAAAATTGATTGACAGGACTTTCGAAAAAATGGCAAAAATGTCTTTGACGAGGAGAGGATCTGAACTCGTGACTATTTGAAGACAGTTTGAGTTTCAATATAACTATCTTGGTTTGAATTTTCCTCACTTAAATGGAAAATAGGTTGGTAGAATTTGTGATAAATGGCAAAAAATGTCCGACGAGGAGAGGGTTTGAACTCGTGACTATTTGAACAGAATTTGAATTCCAATATAACTATCCTGGTTCGAATCTTCTTTTCATTTCCGAAATTCATTGGTAGAACTTTTGAAAAAATGGCAAAAAGTGCTTGACGAGGAGAAGATTTGAACTCGTGACCTTTTGAACACGTTTTGAATTTAATTTCTTCCTATCCTGGCTCGAATCTTCTTCCCGTCAAGGTAGACAAATTACAGAAAGCCGTTTCAAAAATCTTTTTGAAAAAAATTGATTTTTTTCTTACGAGAAATGTTCAAAAAGGTTCATTTGAGGTCCATGTTCTCCTCTTTTTTTAATTTTTTTTAAGGTTGATTTTCTGAAACTTTTTTTCGGCTTTTTTTGAAACGTTTTAACTTCCTAAAATAGCTGTATAATGAAAAACTTTAAAAAAAGGATATTTGAATTTTTTTGTTTTTAAGAAACCCGTCTAAGGAATTTCCACTTTTTTTCTGAAATATTCTCTTTTTTTTCAGCGCGCCACATTGACGACGTCACGGCCATTGATCTCCGAACCGGCGTGAAGATTTTTAAAGGAATTTCCTTCATAATTTCTTTGTCCCTGATCTCCCCTTCATCTACAGTAACCCTCATAGGCCTCGCCCCTTTTTCTGACAATAAAAATTTAAAATTTGAAATTCCTTTACCTGTATTGAAAAAGAATATTGACATTTATTTGAAAATATCGCGAAAAAAAAATATTGAAACGTGTAAAAACGCAAATTCCCGCGTATTGTTTCTGCAAACGGCCGGCGCAGTCCGTCGTCCCAAATGAGGTTCGTTCCCACGGCTACCGTAACCCACCGTGACACCGACGCTACAGTAAACCTTCGAATGAGTCCCCCGGTCCGTCGTACCGCATCCCGAGGGACTTCCACGGGCTACAGAAAGCTTTGTGAGTTCTTAATGGATTACAGTAATCCATCATGGGTTACTGTAGTTTTGGTATTTTAGAATTAATCGTACCCGCTACCTCAACCTTGTTTGGGCGATGGCCATTATCTGTGTGAGTTTTTTTTTTTAGAAAAATTGGATTTAAAGGTTCTTTTGTGACGTCATTAGGTAGGATTTCAGTGGTCACTTCAGGGTTTTGGCTTTTTAGTGGCCACTTAAGAATTTAAAATGAAGCGACTATTTTAGTAGTATAAGTGGTACTACTAGACCACTAAAACTGCTATAGTGACCACTAAGACGCAAAGAAGTGGCTTCTATTGAGGTGATCATAGTGACCACTTTAGAGCCCTTTTCAAGTAGTCATTGAGCAACCACTTAAGTGGTCTAACTGAAACCAGAAATTTTGTTATTGCATCAGAATTTTTCTCAATGTTTCCGACGTCATTAGGGAGGGTTGAGGCTTTTTTTTTTACCTATATGACGTCATCTAACAATTTTAATGACGTCATTAGGTTCGATTAGGAAGATAATGACGTCACTAATTTTAAATTCTTGTAATTTTTTCCATGATTATTATGTCTTACGGAGTCAGGAGCTTGGTAGTTGGATCAGAAATTTTCGCAATTTTCCGACGTCATTAGGGAACTTTATTCACTTCTATGACGTCATCCAACTATTTTATTGACGTCATTAGGTGCGATTAGGAAGATTATGACGTCATTGAGCTCTAGAAGTATGACTTCTTGCGATTTTTTGCACGGTATAATTAAAGTCAGAGCCTTAGTAGTTTGATCGGAATTTTCTCAATGTTCCGACGTCATTAGGGAAATTTTTTCACTTATATGACGTCATCTAACAAATTTTATGACGTCATTTGGCTCGATTAGGAAGATTATTATGTCACATTTTAACTTCTTGTAATTTTTTGCATGATTTATTTGACGTCATTTTGTTGTAGTCTTTCGCCGCGTTGGTCGACGTCGTTTTAATAGTCTTCGCGGGATTTATGTTCGCCTGGGAGCTGACCATCTGGCGGATGGGCCATTTCATCGTCTCCCTCATCTATGACGTCAGTTTTTTTCGGAATGACGTCATTTAATTAATTATTCTGTGTTTTGTCCAGTTGGCCTGAGGGCTACAGTAATCCCAGGGCTTTTGTTGCGGTCATTTATTTTTTGGATGAGTTTGGTCATTTGAAGACAATACAAGTGAGAAATTCGATTACAGTATCCCCAGGTTCTACAGTAGCCACCACCTTTTTTTAGGTGTTCTTACGGTAATTAGTTCGAAATTCGCCAAAAGGTCGAATCTTTCGGTTTTCTAGAAGCAATTCCAGTCATAGAAGTTCTAGAGTGGTCCCTTCAGATTCAAGAAAGAAAATAATTCTTACAGGTGTCTAATAAGTCCCCACTGTAGGATTTAAATTAAGGTAGACCCTATAGGGGCAAGCCTAAGTGGTCCCTATAGGGTCTTCTTTGTTCAGGTTTGAAAATTGAAAAGAAGTCCTTTTTTGATACTTTTTATTCAACTAAATTAATGATTCTTTCTCAGCTATAATCGGCTAGCATGTCCCCTATAGGGGCCCCTTTTTTCAAGCTTTTAGTGGCCCCTATAGGGGAGGTAAAATGGTCCCTAAAGGGGAGCCTTCAAAGAGCCCTAAGCTGTTCCCTATAGGGACCTTTCTAGAGCTCCTAAGTTGACTTTAAAGATTTTCAAATCTTATAGCTACAGTAATCTTTTTCTTACTGTCACTCGATCCTTTTTGGAGCTTTATCAAGATGCTCTGAAAGTTTAGAAAATCCAAAATTTTTCACTTTTTTCAAGTTTGTCCAGCTTCCTAGCTTTTTGGTCATTTTTTCAAGATGGCTACAGTAACCACCACCGTTTCTAGGGCTTTCTTACCGTACTAACTTCAAAATTTCCCAAAATAAGGACGAAAGTTTAACAACTTCTAGCTAGGTTGCTTCTCGGACCTTGTTAACGCAAACCGGACGTCTCCCGGATGACCCCCAGGGGGATGAGCAGTTCTAGTCTAGGGATCACTTGAGAGTGCCGCTGAAGGGATCACTAGGAAAGCACAGAATTGTCCGGTTTGCGCTACCGAGGACCGAGTTGTTGGCCAATTTTCAAAGTTCTCTACAGTAACCCCCACCGTTTCCAGGGTTTTCTTACGGTATTGGTCGGCTTTGCGTTCTTCTCGACCCACGACGGCATCTCGCATCTGCTGCTCTACGGTTTCGCCGTCTTCTCGACGATGAGGACCATCTCTTTCTCTCTTTTCTCCTACTCGGATTTCAGCAAATGCGATGCCTTTCCCGAGTACAGTACCCCATACAGTATCCCCTTCATTTGAAGCAAAAGATTACAGTTCTCTGAACTGCTTCTCGGACCTCCAGCGGTACATGATCATCGCCGACCTGACCGTCGCCATCACCTCCCTCATTTGCTGCCTTCTTGCCGGGGTACGGTAGATTACTGTAGCTGGGATTTTTTTTTCAGCAGATGGTTCAGTCGAAGAAATGAGAATTAAGAAAGAAAAATTTTAAGGGTTGGGAAAAATGGAAAAGTCTCAATATTTAATTGGAGGACGTATGACGTCATTTTATACAAGTGTGACGTCATTTTATGCAACTATGACGTCATTTTGATTCATCATACCTGTCTTAAGTTTCTATTTTTTTAATGTTTAACTTAAATTTTTTTCTAGAAAGATCTTCATTTTGAGATTTAATGATCAAATTAAAAAAATAAAAATTTTTGGAAAAAAATTTTTTTTGAAGTTGACGACGCTCAGGTAGTGAACATTTAACTCCAGGTATTTATGAAAATCTTATCTCACAGTAATGACGTCATTAAACATTTTTAAAAGGACCGGGTAGTTGAAAAAAAGGCGAAAATTAGTTTAAAATTTTTTCCTAGGATCTTTGATTTATAACGGCAATTTTTGACTTCTCCGTGTTCTTTGTACCTTTTTGATACCTTCTAAAGTTGGTAACTTTAAGCTGGATCTACCAGTAAATTGAAAATTACCTGACTTCCTTTTTTATTTATATTTTTTCCAGAACAGTTTGCTCATCTTCACGCCAGTGGTGAAGGTTGTCCGCGACGATAAATCTAATCAGGTCCCTTTAAAATAACCTTTTTTTGAATCTCACTTTTTTCAGAGAAATCTGGGCAAGGAGATTCTCAACTACCGTAAACCTGCTGAGTTCGTTTTTTTCTTCTCTTTTCTGGAAAAAAGAACAATTTTTCAGGTACACTGGTTATGTGGTCGACGGAAAAGGCCCCGCTGCGCCTCCCGGCACCAGCGTCGCTGCGGTGAGTCTGGCTCAGTCGGTTGGAGAGCTGAAGTTGGTAGGAAGGTCCTAGGTTCGTGTCCTCTTGGAGGAAGACAGCTTTTGAGAGGTCTCTTAGAGATCTTGAGAGGATTAATAGACACTAGCTCAGTTATTTAGACCCTTTTTAGCCATTTTCTGAGCTCTCATGAGCTGTTCACTTCTTGGTTCAGTCGGTTAGAAGGCTGACTTTGGTAGGAAGGTCCTAGGTTCGTGTCCTCTTGGAGGAAGACAGCTTTTGTGAGGTCCCTTGAAGATTTTGAGAGGATTAATAGTTTAAAGACACTAGCTCAGTTATTTAGACCCTTTTTAGCCATTTTCTGAGCTCTCATGAGCTGTTCACTTCTTGGTTCAGTCAGTCGGTTAGAAGGCTGACTTTGGTGGGAAGGTCCTAGGTTTAAGTCCTATTGGAGGAAGACAGCTTTCGTGAGGTCTCTTGAAGTTTTCGAGAAGTTCAATAGTTTAAAGACGCTAGTAAGACGCTTTTTAGCCATTTTCCAAGCTCCCATGAGTTGTTCAATTCTTGGCTCAGTCGATTAGAAGTTGAGCTTTAGTGAGAAGTTTCCAGGTTCGAGTCCTCTTTAAGTTTATGAGTTTTGCCGTTTTTTCTCTTAAAATTTTGAAAAATTTAGTTGTTTAAAAGCGCTAGCTGAACTGGATAAAGACCATTTTTATGCATCTTCTCAGCTTCCATTAGTTTTTCACTTCTTGGCTCAGTCGGTTAGAAGTAAACCTGTAGTGAGAAGTATCCAGGTTCGAGTCCTCTTGGAGGAATGCAGCTTTTTTGAGAGGTCTCTTGAAGCTTTTGAGAAGTTCAATAGTTAAAAGACGCTAGCTGAACTTGATAGAGACCATTTTTTGCATCTTCTAAGCTCCCTTTAGTTGTTCACTTCTTGGCTCAGTCGGTTAGAAGCTAAGATTTAGTGGGAAGTATCCAGGTTTGAGTCCTTTTGAAGTTTTTGAGTTTTGCCTTTTTTTTTGTGATGTCTCTTAATAATTTTAAGAAATTTGGTAATTTAAAGGCAATAGCTGAACTTAATAGACCTTTTTTCATCTATTTTCTAAGCTTCCATGAGGTTTTCACTTCTTGGCTCAGTCGGTTAGGAGTAAATCTGTAGTGAGAAGTATCCAGGTTCGAGTCCTCTTGGAGGAATGCAGCTTTTTTGAGAGGTCTCTTGAAGCTTTTGAAAAGTTCAATAGTTTAAAGACGCTAGCTGAACTTGATAGAGACCATTTTTTTTGCATCTTCTAAGCTTCTGTGAGTTTCTCACTTCTTGGCTCAGTCGGTAAGAAGCTAAGCTTTGGTGAGAAGTACCCAGGCTCGAGTCCTCTTGAAGTTTTTTCGTTTTTTGCAATTTTTTTTTGCTTTTTGAGCGTTATACAGTGCTGATAGACCTTGTTTAAAAAGTTGACATCAGTAGAAGGGTCCCTGGTTCGAATCCCCGAGACGGTTTTGAATTTTTGCTTTTTTTTTCTATTTTCCGTAAGAGCGTTATACAGTGCTATCAGTAGTGGATGGAGGAAAAGTTAATTTTTGTAAAATTGACATCAGTAGAAGGGTCCCTGGTTCGAATCCGCAGGGCGTTTTTGAACTTTTGCAGTTTTTTTTTTTGCTTTATTGTGTTAAATCGTCGTCTGGTCTAGCTTCATGAGTCCATTTTTTTAAATTTGTCGTTTTCTTCTTTTATTTTTCGACATATCCATTTTCGATTCCTTATTTTCAGCTCGTCTCATCGAAGCAAATGACGACGGCCGTCGTCACGGAGAACGCTGATGTCGTCACGCTGACGGAGAATAGCACCGCCTTTGGAGTGGGGTTTTGTTAAATTCAAGTTGAAATTTGGTTTGAAAATGACTTTCACTGTTTAAAAAAACTTTTTTTGTACGAATATTTGGACTACTGTAGCTCGAAGATCTGCAGTTTTTCGTAGTGATGAAGAGCAATTCAGACTGCCGTGAAAATGCCCGATGGGAAAATTGTCACGAGGAAATTTGACGTCGACAAAAAGCTCGATAAGAATGTCGTCATGGCTGTTGTGAGTTTTGCTTGACTTTTTTTGGATTTTCCAGTGTATGCGCCTTTAAAATAACGAAGCTTTTTAGTTTTATTAAAGGCGCATGCACAGAGAAGTCGCGCGCATTGAAAAGATGGTACAGAACCCTTGTAGGAAGCTGTGCTTTTAATTAAGCCTCATAACTTTCGGTATTTTAAAGGCGCATACACAAGGCAAGGCCGCGCGCATCGAAGAGAAGCTTACCACAAGGGTCTCGTACGCTCTCTTCGATGCGCGCGACCTGTTTCTGCGCATGCGCCTTTAATTAAGCTTGAAATTTTTTTTATTTTAAAGGTGCATGCACACATACAAGCCGCGCGCATCGAAGGGAAGCTCACCAGAAGGATCTCGTTACATCTCTTCAATGTGCGCGACCTCTTTCTGCCCATGCGCCTTTAATCAAGCTTGAAAATTTCGTTATTTCAAAGGCGCATACACAGGGCAAGGCCGCGCGCATCGTAGGGAAGCTCCCGATAAGGGTTTTGTAGCTTGGAGGAAATAAAAATATTAATAAGCCTGAATACTAATTGTTTTATCAATCATCAAAAACCTATTGAAGTTCAAATTTTTCAGGACTGCAATCCAGCGAAAACTCAAGTATCTTCGTCGGTTTCGGCTTCAGCTTCGGTTTTCGTTTTCTCATTTTTTTTTCATTAATTTTTTTTTCTAGAAGAAGAAAAAGTGATCAGGGAACGAGAGGAGCCTGCGATTTTTTTGCTCTGTGCTTTGAATAAACTGTTTTGTGGATTTCCATCCAGGACCTTGGAACTTTGGACCGTCATGCGCCGTTAAATTGTCTTAGCTTGAGGAGGTTTGAGTTTTGGCAATTTAATTTGTGCTGTGAAGAATGGTTTTTTTTAATAAAATGCCAGGAATTGGAAAAATATGAAATATTTTTGGGTTCAAAGCTATTTTAAGCTTTTTTTCAAAGTTTTTGAAGTAAAGGGATTTTTTTAAAAAAATTATTTGTTAATATTACAGTTCCATTAGTTAAAATTTATGCTGCTGAAAAACTAATTTCGTTATTTTCCAGGAATTTGCTCGAATAAATTTTTTTTTTTGTTTTCTTTGGTTTTTTTGAGGATGAATGGTTGGACTCCTGGCTTTATTTCTTTTAATTTAAATTTGGGTTTATCTCGCTCTTTTTCCATATTTTTTATCGGTGAAAAAAAAGTTATTTTCATTGAAAATTTAGCAATTTTTAACTTGAAATTTCAAATCTTATCACTTTTTTATGTTTTTCGCTCTACACTGTTAAGGCTACATGTTATCTGATACCGAATTTTGTTTACTTTTTCTTAAAGAGGACCACAAAAATTATCTTTAATGTTTTAATCATTTGAACCGGCTACAATGTAGCTTCGTTAAATCCCGCTTTTATATTAAACTTCAAAAATGTTTTTTTTTTCGATTGATTTCGAGTTTTGAAGATTCAAGTGTCCTTGGGGTACTTGGGATCTTCGAAAAGGTGTTTCAAGTTTTTTTTTTTTGTTCGACTTTTCACGCGTAATACAGTTTTTCATCAAAAAAAAGATGAACAGAAAATTTTTTCGGAATAAATTGGCTAAAATGTAGCCTGATGGTCACCGATTTTACCATGCAACCTCATCATTTTGCGGTTTTTTTTTCTTGTCTACCAGAGGTTTTTTCATTGCATTCGAGGATTACAGAGGAATTAGAGATGCACGTCGTCAGGCAACGGATTCATGCAGCTGTTTGTCGGCTTTCCGTATGTTTTTTTTCTTCCGTTTGCAGGATTTTTTTCTTCGATATATTAAAAAAATAAACTATTTTTTTGAAAGAAACTTTCAAGAAAGAATTGAAAATAAGAAAGTTTCGGAACTTTTTTTTTAAAAATTAAGCCACGTTTTATTCATTTCAAACTTAATTTCTTTTTTTAAAAAAACTGTTTATTGCATCTTCAATGTAAGAGTACATGTGCGATCGACTTTCATTGATTTGACTGTGTTTAAACGGCGGCAGGAGCTGTGGCTTAGGCCGAGACGTTGTGAATTTCGCTCGTAGAACATCAGGTACAAGAGAGGTCGTAGGAAGAAGTACGGTGCCGGCTTTCCAAGGGCCGATGGCAGAGATTGAGTCTTTTCGCTGCATGCAGCTCCCAATTTTATCTACCCCGGAGGGATGAAAGGCTTGGTCGACCTCGGGGGGACTCGAACCTACGACCTTGCGGACGTTAGAAATGAGTTATGCCAGCTGAGCTATGCCGCCCCTTTAATTTCTTGGTTTTCATATTTGAAACGACTTTTTCATATTTTTTACCATCTTTGTAGTCGGTTTGTACACTTTTTCTAGAGTTTTTAAAAGCGCAAAGACAAAAATGATAAAGTTCTTGGAACGAAGAGCTGTTTTGAGTAGATTTTAAGGTTTTCTGCGTCTTCAAAACCATCAGCAAAGATTCATAAACCGACTGAATCTGTCAAAATGACTATTTCGGATCTAATTTTCTTCAAATCTTAGCCCTTTTCTCCTTTTTCGGACCGTCCTAACTCAAATAAGAAACTTTCAAGTTGAAAAGGACAATTTCTAAAAGTTCGCCCGACTTTTTTTTTCCTGAACCCAAATCGCATCAATTTGATTCGATTGGCTCGGTATAAATTGACGGAAAATTGACTTTGGCCATTCCTTATAAGGCGACGGGGAGGAAAAGAAAAATGAAGAGCGCCGCCGGGCTTTGAATCGATTTTCTCCGCGTTTCCCTTGCTTTTTCCTTTTTTCCTTCTTACTTTTTGTTTGTGAAGGTTTTTTAAGTTATATCATTTAGTTATATTCGTATATTTTCGTTTTCGCGAGCTCATTTTTCGAGAAAAATGATGCAGAAAATCTTAATTTCGTAACGGAGCTCTAAAAAGGTGCTGAAAAAAGAGTAACTTCCTATGAAAAAAGTTTCCTTTTCTCACAAATTTTATTCTCATATACAGGACAACATTCCACAAAATAATTTGGAATGGAACAGTCTTAGTTTATTGAAAATTAACTTTAAAAAATATTTCAATTTTTTTCCTGCTTTTGTGTATACGGTAGTCAATCAAACGTATTTACGGGCACCCAATGCATTTTATTTCTCGCGAAAGGCTTAAAAAAATTTTTTTATTTATTTTTTTAATTCAATACTTCTACTAGTTTTTTTCTTTTTTTATAAAATGATTTCACAAATTTGAACATTTGGACACGGTCGTTTTGAATTCATTGTTTGTCCATTTCACGTTGATTTAAAAAAATTTTTTTTATGTAATCTTAAAAAAATACAATATTGCGTCAGTAATAGTTTAGAGAGGTTTATATTCGAAACTTGATGAAAATTTAGTGATATTTAAAAATTTTTCTCGTTTTTTTCCAATTTTTTTCCGGGATTTATTGATAAAAGACACCTTTTTTTCCAGGACGCTTCAACCTTCTCAACTTCGGCAAAAATGAGCGTCGATAATGGAACGACCCGGGCTCGCCCGACTCCCAATTCAACGGTAGATTTTGTACTTTTTTCGAAAAAAAAACGCATTTCCCTTCTAGAAATTCCCACGTTGTTGACATAGACGCAGGGTTGTTTTTGTGCACTTTCTCGCGGTTTTTTCTGTTTTGTGCCATTTTTGCGTTTGTGTCTTTTCAAGGTATTTGGCTCTTCTCAATGTTCCAACTCGTTTTTGAGAAATTCTTAATGTTGAAAAATAACTATTTCTTGAATTAAGATTTTGAAGTAATTTTGGGGAAAAAAGTTATTTTGCCTCCAAAAATAAGCTTGAAAGTTGTCATTCTTCCATATTTCATTTCATTTCATTTTATTTCAAGTGTTTATTCGCCATTCCGCAATCAGCACGACAAATACAAAAAATAATACATCAAAACAATCAAATGAATCTAACAGCTGATCTGTGGAAACGGCTGGAGGAAAAGATTGTCTGAATAGACGGTGCTAACCCCCATTTGGTATTTAAGTTTGTTCTTTGTAATACGTTAGAATTTTTTTCTAGATTTTAGTAGGATCTAATGATTTTTAAAAAAACGATGTGTTTGATTCGAACCATGAGGTGAGCATAATCTGAAACTTGCCGATTTCGTATTCAATGATAATTTCTCTCTCCAGTTGGTTCCAAATGGGTATGACTCTATGATTTAGGAAGCGTTGTTTGATCAATTCATTCATTGGTTGAACAAGTCTCATTCCATTTCCTCTGAGTTGATTATTTCTACTCGAATTCATCATTAATTTAACAGGCGACTCACTCCAAAAATATCCATGAATGTATTTGTGAACGCAACAAACGTCCTTAAAAAGTCTTCTAGTCCATAACGTCGATAGTTTCAGTTTGGCTAATCTACTGCGATAATCCAATTTCGGATATAATCTTTTGGTAAATTTTCTCTGGACTGATTCTAGTTGATTTGTCTCTTTGACTCCATATTCCTAAAAATAATGGGAATTTTCAGGAAAAATCAAATTTTTCACCATCTAAATATGGGCGGAATTCCGGCTTTTTGCTCTACAAAAAAATGTAGAGCAAAAAGCATTTTCAAATCCAATCAACTCTTTTCACACTCTAACAGTCGAAAAATGTCATTTGAATAGGAAAAATACCTGAATTTCACCTTTAGAACCAAAAAATTAGGCCTTTTTTCATTTGAATCTATTCTTTCGTTATGAAAGTTATGAACCTTGATTGGTAATTTTCAACCTATTCTTAAAAAATTTTCTAAATATTTTTCTAAATCGGTCAAAAAGTATGCGGTTCGGAAAGAATAGGGCCGGTTGAATGTCCCATTTTTGCATTTCCGCCTTTTTTTTAATTCAAAACTTCATTTCTGCTCATCTCTGTTCCCTGGTGTTTTCGTTTTTTTTTCTCACCTGAAGTGCAAGTTATAATTTTGAAGCCCCGCCCAATGGAGACGGACGAACACGCCGACCGAAACGCCATTTTTCCGTCGTTGCTCAACGTCACCCACATCGACATGACGTCACGAGCCGAAGACATCCGCGCCGGGCTCGTCGACACGTTCCTCAACTTGGAGCGCGTCGACAAAAACCTCTACTTGTTCGTATTCCCACCCCTTAAGTGGACACTTTCAAGAAAATGAGATTTTCTCAGAATTTTCAGTTTTTTATGGCTGACAGGGTAGTGAGAGTTTAGAAAAAAAATATTTTTTGTCGTTCTAAATGAATTTCCTAGAATTTTTATTTGTTTTCAAGCTCGATTTAAGGGCCAGGCACCTTCTAAAGGGCCGAAATTCTCTCCCTGTTGTGTATGGCGGACAGGTTATTGGACAGGTAAACGTTTCCCGCAAGTTTTTCCAAAATGATTTTTCCATAGGCTCTCTCTGCCGCCACGGCAACTGTCGACGTCGGTTTTGTACCGAACAGCCTTCACAGTTACTTTATTCAAAGCGGTAAGGAATTTTCACATGAACTTTAGAGTACTGTAGTGGGAGGGTCTGCAGACACAAGTAGTGCATACTTTGGGGTACGCGCAAGTTTTGTATTTGCATCATTTTACGTTGTTTTTTTGAATTTTGTTCGTTTTAGCGGTTTTTGTTGTATTGTTAACTTTCAAGTTTTTGTTTCATGGAAGGAGTTTTGTAGCCGGGTGCCCTTGAATGATAAGAAGGATTTGTTTTCAGTTTTTTTTTTTTGGGTTTTATGTTATTTTTTGAATGATAAAATGTGAAGTTGAATAGACGTTTCATTTCAAGTTTTCATCGGTTTTTTAAAACTATCCATAGTTTAGATGTTTTTTTTTAAATCTTTTTATTTGTGTCTGCATGTTCCAGCTTCATTTATTAGAATAGCTCAATTATCTTGAAACTCCATATTCCGTGCAATTTCAACGATTAAATAGCTATTAAATTTTTTTTTTCCAATCGTTCTTGCTGCTATAGTTTTTTCGAAAAGTGTTTCATGTTTTCCGTTTCGAAAAATTTCATGATATGATGAAACTGTTTCAGGAAACGTTGAAAAGCCGATTTTATATCAAGTCGACCGGATTCGGGATGGACGGAGTTTCTGCACGCGGCTCGTTAAAGCCTTGCAAGAGGGCGAGGCGATTTTCACCGTCCAGATCTCATTCCACAGGGTATTTCTTCATTCGAAAGAATAGCTTGAAAATCTCGAAAATGCGATCATTTTCAGCCAGAAGCCGACTCGATCGTCCACCAACTGCCGATGCCTGAAGTCCCGGCGCCCGACAGCTTGGAAGATTTGGCCGTCGTCTTTGAGAACTTGAAAAATGTATATACCTTGGTCTATTTATTGATGGTCTGGGGCAAGGACAGTTTTTTTCCCGTCAGGAATACCTTTGGTTCACAGGCGATGATCCTTTAATTTTTTTTAAGCCAAAGTGGGATGTTTTGCTTAAGCTTTTCTTAACATCATAATTAAATTAATGGTAAGAGGGCTGTTCCAGAAAAAATTTTTTTTTGCAAAGTTTCTGTCACTTATCAGGTAACAAGAGTAGTCACCTTTCGAAAAGTACCAAGATTTGCAATTTATGACTGAATAACAGTTCTAAACTACCGTAATACCAACGGCTGCTTTGTTTTCCTGTCATTTAAGGCATTTTCCAAAAATTTTTCAAGATTCAGGAAAAAAATTTTTATTTTTGAGATGTTGGGATTCAAGTTTTTTTCCGGTTTTATTATTCTTTGATTGTTTTTCTGAGCCAGGATAGGCTTATCTGATTTTTTTAAAAAAAGAAAACTTCGAAAAATTTTGAAACCCCAAAAAGTTTTTTTTCGCTTTTTTTATATTTTTTTATTAATTTCACATAAATATATATATTTTAAAAAAACCTATCCACGGATATTGTCGATGAAAAAAAGGCAATCCAGAACGAGATTATCAAAAAAATTTGGTCGGAGACGGCCGTGAAATAGTTCTGTGAGGAATTCATCGGGTAATAAATAAAAAAATACCAATTTTTAGAACCCGAACATTCCACCGGCTGCATCGGCAATGATCCGATTCAAGCAGAAGGAGATCCCGCCGGCCTTTTTTTCAGAGTCTTTTTCGGTGTGCTTTCCAAAAAAATATTATAAAAGATTTTTTTCTTCCAGTTCCGCCCTGTTGATATCGACGCCTACTTGTTGCTGAAAAAAGACGACGTCCATACCCACGGCCATTCCACGGAAGCCTACAGATCCTACGTCTGGATCAAGACGAACGAGAACATTGGTTGAATTTACATGCATTTTAAACAGAATATTCAACTTTTTGTTCCAGGTAACGATCCTAGATTGCACCTGGCCGCTGCCGCGTACATTTCCGATGCGACGATGATCGAAACGGCGTTGAGACCACATAGCAAGTGCGATTTTCGCCTTGGATTTATACGATGATTGATTTTTTTTTTTTGTGTGCATATTTGATCGTTTTATAGCCTATTCCGCACCAGCTTATCCTGAATTTTGATTTTCGACGAGCTAGGGAACCCTTCCGCGAAGCTTCCCTTCGATGCGCGTGGCCTGTTTTTTCTCATGCGCCTTTAATTTGACTTGAATTTTCCCTTATATTGAAGGCGCATGTGCAGAGAAGGGAAGCTATTTAAAAGTTCCGTAACGATTTTTTTCCCAGCTCTACAGAACCCTTTCGTGAAGCTCCCCTTCGATGCGCGTGGCCTGTTTTTCTCATGCGCCTTTAGTTTGACCTGAAATTTCCCTTATATTAAAGGCGCATGTACAGGGGAGGTCGTGCGCATCGAAAGGAGCTTTTCGGAAGGGTTCTGTAGCTTGGGGGAAAATGAAAATCTTTTGGAAACTCTTACGAAACTTCCCTTTAGGGAACTCTATGATGCGCGCGGCTTTCCCTGCGCATGCGCCTTTAATCCAACAGAAGTTTTGGGCTAAATCAAAAGCGCATGTACATTGGAAAGCCGCGCGCTTCAAAGAGAAAAGTTTGTAGCTCGGAGGATATAGCTGATTCACGGCTGGCTTGAACAATCGACAAAAGGGTCCTGCCACGAAAAGAGAAGAGCAGTGCCTGGTTGGTGGAGAGCGCAGACAAGCCACGCATCCTAGCGTCCCGAGTTAGCCGTGATTCGGCTATAACTAACTAGTAGTGTGTGTCAATCAGAAAAAAAACGAAACGCGAGAAAAATGCTCGGAGACAAAAATTAGAACTGTTTTGGAACGCCGATGAACACTATTTTGCAAATTTTTAGACGAGGCTTCATCCCGTCGATGGCCTTGACGTTGGACCATTCGATTTGGATGCACACGGACAATTTCCGCGTCGATGATTGGCTTCTTTATGAGAACCACAGCACGATTGCTGGTTTGTTGATTTTCTTTTCCGTCAGGATGCGTTTTCTGGTGAAAAATTTACTTCTTCTCGGTAAGATTGTCTTAAAAGTGAATTTTCGCGCCAAAAAATTGTTTATGCTCTGGAAAGTCAAGCGCCACTGAATTTTATTCTGAAAATGTTGAGAAAAATTTTTTTTATGAATTTTAATGATTTTTTCTCAAAAGTAACTTCTAAATGTTTGGCTCTTGCGATCTGTTCCTTTAAATTATCCAGAAAGAGCAGTTTTCAATAATTTAGCGAACCGAAATAAGGTTTCCAGTTAAAAATTGACGGGTTGCAGCTTTTATAGGCCATTCCGTGCAGACGCCATTATATGTAGATAGCACTCCCAAAAGTCTCCTCTTGGCGCATTCCGCGTGCGTGCGCGCGCCAATTCAAATTTCGTCTCTTGAACTAGATTTATAGGCTTCCAGTATATGGTTCTTTTTTTGTATAATTTTTTTCTTGCATAAAAAAACTTCCAATTAATTTTTACCCGGGTATCATATCTATGATAACTGGATATATGGGCAGAGTACCTGAAATTTTTTTGATTGCTACCGAGTAGCCTGGAAATGCTTCCAAGGTTTTTTTATTATTATTATTTTTTTAGTCACTTCGGTTTTCTAATTTTTATTAATTCTGTTTTTCAGACTTCCTTTGAAATTTGTATAAGCTGTACACGTTGTTCTCCATTCGCTCATGAGAAACGAAGAATGAATTTTCAGCAGCACATTTCCTTATCATGCGAGGAGCTTTGAAAAATCGTATCTCCGCTCAAAAACTTTTCCAAAAAAAAAACTTTTTTCACGGATCTCCGCGGCATTTTTTGAGAACAGATTTGGAAACAGCATGAAAAACTTCATTTAGTGAACTGGGTCTCATTCTGAAATTCAACTGCGACCAGACACCATTCCCTGGTCAGCTAGAGCTAAAATTTATGCTCGACGTCTCACGATGGACATATTATGGAATATTCAAGATTCATTTTAAGAGGTATATTTGTGGGCACATTATGGTACCTTCCCCATTTGCCTGTGCAAGTGAGTGAAGGCGAAATTTTGAATTGGCGCTAAAACAAGAAGAAAACTTTCTTGAATAAAGTTATGCCGTGTTCAAAGTAATTTCCGCGAAATGCAAAATGATCTCTGACTCTCCAAAATTTAGTGATCTTTTCCTTTCTCTAACGGATATTTTGCATTTCGCGGAAATTACTTTGAACACGGCATTAGATTCCCTAAATGAGTCAATATTAAATAAAAGAAAACTGGAAATGAATAAGTAAGAAAAATTATACAAAAAGAACCATATACTGGAAGCCTGTAAATCTAGTCCAAGAGACGAAATTTGAATTGGCGCGCGCACGCACGCGGAATGCGCCAAAAGGAGACTTTGGGAGTGCTATCTATAATGGCGTCTATTCCGTGCTAGCTTTTCACGTTTTTCTCTCCGCCAAAAGGCCAGGTCAAATTTAACCAACTTTCGCTTCAAGACCTTTGTTTCTTGCCGTTATAAAAGCAGAAATTTGATCCAATTTTGTACACGGTCTTTTTAGCTTAAAGAAAAACGTGACAAGCTGGCGCGGAATAGGCTATATCGCGTCCTGAATCCATTTTCTAAAAATGAAACCACGTAAAATCCACAAATTTCAGCCGGCGGTCGGAGTTTGATCGAAGGGAAACTGTGGACGCGCGACGGTCGCCTCGTCTTCTCGACGACCCAGGAGGCGTTGATCCGGGCCCAGAAGAAGAAACCGTCGACGTCTTCTTCCTCTTCTTCTTGAATCCCTCCCCACATCTTCTTTTTTCACTTGTCCCCCAGGGTCTTTAACTTTTTTTGTCCATCACTATGTGATTTTTTTTTTCTCGGATAGTTATTTTATAGTCTTTTGAATTGCATATTAGTTGTTGGAAAGTCGCCGCGATAGACTGGCCTTTTCAAGAGTTTCACCTTTTTCAGTAGTTCGCCTCGTGGCTACTTTCCTTTCACCTTTATAAGGGTCGAACCGAAAGCTTTCTCCTAACTTTTTCTTCCACTTTAACTCAATTCATTTAACATCTCATGACCATGACGCGGTGTTTTTGGTTCAAGAGAAGCTTCTAACACAAATCTCAAATTTAAACGAAAAAAATTAGTTGATCTCTACGGCACTCTTTAAAAATCAAATAATAAGAAAATCCGGTTTGAATAAATTATTGGTTTTTTTTTACCAATCGCGTGAAAAAGAGTTTTTTCGGGATTTTCTCTCTTTGGGTTACTGTATCGTCAAGGACTGTGAGCACATAGTCATTGCGGGAAATGCGTTTTATTTCACGCGCAACTCGTGTTGATTTACGAACTGTTTTAGAAAATTTTTAAGTTCGGACAGCTTTTTGATATAATTTCTGTATTTCAGTTATGTTTGCGGAAGAATTTTGAAAACCTGATAGATGGCGTTTGGGAAAAAATTTGAAAGACTAATTTTTCTTCCCATTCTTTCAGGTAGAATTCAATCTGATTGCTCTTTTAAAATTTTTCACCCACGGCGTTCCAAAAGGGAACCTCGCAGTAGAGAAAAATGAGGCAGAAAGTACCGCGCCTCAATTGCAGAAAACTGGGCGTGGTTTAGTTTTTGTATTGGGAATTCAAAACCCTATTTCTTGTTACATTTTTCGTTTCTGAGTGTTACTTCTGTGTTTATATTGTTCGTCAGCTCTGACTTCATATAAGTTGGTTGTGTCATGTCGCTCCTTTGGCCGTTTACCGCTTTAGTTGAGGCAAAAACGAAAAATGATAATTCGCGAGTTTTTTTAATTTACATGCCATGTATTCGACATCTTTCTGCTTGATTCATGTGCAGAATGAGTTTTTTTCTACAATCTTAAATTGTTCAAAAAAATCTTTGTCGGCAAAAAAATAATTTTTTTAAACTGAATTTCATGGAATATTGTCAAATTTTTGGGTGTTCCGCGCGAAAGACTAAAAACTTTGTGGTATGTCGGTCAATCATTTTATTTTGATAGCTGAAAAATGTTCACACAGGTTCATTCAAAAGAACATGGTTAATTAGAGAATTGGAAACATTTTTTTAGAGAACACCTGCGAAGATCTCAGAACTACGCAAAAAAATGAGCGTTTTTTTCCATTATCATTCTATGTGATTTTTTTGTCAAAAACTTCTTAACAACATTCATTCAACTTTTTTTGTTTTACGTTTTACTGTCATTCTTTCATCTTTTAAACAATGAATACCATAGGCTTATAGCTGAAAATTTTTCGTAAAACCGATTTAAAGGTTGAGAAGCAATTATACGGATAATTGCCAGTGAAACGTCATCGAATTGCTTCTTTATGTTTTGAAAGCTTCCACTTTTCCATGGACATCTTGATAATCACAAAAAATACTCTGAATTCAATCGAAACGTCTCAGAAAAAGTCAAAAACGAAATTTTAAGAAATTGTGAATTTTCAAAAAAAAAGTTCTGTTGCGCAAGTACGCTCCAACGAACGCAAGGGCGCGGTAAAATGACACGCCTCATCGGCTCACTTGCGAGTTCCCTTTTGGAACGCCGTGCACCTTTTAGAAGCTCTGACAAAATTTTTTTTTCAAATGGCGAGTCTGATGAACTCAAAAGTTTTGAACCCAGAAGTCATGCCGTGTTCAAAGTAATTTCCGCGAAATGCAAAATGGTCTCTAACCCTCCAAAATTTAGTTGTCTTTCTCTTTCTCTGACGGCTATTTTGCATTTCGCGGAAATTACTTTGAACACGGCATCAGATTGAAAATATTTGAAAATGGCAAGTCTGACGTGGCAAAACGTTTTGACCCCACGTCATAAGGTCAAACCGGGAAGAACGTTCCCGGGCGCCAATCCACAGGCGGTAAAAAACAAGCGTCATTCTTTCTTTTTCCTCCGCGTTGAGCGGTGTGTTGTTGTCGTTCGTCTTTTTGATTTCGTTTTTGTATTTGAATTTGAGTTTTCGATTCAGAAATAAATTAAGTAAACTTATTTCCAACTGTAGGAATCTACAGTAGTGTTCCACGAGAATGATTTATTGACAGTTTTCTAAATTTTTCGATCAAGTTTTGCCAGGAAATTTTGAAAATTGTTATTTTTTTTGGTATAGTTTTCAATTTTCATGTTCTTATTCGTTCTCATGTTTGTTGTGCGCTCGTTTCTTCTTCTTTTTATTTAAATATTTTTCCAGACGACGTCCCGGCGATTCGGGCGACGACTTCCGGCTGAAGTTGGACGCTCTTTTTCAAAGATTTGTTGATATGTTTCAAAGCAAATGCTAATAATTTGATTGAGGAAAATGACTAACTCAACGCCGATAAAGCCTCGATTTATGGAAAAAAAAAACGGCGGCGGTTCTTTGGAGGAGCAGGAGGCGGATCGAGAAATTTAAAGGTATAAATGCGTGCACATTTGTTGATTTTTGCGTTGAGAAACGTTCCTTTTACAAAAAATTCAATTTTTCGACTTAAGTCTTCATAATCCTTTTTAATTTTCATGATTCAGAATTTCACAAATTGTGTTTCTCAACGCAAAAATAATAAATTCGTTTTTTTTCTTTCAAATAGCTTCAAAAAAGAAAAACGAACACTTCAGTCTCATAGTCTTTCAGGAGTTGATAGCAATACGTTTAGGACTAATTTTTATTCAGGATCGGTTTTTTTTTCAAAATTTTGACTTGTCTTTTTTTCGATAAAAATTACAAAATGTGAAGGCCTTTAGAAGTTCGGTCTATTCACGGCCAGCTTGTCAAGACACAGTACCCCTTTCGCGTCGAAACCCGATAAATTTTTGGACTCTATTTTTTTGAATTTTTTTCTTTCATGTATGACAATCTTTTTTTTAGTACTTCGAAATTCAAAAAAACAAATTTTATTTTCATACGAACATTCTGCTTGACAAGCTGGCCCAAGAATGGGTTTGATGAAAATTTACCGCAATTTTTCTTCCCGTAATTTCAGATTTTTATAAAAAAGTTTTGAGCTTTACGATTTGGCCGTATTTTTTTGGTTGTTCTCAAAATCATTTATTCTTTCTAGAGATAAGGTTTTGGCTTCATGCGATAATATCTCTTCCAAAAAACGAATTTTCGAGAAGAAAAATGGATTTTTGTTCATTGTGCTTGTGTTGTCCTCTCGTGTGAATGTTGCGGTTCGGGCCTTTGGTCGGTGGCGGCGCAGAGAAAAAGACGACTGTTTTCCTCGGCTTCTTCTGACCTTAGAGAGCGCCCAAAAAGTGGAGAGCTGTAGTCTGGCGTCTCCACATGTGCTCTCTCGTCGGTTGCAGCCGAGCACACATGCGCTTTTTTCTCTGCCAGGTGGGGGTCCTGTGGGGCGAGGCTTTTCCCTCCTTCCAAGCTCGTCGTGTCGATGGTGGCGTCTAGTATTGGGTTGTGTGCGAATAAATCTGTTTCTTTTTTCTCTAGGTATTGGTCTTTATTTTTTAGGACGTAACTTTGATGAAAAAGAGGCTGAGCGGACGGTTGAAGCTGTTTGTTAACTGTCAAAAAACATACAATTTTTTTTTCTTAAGTCTTCGACGGGGACCTTGTAATATTTGCTTTTTGATTTCAAAAACTCACCTTTTCTTACCTCTAGCAGCTCTCAAACAGCTTCAGATCTGGATTTTCAACATGAAGTCGTTCTTTTTTTTTCAGTTTTAATCAGAAACTTATGCGTTCCTCCACAAGCATTCGCAAGCAGCTCACAAAGAAGCTAAAAAATTAAGTCTAGATCAAATTTTATAGCTACATCCCAGTGAGTGGTATTCAAAAAGAGGCTACAGAAAGTCTATTCACTTTTCAAAACTTTTGGTACTCAACTTTTAGTTTTAATTTTTTCAATTTGCTTTGTAAACATGGGGAGGAGTTTAGTTCATTCGGTAATTTATTGATTTTTTTTTTTGAGAGGTGCATCTATAGTTGTTAAATTAGATTTAAATTAGTTACAAGAATTCACCAAAAATTCACCATATTTCAGGCATTAAAATTATGGTCAACACGCTTTTTTTTAGTTCTCAGAGTTTGAGATTGTAATATCACATAACTATAGAGTCATCTTTTGAAAAAAATTTCCTTCCTTATTGCAACTTTTAATTTCGTGGATTTCTTGCAAGTTTTTTCGAATCATGTTCAAATTCACCTTTTCAGAAGAAAAAAACTTGAAACTTTACGAGTGGCCATATAGTTATGTGGAGGATCCTAGGTTGAATCTAGCTTTTCGCAAATGTTTTTGAAGAACCATTTTTAGAGCTTCAAATTTAATAAAAAATGGGTTCCTTGTTTTACGCTTTCAGGTAGATGGTAATTACATCAGTTGTTTCCTTCTACTATTTAAATTTGAAAAAAAGAAAAAAATAATTATTTGTACACAACCTGATACGTTTCCCAAGCTCATGCAAAGATCATCAAAGGGCTGGTTGGTCAAGTAGCTGAAAAAAATAAAGTTAAGGAACTTGAGACGAGGGTTCGAATCATTTTTTTGAATTCAAATTCTCTGTATATTATTATTTTTTTCAATTTCGGTCAACATGTAGAAGTCGATTTTTCCGTCCAAAAATTTTTTTCTTCCTTACGAAAAAAACTTTGTCAAGTAGAGATGAATTAAACTAGTCCAAAAACTAGCCGCAATGACTCCTAAGCACCTAAACTAGTCAATTCAAGGAAATTTTTTTATTTTTTTTAATCATTTTTTTCTCGATGTGAATAATTTTTAGAAAAAAACGTCGTTATCTTTTTGATAAGAATGACTATTGCCATGAAAAATTGTTGAAAACTATTCAAAAAAATTTTTTTCCAATTTCCAACGAGCGCCCGAGTTAGGAGCTTGGGACTTTATTGCGGCTTTTTTAGTATACATCCAAAAATTTAGTCATATGAATAGATGATCCGAATCTTCTTCGAAAGTCTTTCAAGATCTCAATGATTTTTTTTTTTCATTAATTGACAATTTTAAATTTTTCATCATCCTTAAAAGAACCAACCAGTATTTTGAATTTCTTCGCACGGGCTGGGGCGCCACCTGACAGTGTTTTGTGAGGTCATTCACGTCACTTTTGTTCTTCCTCAAGCCCTGAGCTTCACCCTGAGCCATGTGAGCTCGAACTCCTTCAACTTGACCTTCAGGTCATTTGAAACGAACCTGTTGAAAATGTGTTATATTGAAAGAGTGCTTCTGAAGTCGGAATTTTTCTTTTTCTTCCCGAGTTTATCTGCAAGGCTTATCATTTCTCAGTTTTTTTGAAAAAGATTCATAAAGGCACTCTCAGTTCATCAGAGTCAATCACTTTGAGTTTTTGTTTTTTCAGAAGGAAAATTCACATTTTTTTTTTGCCATTCACTTGAGATAGAAAAAAGAATATCAAAATGTGTATATTTTTTTCACAAAATTATTTCGAATCTCTGCCACTCCAACATTTTTTCTGACATCACGATTTGCAAAGTGATTGACTTTAGTGAACGGTTGTAGCTGCTTAAAAATTTTCAAAACAAGACACAAAAGAAAAAAAAAATCTCTGAAGCCTTGCACGTAAACTTTAGGGACTTGGGAAAATTTCCACAACTTTGACCTTTATGAGAACTTTTTGATCGATCTGCAAAACACTTGAACTTGATTCCTTCTTTGAACACTAGTTAAACTTCGACATCTGTTTCAGTTCATCATAGTCAACCACTTGAAAACTACGACATCAACAACTTGTTTTTTTTTTCCTCACTCACAAATGAATTCTAAAACTTCCAGTTTCTTTTTTGAAAAGGTATATTTTTGAAGTGATTGACTTTAGTGATTTGGAGATTTTTAGAAAAGCTACAAGTATTGAAGGAAAGGATCAAGCTTGAGACTTGCAGTTTACCTTTTGAAAAATAAAGACTTAAAAAAAAACATACAAGAGCACTCTTTCATCTTAGCACACGCGCAGCACGTCGTTTCAGATGGCCTGAAGGTCAAGGTGAAGGTGTTCTAGCTCACATGGCTCAGGGTGAAGCTCAGAACTTGGGGAAGAATGAAAGTGAGGTGAATGGCCTTGCAAGTCACTGTCACTCGGCGGGCTTGAGACGGAGAAGGAAGCCACCCTAGACAGGACTCTCACCAAGCTTCAAGCCACCTACCAAAGACTTGGCCTCGGGCTCCACCGCACTCTGGAGCCTGAGGCCAAGGCCTCTGACTCGGGCTCCACAGCCATCCTGTGGAGTCTGGGGCTGAGGTCTTCTGCTTGGGCCCTCAAGGCCTGGGCTGGAGACTCCGCCTCAGACTCCAGAGACGACTGGGAAGCACGAGATTGGGGACCCCGACCGGCAACACGTCACCCGAGAGGAAGATCCGGCAGCGGCTCTGACCCTGCCGGACATAACCAGAAAACAAGGTAGAGGAGAACACTTTATTTTCAAATTTTATCAAATTTATAATTTTATTTTCTGGAAACGAGCGTCCGGGTCAAGGCTGACTTTCGGAGTACGTCGTCGTCCGGCATCCATCCCGTCACATCGCTCGACCTGAAAACCTCCCCATTAGCCCCATCGATTCCCCTCCTTCCTGATCTGGAACCCTCCAACCTGTGTCCACCCGGGCGTTTTCTTCTACAAATGGCCCAAGGTCATATTCGTTTCCTTGCAAAAGCCCGAGTAGATGGCTGACTTGACTGGAAGCCTTCAAATAAAGAGTCAATTTTTGCAAAGTCACACAGAAGGCCAAAAATAAACTCTTCGAAAAAGACAAGTCCAAAGAGACCCACTGAGCTTGCCAAGTGACTCAATGACAAGGCGAAAGTCTTTTGAAGAGAAGCTCAAGTTCCTTCTGATCCATGAAGTCATGTTGATTTTTTTGTCTTGCAAGTTTCGGATGAAAAAATGTTGAAAGTTTCTTACAAGTGTTTTCGAAGCGTCTCACGAAAATCTATGACTTCAAACTCAATGGTCAATCACGATGTCTTCCTTCAAGTCTTGAAGAAAAATAACAAACGGTCTTCAAGTCTTTAAACTCATTGGAAATGATGCTGCTTTTTTTCAAAATCGTTTTTGAAGTTACAAGCTTTGAAAAAAAGTGAATTTTGAAAGGGTTGAGAAGCTGAGAGTACTTTCGACTGTTTCAAAAAGTTCAAAGTCAAGAGGACTGAAAATAGAGAATTCCAATGACGTGAAGAGCTGTGCGTAAGTGACCTTTGAAATTCCAAGTTCTGGGTTCAACATTTCTCGACATGAAAGAAGAAATGAGTGGATTGTCAAGAGTGAAGCGTTGCGTGTGCTACGCGGCTTTTCGGCGGGAAACTTGAGGTCAAATGAAAAGTTTGTTTTAGAAAAATGAAATTTAGATGTTTTCAATACTCTAGTATTTCAATTTTTTTCAAAAGTGGACCTAAAACTCATCATTAACGGATGGCGCGAAAATTATTCGAGTCGTATATGAATGTGTAGTAAACAATTATTAAAAAATAATGAAAAAAGAGCGAAAAAATAAAAGTTTGAAATAACGGCGCAAAACGATTTGGCGCAAACGGACTCGGCGCAAAAGAAAGCGGCGTCTGCATACACGGCGCATACACGCGACGGCGCATTGCGGACTGGCGCTCAATTTGAACGGCGCTCTTGGAATCGGTGCTTTTGTCCTAAACTCTAATCTTTTTGAAAAATTTGAAAAAAAAAAACTTGAAATTTTCATAAAGCTGACTTTATAATTCACTTATTTGAAAAATAAGTTTCTCACTACACTAGCGGATACGAGTTAACCAACAGCTAGTTTCAAGTCGTAGTCATTTTTGCTAATTTTCTTGATGTTTGGATACTTGCTTGCTCACTACAATATTAGAAAAAACTATCATTTTCATTTTCATCAAAATGTTATGCTGAAAACATACGGAGAGATAACCTTATATCGGCTACTATACCCTCTAATCAAAAGCTACGGTTGTAAATACAGTTGTGTAAATTTTCACAAACTTCAAGTCAATATATTAGAGTTGGAAGGACTGACTTGATAAGAAAACTTGAACTTGGACTGAAAAGAGGATTTCCACAAGTGATTTTACATTGCAGGGATTTTAAGTTTCATAGAAAATCCTTTATCTCGGAAGGATTTATTCTAAAAAAAAATTCCAAAAAATTTCCAGCTCACAGAAAGTCAATGAATCGGCAACACAAGGGTAAATAATGACGTCATGTTCAAAAATCTTTATTCTTTAAACAATCAATTAATCGATCGGCGGATCAATCGTCACCGTGAGTCGTGACCATCCACCCAAGCCCCGCAAAAAAAGGAAGCCGACCTTGGGCCATTGGTTCCAGGAAAATCCTCGAAACCCCATTATTTTTTTCATTTTTTTCCTATTTGAGAAAAATTCGCATGAAAGGAACGCTCAATTTTTTTGTCTAAAAATCTTCTTTCAGGAAGCTTAAGGCACATGAAGGACTGAAAAAAACTTGGGAAGAATGCAAAAAAATTCAAATTTATATTTTTTTCTCTTCTGTACTTTTTTTGAAGTTAAAATAAATGAGAAAAAGCTGTTTTGAAAAATTCGGAACCTAGACAAGAACAAATAAAAAAAGAACAATTTAATCTTCTTCCTCTGCGGGGAAATTCAGAAGAAAAAAAACTGTAGAGGAATTTTGAAACATCCATTTCGAAATTGGGGTCTATCCTGATTTTTAAAAACTTGTATGGCACAATTGAACGTTCCTTTCATCTCGTAAGCTGATAAGACGAAAAAAATCGAAAAAAATTTGAAAAATTATAAGTTTAAACAAACGACTACTTCTCATACTGTACACAAAAATTTTCACTTAAAAAAATTTTTGAAAGTTGGCTACAAAAAAATCTGAGAAAAAAATAATTAAATTTTTAGGTACAAAGTTCCTAACTATGAAATGATTTGATTTCGAGAAGCTTCCTGGGAAGAAAACGCCCAGGCGACCCCAGTGTTAGACGATCTCAATCCCGGAAAGGAAGGGAACCGACCAAAAGAAAATTCAAAGCTACCCAAACTGCCGTTGTGAAGACGTCGTTCATCCGGCTGTCGTTTTCGACGTCACTGACAGGAAAGGTCATCTACGGGGCGCGCCTTGGAATCAACTGACCACATTTCCTGAATCGAGAAGATCAAGAAAATCAATAGAAACATTCAAATGTAAGGCATTCAAGTCTCAGAAACTTATATTATTATTCAAATTTTTGGCTTCCAAAATCGTCGCCATCGTCTGCTCGATCATCTCGACAACGCTCTGAAAATTTAAAAAAGTTAAACCACGAAATTCAAAACACGAACGAAGCGAAAAAAAACGATTGAGGAATTATGAAAATTATAGCAACGAAAAATCTAGGCAAACAGATAAAATTTGCTTTCATAAGTTTTGTCTGAAAAACTATTGGAACTTTCTAGATCACAATTTGAAAAAAAAAGAAAAATCGAACTTTAAAGGGAAAAACTTGTCAACTTTTTATGCCGCGTTTAAAGTAATAAAACTACACGCGGAGAAATTGTTTTTTTCCTGTTTACAGCCACGAGCCGAAATTATGCGCGCCGATATTCGTTGGCAAAAATTCCAACACAGTTTTTTTCTTTTTCTTTTCTTCTTTTTTTACATAATTTTTTTCTTTTCTTTTTTTCAATTTTCAACCCGTTCAAAGCTATTAATTTCAGAAATAGTACGAATGAAAACCTTTAGTTAATTTTTTTCGACTGTTTGAACTTGAAAAAAAGTTCAATTTTTTTCTCAAATTTCGTATTTATCGTGTTTATTTTTTTCCAACGGATGTATCAGAGTGTTTGAAGTTGCAGGTCTCTAAACTATGGCGGGTCTTCGATTACCGAGTTTTATCTTTGAATAAGGTTAATTTTTTTATTCAAAAAAATTTTTCTAATTTCTTTTTTTACAATTTTTTTGATTCTGTTCACAAAAAAATTCAGATTCGTCAGGGAAAGACGGGCGGCTCGTGTGAAGGTAACGCAAAATGTTCGTCTCTACAGTCAAGCATAAATTCGTGAGTTTTTCTTGTTCTTCGATATTATTTTTCTTTCATTTTTCAATATGTCTTGTCTGTTCGGTTTTACACGAAAAAAATTAATATTAAGGTTCAATCAGCCTTTCTTTTTTTGGAAAATTTTTTTCTTCTTTCAGGCCCTAGACGATCGGTTTACGAAGGACACGCCGAAAGACTACACGTGAAACTTGGATCTCTCTTTATGGAACTTTTTTTCTAATAAAAAAATTCATTGTTTTCTTCTGCATTTCAGAAAAAAATTTGACAACAAAACAGTTTCTGTTATTAGGTTTTGAATTTGATTAACTAAGCCGCTTGTTTTTTTACATTTATTCCTCAAGAAATTGATGCTCATCATCTTTATTCAAATAAAAAGATGGAGGAAATAAATGCGTAATAAAAAAACAAAAATCATTGAAACAAAGGAGAAGTTAAAAAGCTGTGAATTTTCGAGACATGATAAATTGCAAATTTATCCGGCTGACCACAACGTCTTGTTCGAATGAGCTGAAAAAAATTCAATATTTTTTTCTGAACTAAATGAACTAGTTATAAGAGATCTATAGGAAAAAAACTCACAAATTTCTTATTGCCCGTGGCGTCGAAAAATTACGCGCTACCTTCACACGAGCCGCCCCTTCCTCCCTAACGAGTCTGAATTTTTGTGAAAAATAATCAAAAAAATTTTTAAAAACATAATTGCGAAAAAAAGTTTTTTTGAATAAAAAAATTAACCTTTTTCAAATTTAACACTTTCGGTAATCCAATACCCGCCATAGTTTAGAGACCTGCAACTTCAAACACTCTGATACATCCGTTGGAAAAATAATAAACACGATAAATACGAAATTTGAGAAAAATTGAACTTTTTTCAAGTTCAAACAGTCGAAAAATTAACTAAAGGTTTTCATTCGTACTATTTCTAAAATCAATAGCTTTGAACGGGTTGAAAATTGAAAAAGAAAAAGAAAAATTATGTAAAAAAAGAAGAAAAAGAGAAAAAAACTGTGTTGGAATGTTGCCAACGAATATCGGCGCGCATAATTTCGGCTCGTGGCTGTAAACAGGAAAAAAACAATTTCTCCGCGTGTAGTTTTATTACTTTAAACGCGGCATTACTAATTCAAAAATTCAAAAATCAATAAGTTTTCGATAATGTGATTATAGTGCCGCTTTCAAAGCTAATTTCACGTTGGTAGCAAAAAAATCTCCTCCTCTTTGGCAAATGTCCAATATAAATTTACTTTCAAAATCTTTTTCATTACAAACGGGCGGAGCCAACCAATCACGCTGTAGGATAGCCACCGGTATTTGTACAGATTGCCTCACGGTAAATCGACCCCAGATTTCTCAACGGGGCGCGCTTTCTTACATCCCATTTTTTTCTTTTTCGTTTCTTCATTGCAAATATGTTTCTTCTAGTTTCTTCTACTATTTCTATTGTTATTCATTTTCACCTTGTCGTATCGTACTTTCATAGAACTGAGATTCAATTTTTTTGAGATTTTTGAATCTTTAATTCTTGAAAAAAATATGCCTCAGTTTAGGTTTTTTTTTCTGCAAGTATGCGCTGTGTTTCAAAACATCCAATAGTCAGTGTCATGTGAAATAAGGAACGTGGAAAAATCATCAGATTTTTCAAAAAAAAAATTTCGGAGTCAAGATATGACCTTTCGAAGCGCAGCCGCATACAAGAGAATGCGCGCGCGGTGTGGTACTGTGATCTGGCGACTGCCGAAGCAACGGCAGCGAGGAGCAGTGGTAAAGCGGCGGACCGGTACTAGCGAGGTGCATTTTGAATGTGACTTTGCCAGACCTGGGAAAGTCTGTATTTGCAAAGGAGGAATATACGTTTATCATGACCTCAAAACTGATGAGAACGAAACCGCTTGAAAAAAATTGTTATGCTTTAGAATTCGAATTTTTGTAATAATTTCACTGAACGAATAAAAATATCCAAAAAATCTCAAAAAAATTAAATCTTAGCTCTATTAAAGAACGATACGACAACGGGAAAAATGAATAAAAAAATATTGCAAACTTGCATCCTCCAACCTTAGTCCGCTGTTAGAACTTTTTACATCAGGGCACATTTTATCGCATGCCAATTTTTTTCTCTTCACGTCCACCCTTTTTCAAAACGCCGTGCAATAGAAAAAAAGTAGAAAAAAACTGGAAGAGAAGCATATTTGCAATGAAGAAACGAAAAAAAGGAACAAACGGGATTGAAGAAAGCGCGCCCCGTTGAGAAATCTGGGGCGATTTACCGTGAGGCAATCTGTACAAATACCGGTGGCTCTGTAGGATTCTGCCGCGTTTCCTTGGTTCGGTTCGTGCTTTTGAACAAGAAAAAAACTATTGGCCACGAGCGTCAAATTAGCCTTGAACGCGGCAAAAAATCAATAAAAAACAAAAAAATCAAACAGAGAAACCTACAAAAACATAAAAATCAAAACAAGAAATAAGCACACAACGAATAAAAACACGAAAATTGAAAATTATTTTAACAATTTTTAAAATTGCCTTGCAAAACTCGACCGAAAAATTTGAAAAATGATCAATTAACCAATCTAGTGAAACGCTTCTGAAGATCCGTACATTTTAAAATAAGTGCTCTTAAGTTATTTTTCAATTGAAAACAAATATTGAAACATAAAAACAAAAATCAAAAAGACGAGCGACAGCAACACACCGCACAGCACGGAGGAAAAAGAAAGAATGACGCTTGTTTTTTACCGCCTGTGGATTGGCGCCCGGGAACGTTCTTCCCGGTTTGACCTTATGACGTGGGGTCAAAACTTTTTGCCACGTCAGACCTGCCATTTTCAAATATTTTCGATCGCTTCTCATAAAAAGTTTTTTAATGCATTTTACTTAGTAAAAAGCGTTTAATATTGGTAAAAAAGTAAAAAAACATGAATGAGATAAAAAATATTATAAGACACTATATTGTAACAAAAATAAGTTTAAAAGAATTTCTGATCACGACACACAAAAACCTTCTTTTTCACACTTTTCTCATTTGGTGTTCCATTTTCGAACATCTTTTTCAACTTCATGATAGAGTTCAACATCAAAAATAGGATTTTTCGGTCACTCCCTATTTAAAAAAAATTTCTCAATTTTAAAATTTTATTTTAGCTTCTAGAGGTGCTCAAATAGGAAGCACCCCTGGCCAGAAGCGTTGAAAAAAAGTGTCGAACTTCAATCATGCTTGTCAAAGCGAGTTGACCAAAATTATCAGTTAAAAAGTTATCCATTTTTTTAAAAATAAAACTTGCGCGTGAAGTACGCTTGCTTCGCAATGATGCGGTGCTCACGTCTTATCGGGATACAGTACCGCACAAAAAAATAATCTGAATTCAATTTTTTTAACAAGGATAATTGTTTTTTTCTTGTTTTTTTCAAAGGTCTTCGTGAGTTCGATTTTTTTAATAAAACTGTTGAAATAAATTATATTTATCAGCGTTCAAAAGCACATTCTTGTAAGAGGTCAAATAAACTCCACATTTAAAAATAAAGGGCTTTGTGAACCATTGATGGAAAGAATTGAAAAAAAAATTTAGTCAAGTTTTTATTATAAATACATTGCGAAAAAAGCAACCAAGTGGTCATTCAAGTGACCTCCTGGGTCTCAAATGTGAATATACAGAAAAAAAAATATTTGCAATAAAAGGGACCATTTTAGGGTCATACTCAAGAGATTGCTGGAGGGAGTGGTTTTTTTTAGTTTAAGCTCATGAAAAAGCCTTTTCGATGACGTCATTTCGGGGTGCTGGATGACGCCAACCCTGGTCCACTTTAAACCTCGTTTTCAAACAATCATATAAAAAATAGTTAAAAGAAAAAAAGTGACATCAAGGTCAAGGTTAATAATGACGTCAGGAATTATTTCAGAAGCCACAGCCTCTAAAAAACGTCTCGAAAATGTACAGAAGAATATAGTTAGTACACGGCTAGCTTGGGACGGTAAGAGGGCGTGGCCTGTCTGCGCTCTCCAAGGGCAAGGCACTGTCTCGTGCATTATCGTGTCAGGACCCTTTTTTCAATAGCACAAGTCAGCCGTGAATAAGCTATAGGTATAGAGACAAAATGCAGGGTAATAAAACGTGATGACGTCATTTTAAATCACCAGAATGACATCATCACTAAAAGAGGTTCAAAAAAGGTACAAAGTAAGTCACTCGGAGCACGAAATAGGTACAGAAATGCGGCGGGGGGAGAAGACATGACGTCATCATACGAGATGACGTCAGAACTCTTCGGGAGTTCTTGAGAGCAACATGTTGTTGTTGAGCGGGGCGCCGGCGACAAGGCTGTAGGCGAGTCGCATGTAGTCGCCGCTGCACGTCGCCATGATGTCGTGCTCCAGGGAACGGTGGTATTTGCGCTTGTACTCCTCGGCGATGTCGCTCAGGTCGATCTGCAACAACGCGATATCGTATTTTTCGACGGGCTAAGCTTGTATCTATTGAAAAAGCTGTTGGATTCACAACGCGATTTTCAAAAAAAGGTCGATTGAAGCTAGAGGTGTTCTGAAAAGTCTCTAGAGCCAAAACGGGTTCAAATAGAAACTCTAGAAGCTCCTAAAGTAAGCCTAAGGGCTTTACTAGCCGTTTTAGTCAAAAATCCTCAGAAGAGAGAAGGCAAAAATGTTTCAAAAATGCATTTTTGATCCGAATGTCGTTTGATAAAAGTCCTAGACACCTCTATTTCACGTAAAATTCAAAAATTCAAGCCTTAATCTCTAGAAAAGGAGCTGGACTACACATAAAACTGAACTACCGCAAGTTAGATCTATTGAGAGGATTAGGCCAAACTTTCTGCCATCTTTGCTATTTCCCACTATTTTTCATAAAGTCAGTACGTCTCCTAGATACCTTAATTGCCCTGAAAATTCAAAAATTTAAGGCTTCATCTCTAGAAAAGGAGCTGGACTACCCATAGAGCAAGCGTATAGCTTTTTTTTTGCTATTTTCTTCTTCGCATAGTTCAAGTCTCACATCCAAACTACAAAAATACTGGGTAAATTTTAGTGGCCACTATAGTAATCGAGCTAGTGACCATTCAAGAGGTTAAAATTTACTGGTCTCTTTAGAAATCTAAGTGGTAGACCCCCAAAACACTAAAGTGACCAATAAGGCGCGAAATAGTACTACTATATGGGGGTGTAGATTTGGTTTGAGTGGCCCCTTTAGTGTCCTCTCCAAGTAGTCCTTGAGGAACCTCTTACGTGGTCACTACATTTTTTCTCAGTAGAGCGTTGAAAATCGTCAAGTCCCCTGAATCAAGGTGCCCACCTCGCTGCGGCTGACGCAAATGCGGATGATGGTCGAGTGGTCGGGCCGGTCTCCAGTCATCGCCGCCCGGAGCTTCTCCGCAAAGTACAGCTGCGTGTTTCTCGATACTCTTACTGGAAAAATCCTTTTAAAAACACTTCAAAACGACATAATCTTTTCGTTAAGCTCGCCTTTTTAACCTTGAAAAGAGCGCAAAGACTCCAGAGTGGTCCCTATAGAGGCATCCTCAGAAACCCTTGAAGGTTCCCCTCTATAGAACACTTTTCAACCTCGAAAAAGCGAATACCCTAAGAGCTCCAGAGTGGTCCCTATAGGGGGAGCCTTAAGGTGCTTCGAAGGTTCTCAGGACCGATTTTCCTCCCCTTATAGGGACCACTTGAGCTTGCAAAAGTGGCCCTTACAGGGGAGATGATAGTCAATTATAGAAAACAGAAAAAGACCCTATAGGGACCACTTCAGCTTTAGGGACTGAACGGTCAGACCCTAAACCACTATAAGGGTCCATCTGAATTTTCAAAAGATCAAAAATAAATAAAAGACCCTATAGGGGCCACTTAAGCTTGCAAAAGTGGACCCTACAGGGGAAAGGCTAGTCGATTATTGCTCAGATCAAAAAAGTTGGAAGACCCTTTAGGGACCACTTGAGTTTCAGGAGCTCAAGAGTAGGAACTTTCAAGGGTTCACCTAAAATTTACCTATGTAGGGGCCTTTTTTGGTTCCCTCTAGGGGTTGTTTCTTTTCCCTAGCCCCTTTAGGGACCACTCTGGTGTTCCTAGGACAGGACCAGATACTGTAAATCTGTGCACAATCGACTACTTTTTTACACAAAAAAACGCTCCAAAAACCCACAAATCGTCAAAAGAACGAGGCGAATTTCCGAATGGATGGCCTTGTTCCGACGGAGGATGTTCTCCAGGTCGTGGGCGTCTTTTCGCAAGTCGTCAACCTGGAAAAAATCAATAAATGAATCGAAAAATCGATGAATTCGGACCCGATCCAAAACGCGGCCAATGTGCTTCCAGGAGTTGCCGATGAAAAGCTGCTCGAAGAGGGCGGCGCTTTTGGCGATTTCTTCGATTGTTGTCTGAAAATGGGCATATTTTGCTCCTTTGAGCTGCAGTTCAGAATCTTCTTATAACTTCTATGAAAAAGAGTAAAGGCTTAGAAAATGGCAAAAAATAAAATCCTCGAGAGGATCCGAACCATCGACCTTATCCTGTTCAATTTTAACATGACCATCTTAGGAATTTTAGTATGGCCCCTATAGGGGTTAGGGGGAAAACAGCCCCTATAGAGGCCGAAATAGTGGTCCCTATAGGGATTTAGGGTCTGACTTTTCAAGCCCTTAAAGCTTAAGTGATCCCTATAGGGGTTTTTCTTATTAATCTTGGTTTTTGCGTGGAAATGCTTTTTCGCATAGAGTTCATAAAGATTATTGACTAGGCTTTTTTTGCAAGCTTTAGTGGACCCTATAGGGCTTGATAAAGTGGTCCCTAGAGGGGACCCTCCGAGGGGAGCCTTAATGGAGTTCCTGAGATACGGTTTCTGAGATCGTCTCTCATATTTCCGTGCTATTTCCATATTTCTCTGACCTCGCGAGGGAACGTAGAGACGCAGACACTTAAAAACGTGTCAAGTCGCGGTGAATGGACTATCTCCAGCAAAAATGGCAAAAATTCAAATTTCCTCGTCTAGAATCGAACTCCCGAATCCCCTCTACAAATACAACTAATTTGTCTTGAGATTTTCTAACGAAGAAGCTTTTGAACTTCAAAAATGAAGGATCAGTTAACGAAAAACCGAATTATTGACTATTTTAATCCAATTTTTTATACGCAAAGGCCCACCGCCAGGATAATTTGGGCGTGTTTTTCGACGAGGGCTTCGTCGATTTTCTTCCCCGTGGAATCGTCTCGCGGACTGCACAGGAGCATCGTCAAAACGCGGCCAACGATTCCTTCGACCTGAAAATTAAGTTCAACTTCATTTTTTTTCCTGAGCCTGAAAGAAGTTCAACATCTTGTCCGGCCCCCAATCAAAAATTAAGATTTGTCATTTTTTTCATTAGTAAAATGAAAATTTCCTTCTCAAAACGCTCTGAAGGACCTGGAAATGCCCCTTTAAAAAGCTTTAAAAAATGATAGGAAAAAGGCTTTTTTTGAGCCCATTTTTTTATAGCCTCCGTGAATTCTCTGGGATCATTTTTCAGTTACTTTATTTAATGAAGAATGTTGAAATCAAAAAGTGAGCTGAAATAAATTTAAAAACTGGAATAGGTCTAATCTATTGAAGACCGTGAAAGTCCTTTTTTCGAGTTTTCGAGGAGCTCCCTAAAAAAAATTAAAAATTTTTCAAAGTCTTGAGAGAAAAATTCAACGTCTCATGTTCCATGTGGAACTGCTCTTCCTGTCATTTTTTTTCAGATTTCCTGCTGTGTGAAAACTAATCCGACCTTGACACTGATATCCTTGTCGATCGGCTTTCGGTAATCGGTTTGGTAGGTTTCCTTGATGACGCGGAGTTGCTGGAATCGTCTCAATCATTTCTAGCTCAGTTTATGAAAATTCTGACTAATTTTCAAGGAAAAGAAAAAAAAATTCCGAACCCGAGGGCTTCTAGTACAGGCGATTTCGACAGCAACGGAACGGTCGCCGTAGCGATTCTGAAATTATTATTTTTTTTTGTACTTTTTCTGAACTTGCTTCGAACTCTTTTCTCCATACGAAACGACTCAATTATCATTCAAGAAAAATCTTTAAAGAAAGTCGAAAGATTTTGAAATTTCAAAAATCTTATAATGATGCAATTTTTTCAGGTCGCCTTAAAAGACTTTAACGTACATCCTTCTTATTACTTTTATTTCAAAATATTTAGGCCATCGAAATTCTCAATCTTCAAACCTTTAATCTTCTAAAACAATTGATTTATTTCTCCTTTATTTCCTTCAAAAATGAAACGAATCCCGAACCGAGATCGATTTGAAGAGGTTCAGGGTATCGTACTGATGAGCCGGTTTGAACAACGCCTGGGCCATTTCCAAGAAATATCCGCCCGTTTCTTCTTCCAAATCGTCCAGAAGGCTCTGAATCATAAAAATTTTTACTCACTTTTTCAAGATTCCAACCCGACTATACATGTCCTCATATGCATTGAGGATTTTCTGACGTTGGAAATTATTGTGGTAGAGAATCGTCTGGATGATGACTTGATCGTTGGTGTCTGGAAGTAATAAAAAAGTTTTGGCTTGAATCGACTCAAATTTTTGATATTTTCGGGTTACGGTATCATGATCCGTCGTGAGCACAGCGTCATTACGGACGATACACCTGCCTCACGCGCAGTTTTCGTCGATTTACGGGTTTCTTTTTATGATTACGTTTTTCGCTTTTTTGTTGTTTCAGTAGCAAAGAACTTGTTTTTCCATCGAATTTATCGGTTCTGTGAGCCTTTTAAACAATGATTCGTGACTTTTCGGTGTAGCTCAAAGAGGAAATTCAACAAAAACATGTAAACTAGTTATTTTCCGAACTTTATTAAGCAACCGGTGAACGGATCTTAACTAACGATTTAGTAAGTCGTTTCAGGTCGGGCGCATTTTCAAGTCTTACGATCATAACAAATTTATAAGTAGTCACAACTATCTCAAACAATTCCGCATGAACTTTAATTTTTTAGAACTTTAATAGTTTACTGAAAAAATTAACCGATGCCCGTAAAATTTCTAATATTCAAGGCTAGGCTGTCGCTGATTGGCCAGCTTTCAAGTACGAATCTGCCCTTTGGGTATTTCGGACGGAAGGCTATCGGTGAATGGACTAAAGCTTAATCGGGTCTTATCACGAGAGACCGATGAATTATTGATGATGGCACATGGCCAACAGCCACGGGCCCATTGCCTATTCAATAAGACATTCAATAACATTCAGGCGGAAGATTCGAAGATCTGGCTTCGGGAAATCAAACATTAGTCTATCTATAATAACCAGTTTGTAGTGGGAGTCGTTTTTTCCAGTTTTCAACAGAAAAAGAAAGAAAATTTGGCTTAAAATCACCCAAAATTCACTAAGGGGGGTTAGAGGAGAAAAATTTCTCAAAAGGGGCCGAAAAAGTGGTCCCTATAGGGGTGGAATCAAGGTGGTCCCTATAGGGATTTAAGGTCAGACCTCTTGAAGCTCAAGTTGACCTTATAGGAGTTAGGGGGGAAAACGACCCTCATGGAGACCGAAAAAGTGGTCCCTATAGGGGTGAAATCAAGGTGGTCCCTATAAGGTCCTTTAATTTTATTCAAAAAACGCTTTTTTATCAAGTTTTTCTTATGGATGAGCTTATAAAAATTATTGACTAGCATGTCTCCTATAGTGATCTCTTTTGCAAGCTTCAGTGGCCCCTGTAGGGATCTGTGAAGGGGTCCCTAGTTAAGACCCTCCAAGTGCCCCTATAGGGACCACTCTGGAGTTCCTAAGTACGAATTTATACCAAAACCATCCATTCTTCCGAAAAAGAACCTGCACATCTAATACCTGTTCCAAAACTTCAATTTCCATAAACTCATCAAATTATCTTCTAATGCATCACAATCATTTTTGCCATTATTCGTCAAGGATCCGATCCAGTGACCCTTAGATCCAGAATAAAACTCACTAATGCCACTCAAAGACTTCCGGAGGGTTTCCGACGCCTGAACGGGATGAAAATCCGGCGAATCCGGTCCGTAAACGGTGCCTCGGAGATCGTCGTACTGTAAAAAAAATCGTAAAGCTTCTGGGTTACGGTAGTGCGGTTACTGTACATTCTATTTAGGAGTGCTTTATGAGAAAAATAAAGGAAGAATCGAAATATTTCAAGCGAAACCTAGAAATACATGTAAATTTGGCTAGATTTCACAATATTCAGCCCGTTTTTTGGTATTTTTCGGACTTAAAATTCATTTTTCTCAAGAAATTTTAAGATTTTCATGATCCATTTCATGTCTCCCTCATACATATAGAAAAAATAAAGGTCGAAATTGCTTTTTTCTTACATGTTTATAGCTGAAAAACACCATTTTTACACGATTTTATAGCCAATTTCAAGTCCCACTTACAATTTGGAAAAATAGAGGTCAAAATTGAGATTTTCAGGATTTTTCGCTACAGTTTGTGAGCTGAAAAAGATCATTCTTACACCATTTTTTTTTCGGCAAATTTCGAGTTTCAAAAAAAGGAGAGCTCCAAATTAACATTTTCAAGCTTCTTCATACATTTCGATAGCTGAAAAACACCATTTTTACACCATTTTATAGCCAATTTCAAGCCCCAGTTATAGTTTGAAAAAATAGAGGTCAAAATTGAGATTTTCAGGATTTTTCGCTACAGTTTGTGAGCTGAAAAAGATCATTCTTACACCATTTTTTTTTCGGCAAATTTCGAGTTTCAAAAAAAGGAGAGCTCCAAATTAACATTTTCAAGCTTCTTCATACATTTCGATAGCTGAAAAACACCATTTTTACACCATTTTATAGCCAATTTCAAGCCCCAGTTATAGTTTGAAAAAATAGAGGTCAAAATTGAGATTTTCAAGCTTTTCCCTACGTTTCTATATCTGAAAAACACCATTTTTACACCATTTTATGGCAAATTTCGAGTATCTCTCATGAAATTTGTAAAATAAGGTCAAAATTGAAATTTTCAAGCTTTTCCCTACGTTTCTATATCTGAAAAACCCCATTTTACACCATCTTAAACCAAATTTCACAAGAAACTCTAAAAATCAATAAATCCGCACCTGACTCTCGTACATTTGGTACATCATGGGCATGTTGAGTTTGCTCCGGCGGCTTTGGTGGCTTCCCTCCGAGTCCAAAGACGAGCCGTTGGAAAGGGCCTGAAAAATGAGGGTCTTGCGATAAAATTCGTGAAGAGGAGAGTACATGGGGACTGGGAAAACTTGGAAAAACGGTTCATCGAGTGAAATTTCAGTTCAAACTCCAATGAAAAATCAACAAATCGTTTAAAAACGTTCATAAAACTTTGAATGAAACGCTTCTATTACGAAAATTAGAAAAATCACCACTTCTCAGTCCAAATTCTTGATTAAAATCGAGTCCCCCCCACTTAAAAAAACAATTGAAATCAAATCTTTTGAATCTATTTCTACCCCCCTAAAAAAATGGTTGAGATCAAATTTCATCGTCCCTAAAAAAATAAAAAAATATTACAAGTCCATTTTCACCCCCCCATAATAATGGTTGATATAAATTCCCCCGAGAGAAGAGAAAAAAACCTTCATTCGCGTGACCGAATTTTTTTAAACGTGAGGGCGTATTTCATCGCAAAAAAATATAGTATTGATGGGTTTTAAATATATAAAATGCCTTCAAATTTTCATATCATTCACCTTTTTGAACTTTTTAGTTCAAAAATTCATCTTTTAAACTTTAAAAATCATGAAAAAAACATTTTCTTAAGCTTCTAACGCACAATTGACTGGAAAAAAACCTCTAATAACTGGATTTCAATGATCCAAAAATCTACTACGTATTAATTTAAAGCTTTCAAAACTGAAAAATCGAGATTTCTTACAAGCTAACCGTACTGAATCTTTAAAAATCAACCAGAATGATGAAAATTTTGAGTATTAAGGTTCAAAGTCCAGAAATGCTCAATTCAGAGCCAGGAAACTCTGAGAAAAAAAAAGTCGAGACTCGGAAAAAATGGAAACAACCGAAATTTTCGGACTATCGTTGAAGTACCTAAACTCCACTGGTTAAAAGTTCGAAATTGCTCAATTAAGAACCAAAAAACTTCTTAGAACCCTTAAAAAGGCCTGAAAACTTGAAAGTTTGAGCTTTTTCAAATATTTTGAGAGATTTGCATCTCGAAAGAATGATTAAACCGGTTCAAAGTCCAGAAAAGCTCAATTTAGAGCCATAAAAACCCCTTAAAGCCCTCAAAAAGACCTTTTTTTTATTTTGAAAAAAACCCAAAAAAGTTATGCGACTCGGTAGAAATGGAAATTATCCAAAATTTTTAGACTATCACCTCAACTAAACTGGTCGAAAGTCCAAAAATGCTCAATTAGGAGCCAAAAAAAGCTCGTCAAAATTTGGGAAAAAACCTAAAAAATTCGCAAAACGATCAACATTGAAATACCTTAACTCAACTAATTCAAAGTCCAAAAATGCTCAATTTAGAGCCGAAAAACCCCTTAAAACCCTCAAAAAGACCTTTTTTAACTTTGAAAATCACCCAAAAAAGTTTTGCGACTCGGTAAAAAAATGGAAATTATCAAAAATTTTTTTAGACTATCACCTCAACTAAACTGGTTCAAAGTCTAAAAATGCTTAAATTAGAGCCAAAAAAAAACCCTTCACAAGTTCGGAAAAGGCCTAAAAAATTCGCATATCTAGTAACACTGAAAAACCTTAACTCAACTGGTTCAAAGTCCAAAAATGCTCAATTTGGAGCCGAAAAACCCCTTAAAACCCTCAAAAAGACCTTTTTTAACTTTGAAAATCACCCAAAAAAGTTTTGCGACTCGGTAAAAATGGAAATTATCAAAATTTTTAGACTATCACCTCAACTAAACTGGTTCAAAGTCTAAAATGCTTAAATTAGAGCCAAAAAAAAACCCTTCACAAGTTCGGAAAAGGCCTAAAAAATTCGCATATCTAGTAACACTGAAAAACCTTAACTCAACTGGTTCAAAGTCCAAAAATGCTCAATTTGGAGCCGAAAAACCCCTTAAAACCCTCAAAAAGACCTTTTTTAACTTTGAAAAAAAGTCTCAAAAAAGTTCGCGACTTGGAAAAAATAGAAAAAAACCAAAAAAATTTGGACTATCATTTAAAAATCTCACCTAAACTGGTTCAAGATCCAGAAAAGCTCAAGTTAGAGCCTAAAAAACTCGTCAAAATTTCGAAAAAGGCCTAAAAAATTCGCTACTCGAGTAACAAAAAAAAACCTTAACAAAAATGGTCCAAAGTCCAAAAAAGCTCACTTAAGAGCCAAAAAGAAGTTTTTAGACTATCATTGATATACCTTAACTCAACTGGTTCAAGGTCCAAAAATACTCAATTTGGAGCCAAAAAAAAAGCCCTAATAACAAATAAACAACTGCGAGGAAATGACGAAACACTAAGAAGTACCAAGAATTAGGAGCCGCGAAGGTTGCCATTAGACTTTCGTTTCAAGTGAAGCGCGAAGGAAGGAGGAAATACGCGCATCGAATTATCGAGAATGAGTCAACAAAACCGCCAAAGGATTCCTTCGGAAAAAGAGAACTAATCCTACAATCTGGAGGCGAATCGACGTTTAACTACAACTCCGGCTTATAGGCGGATTTTTCGAGCAAATCTGGGAAAATCGTCGATTTTTCGTCTGGGGACTTTTGAAGGCGAAAGGGATGATGATTTTAAACTAATAAATAATCTTCAAAATACTTATGGTGCATTTTTCGTATGTAGAAAATGAACTTTAAAAGCGGAAAGGACAAAATATTTAAAAGGAACATGACGCGTTATGATTTTGAATTAATAAATCATCTTCCAAAACACCTTTTTGAATACTGAAATGATGCCAATTGCGCAAGCCGTTTTTGGTCGGGCGCAACTTAATATAAAAGCTTTAAAGCTACTATGGACCTTAAGACGTTCTGAAAAGATAATCGTTTTTTGATTAAAAAACATTTTTGAGTAGTGAAATGAGCTTCAAAGATGCCAAATGCGCAAGCCGTTTTTGGTCGGGCGCAAACTGATTTACGAGTTTCAGAGCTTTCATGGATCCCAGGACGTTTTGAAAAAATGATAGATTTCGAATAAAAAGCCTTTTTGAGTAGTGAAATGAGTTTCAAAGATGCCAAATGCGCAAGCCGTTTTTGGTCAGGCGCAACCTGATTTAAAACTTTCAAAGTCTCTATGGGCTTCAGGAGGTTTCAAAAAGATGACCGAATTTCGACTGAAAAATTATTTTGAACAATGAAATTATTTTTAAATATGCCGAACGCGTAAGCCGTTTTTGGTCGGGCGCAAATTAATTTAAAAGCTTTAAAGCTACTATGAGCCTCAGGACGTTTCAAAAAGATAACCGCTTTCTGACTGAAAACATTTTTAAATATTGAAATGAGTTTCGAAGATGCAAAATGCGTAAGCCGTTTTTGGTCGGGCGCAAACTGATTTACGAGTTTCAGAGCTTTCATGGATCCCAGGACGTTTCAAAAAGATAGTCAAGCTCGTAAATTTATCAAAAATTCAAAAGTTCAATCCCAAAAGCTCAATATATCACCCCTTAATGTACTAAACGATAAAAAACGGCTCAAAATTCTCGAGAAAATCGGAATATTTCAAGCTCGACTGTGCCGTTTTGGAGCCTAGAAAGATCGAAAAGGCCAGTTTCAAAGAACCAAAGTGATAAGGAAAAATGGGAGGTGAAGCATAAAGTAAATGGGGAAGAAGCTGAAGAAGAAGATTGATATCATCCATTCGAAAATTCTTCTCGCCCCCAAAATGCTCGGCCGCCAGTCAACATCGCAACGGAAGTCTTGTACGGGGGGAATCGCATCCGACATTTTATTATGAAATTTTTCTTCATAAATGACTAGATATTCTTTTGATGCTTCAAGTTAGCCAATTTAGAATCGGAATTAAAGTTTCAGACAAAAATTGATCATCTCCTACAGCTTAGAAGTCTCAAGGATTCGCTTCCGAGCCTGGGGAATCGATCCAAAATTTTTCTTAACTGATCAAAAAGGGTTTTGACGTTTTAGTGGAAACTATGGTAGTCAAATTAATAGCCAGGGTTAAAAATTAGTGGCCACTTTAGGGTTTTGACGTTTTAGTGGCCACTATAGTAGTCAAATTAGTGACCACTTAAGGGGTTAAAAATGGCCACTTTAGAAGTCTAAGTGCTACTATTAGACAACTAAACATTTTAGTGGCCACTTTAGGGGTCAATGGATCAACATAACCGGTCCAATCTGTTCGTTTTAAAATAATCAGAGTTACTGGAAGGAATACTGGATGAAAAACTACTGAAGTGGCAACTAAATGGAAAACAGTGGCCACTATAGAGGTGGTTTTAGTGGCCACTTTAGTGTCATCTTCAAGTAGTCATTGGCGAGCCTCTATAGTGGCCACTAGAAATTTTCCCAGTGAAAGGACGTCACTCAACTTTTTGATTGGGAAATTTCTGAAAAATGGCCAGAAAACTTCTTGATGAACCATATGAAGATTCTGAAAGTCTCAATCTTCAAAACTTCCTAGTTTCCGAGAAACGACTCCTCAAAATCCGTAAAAACAGGCCATTTTTGGGATTTCAAGCCCTCGTTTCTCGAAAACTAGGAAGTTCTATAGATTGAATGTTTCAGGACCTTTTTCTGGTAAATCAAGGATTATTCTAACTGGTCCAATCTGTTCGTTTTAAAATAATCAGAGTTACTGGAAGGAATACTGGATGAAAAACTACTGAAGTGGCCACTAAATATAGAACCTCTATAGTGGCCACTAAAACGGAATGTAGTGGCCACTAAAGAGGTGGGTTTAGTGACCACTTTAGTGTCCTATCCAAGTAGTCCTTGGCGAGCCTCTATAGTGGCCACTAAAAATGCTACAAAGTATACTAAAAATCAGCTATAAATTTAAGAGAAAGCAGCCAAAATCGTACAAAAAAAGCTTGAATTCGAGAAAAGGCGTCTTAATCCAAAAAGCTGTCGGGAAGATGAAAACTAGTCTTTCTAAGCTTGAAAAAAAAAGCTTTCCCCACACTTGGACCATTACAATGATTGCATAGGAAAGGAGGGAAATAATTAAATTGCTTGATTCGTTTCGAAAATCTGTTACTTTTTGAAGATCATATTTTTGAGATTCCTAAGCTTCTTCTCACGATAGGAAAATATAACTCGAATTTTAGAAACCTAAAAAAATCGGCCTAATTTTGGGAGTGTTAAGAAATGTTAAAAATCAAGGCTTAAAGCCTTCTGAAACACTTATTACATTCTAAAAACCTGAAAAATGCCTCAAAAACCTAGAATCAAGTCAAAAAACCTCCAAGACCCACCATTTCAGACGTCCGGCTCAGGAAAAATACCAAAAACCAAAAAACTTCAGCCTCAGATATCAGGTTTGTGCATAAGTGATGAGATTGGTTTTTGATGCTATTTTCGATGCCAGAGTTTGAAATTCTTAGTATCTCAATAAGATGTGGCCAAGTATTTATTATTAGCAGCAACTTTTTCCATTTGGTGATAAGATTCAAAAGGTGAAGGATAAAGAACAAATTTTTTAACAGGTTACTTCTGGGATGAGTTTTTAGCCTTGCAAGTAATTAGCAGGTGGGAAAAACTTAAAAAGATCTTTTTTTATTTTTTTGATTTAAAAAAATTTTTGAACTCATTAAAGGCCAATTTTTCCAGTCATATGTTGATAAAAAAAGGTCTATAAAGCCTGCAATTTTTCAAAATTTCAACGTTGAAAGTGAGAAAAACAACTGAAACTTTGACTTGAACAAACTTATCGTTTGAAAAAATATGAGAACTCCGTTTTTATTTTTAAAAGTTTAAAATAGTTTTGGATGTCTGAAACCTTCAAAATTCGTGCTCAAAAGGTTTACTTTTGAAATTTTTTTTAGAAAATTGGCTTAAAACACTTGGAAAGGGTCCCCTAGATCCAGAAAATTCCAATCTTCAGAGTTTAAAACGAGCAAAACCTTAAGAAATCGGCCATTTTGATCTAGGGAACGAAAAAACTTCTTGTAAAGTTAAAAATTTTTGAATTTTCGACGCAAAATGTGATTTTTAACAAACCATAAATCTTCGAAATTGGCCTAGTGACTAACCCAACCGAGAACTCCACCCTAAACCTCTAAGACCTTTAAATAAGCCCTTAAAAGCCCTAAAAACCTCCAAAAATCCACCACCGTGACGCGCTTAGTAACGGTAGGAAACGAGGAATATTCTTGTAGAATCTTGGAATTTCGACGAAAAAAATGAGACCTAACGACTAACCCCCCCTATTACGAAAAATTCGCCACAAAATGAAACAACCTAATGACTAACTTAACCTGGATTTCTATCCTAAACCTCTGAAATCTTCGAATAAACCCATAAAATCCACAGAATCCTCAAAAACCCACCATCGTGACGCGCTTGGTAACAACGATAGGAAACTATGAACCTTCTTGTTGAATCTCGGATCTTCGACGAAAAAGGAGCTTCAACGACTAACCTAACCGAGATTTCCACCCTTAACCTCTAAGCTCTTTAAATAAGCCCTTAAACTCCTAGATCTTAAAGCCCCCCCTGACGCGCTTAGTAACATCGATAGGAAACTAGGAATATTCTTGTAAAGTCTTGGAGTATCGACTAAGAAAGAAGCCTAATGACCAACCTAGCCAAGAACTTTCTCCTAAACCTCTAATGTCTTTAAATAAACCCTCAAAACCCCTTAAAATTACGCAACCCACCTCCCCCCTTGACAAAAAAGGAGACCTAATGACTAACCTAACCTGGAGTCCTATCCTAAACCTCTAAAAAAACTTCAAATAAACCCATAACACCCTCAAAATCCACGCGAATTCCCCCCGCCCATTTTGAAAAATTCGCCGTAAAATGAAACAACCTAGTGACTAACCTAACCAAGAGCTCCATCCTAAAACTCTAAGGTCTTTAAATAAGCCCCTTAAAAACCCGTCAAACTTTTCAAAAACCCACCACCGTGACGCGCTTCGTAGCGGCGAGAGTCATCGCCGTCGTCGTTGTTTTCATAAAACTTCTAATAAGGTAAGTGATAATAGACTATAGCAAAAAGGAGTTAAGGTGAGTTGAATAAAGGGGAGAATATCAGGCGGCGTTGTCGACGTCTGAATGCTGTCTAATAGGATAATCTCGAGGCTTATCTAAGCATTCTTTCTTTTTTTTTCTGCCTTTTTTGTTCGTTGATCATGGGGGAGAGCAGCAGAACAATGGGATTCCAGTGCTTTCGTCACAAATCTTGGAGATTTGCCAAGGACAGGGCTTTAAGCGGGTCGGCCTGGAGAGTCTTGTGGGGCCGGATGTTTCACATATTTGGGTTAGGAACTTTCAAAAAGCGTTTTTTTAGTGTTTTCATTATTTTTTTCTAGCCAAGGAAGGATCCAGGGGCCAGAAGGTCATAGAAGGTCCCAAAAAAGTCCCATTTTCTTCAAAAAATACGCAACACTTCTCAAAACTACCAGTCCTATACTTCGCTATCTATGACTTGAAATGCATTAACCGCATGTAGAATGGCTCAACGCGTCGCGGCCGCGTTGCGGATGGATCTGTCCTCCAGTTCGTTCCCAAATAAACTTTCTCAAAGTGTTTTTCATTTTTTAAATTTTCAGCCAAGGTCCGAAAAAGGCCTAAGGCCCCAGAAAGTCCCAAAAAAAGTCCGAATCTCTTCAAAAGTATACGATAGATTCCACTGCTGCGATTACTATACTTCATAGGCCCCCTAAGGTCCCAAAAAAGTCCCAATCTCTTCAAAAAAAAAAACGCAAAACTTCCCACTGCTGTCAGTTCTATTCTTCATATGCCCCGGAAGGTTTTCTAAAGCCGCAGAAAGTCCCAAAAAAGTCCCAATCTCTTCAAAAGTATACGATAGTTTCCACTGCTGCCAGTTCTATACTTCATATGCCCCGGAAGGTCCCAAAAAAGTCCCATTTTTTTCAGAAATCCGCAAAACTTTTTACTGCTGCCAGTCCTATACTTCATAAGCCCCGGAAGGTTTTTCTAAGTCCCCAGGAAGTCCCAAAAAAGTCCCATTTTCTTCGTAAAAATACGCAAAACTTTCCACTGCTGTCAGTCCTATACTCCATATGCCCCGGAAGGCTTTTCTAAGTCCCCAGAAAGTCCCAAAAAAGTCCCATTTTCTTCGTAAAAATACGCAAAAGTTCTGATGCCAGCACTATAACTAATTATCTATAACTTGAAACTCATTGGCCGCACGTAGAATGGCTCAACGCCTCGCGGTCGCGTTGCGGATAGACCTGTCCTCCAGCCGATTTTAATGCTTTTATATGCACCAATGAGCCAAGTCGTTTTTGGTCGGGCGCACTTTGAAATGACCGATTTTTTCTAAATATTCTCAACAAAGCGCACAGAAAACCTTTTGCCAAACTACACTGAAACACGAAAAAAACAAAAAAACTTCCAGGAAATCTAAAAAAAAAAGTCAATGGGAAGCCTCGAAAACTCGGAAATTCGCTGCTGCGTCACAACATTAAAACATCAAGTCGTTGGCTTCTTTCCGGCAATATATTTTTTGTCATCATCTACGAAACGAAACATTTCATACGCTTGTTTTGCGTCAAAAAACAAGCAGAAAAAGATATTTTTTTGGTGAAAAAATAAAGGAATCCGTTGCAATTTTGAGCTCTTCGAGACTTTGAAAAATCGGAAGTCAAAAAAAACGTTTCTGAAACTTTTCTCACTGCTTATTTTTCATCAAAACTTCAATTCCAAAGCTAAAAAACTTTTTCCAAGCATTTGCTCAGAAAACCTGAAATCTTACTTTTTTTCAAAGATACCGTACCTCATAGCCTGCAGATCTAACTCTCAAACCATTCCAAAGACATCTAAAAATTCTATGGTAACTGAACTTTGTTTTCACAACTTTTTGACAGAAAAAATGAATGAATCCGTTGCAATTTTTGAGCTCTTTGACTTTGAAAATTCGGAAGTCAAAAAAAACTTTTCTGAAACTTTTCTCACTGCTTATTTTTGATCAAATTTTCGATTCAAAAGCTAAAAAAACAGGTTTTTCCGACTTATTTGCTCAAAAAACCGTACCTCACAGCCTGCAGATCTAACTCTCAAGCAATTCCCAAAAATCAAAAATTTCTAGGGTACCTGAGTTTTGTTTTTTCTCGTGTAAACTTCAACATACCAGCTTGAAAAACTCATTTTACGGTTTCAAGTGAATTTTCCAGCTTCATCCCACAAAAATCACCAAAACTACGGTACCACCTAACCTGCACATCTAAGCTCATACACTCGAATCGCTTTGAAAAATCATTTTTCGCGACTTTTTGGCAAAAAATATAGGAATCCGTTGCAATTTTTGAGCTCTTGGACACTTTGAAGTATCGGAGGCATAAAAAAAAGGTTTCTGAATTTTTCTCAAAACTTTGATTCAAAAGCTAAAAAAAACAGGTTTCTCCCACGTATTTCCTCAGAAGGCCTGAACATCTTACTCTCTTCAAAGATACCGTACCACAAACCTGCAGATCTAACTCTGAAACCATTCCAAATAATCTCAACATTCAGATACCTAAATTTAGTTTTTCTCGTGTAGAATTTAACAGATTTCATAGTTTCAAGTGAAATTTCCAGATACCGTACCTCATAGCCTGCAGATCTAACTCTCAAGCCATTCCAAAAAGTCTCAAGATTCTAAGGTGTCTAAATTCAGTTTTTCTCGTGTAAACTTCAACTTACCAGCTTAAAAAAGTCAATTCACTGTTTGAAGTAAATTTTCCAGCTTCATCCCACAAAAATCACCAAAACTACAATACCACCTAACCTGCACATCTAAGCTCATACACTCGAATCGCTTTGAAAAATCATTTTTCGCGACTTTTTGGCAAAAAATATATGAATCCGTTGCAATTTTTGAGCTCTTGGACACTTTGAAAAATCGGAAGTAAAAAAAGCGTTTCTGAAACTTTCTCACTGCATAAATTTGCTCAAGACTTTGATTCAAAAACTAAAAAACAGATTTTCCCCACGAATTCCCTCAAAGAACCTGAAAATCTTACTCTTCGCAAAAATACCGTACCATAGCCTGCAGATCTAACTCTTAAGCCATTCCAAAGACATCTCAAAATTCTAAGGTACCTAAATTTAGTTTTTCTCATGTAAACTTCAACATGCCAGCTTGAAAAACTCATTTTACGGTTTCAAGTGAATTTTCCAGCTTCATCCCACAAAAATTACCGAGCCTGCAGATCTAACTCTCGAACCATTCCCAAAAAATCAAAAGTTTCTAGGGTACTGAATTTTTGATTTTCTCGTGTAAACTTCAACAGATTTCACAATTCGAAGTGAATTTTCCTGCCTCATCCCACAGAAATCCCGAAGACTACAGTACCCCCTAACCTGCACATCTAAGTTCATACGATCATTTTTCCTAATTTTCTCTCACCACAAAGGTCGCTGGTTCGACTCCTCCCTTCGTTTTTGCCAAAACTAACCCGATATTTGCGTTGCTCGGTGCTGGTTTCGATTGGCGATTTCTCGATTTCGACCATTTCTGAAACGAAAATTTTACTTTTTCGAGAAAAATAAGCTTCGAGAACTGGAAAGCAAAGTGTTACGTAGGAAAACCTATTCAGAAAGGGGAAGAAAAATGGGCGGAGCTTGACGGGGGGATAATCCCAACAAAGATCCCTTTATGGCAAAAAAGGGAATTCAGGAGTGCAGAAAAAGTTAATTTCCTTTGTTTAATGGGACGAAAAAAATGAGCTTTTCTATTTCGCATTGATTAAAGTTCATAACGAATGTCGTCATGTTATAAAAAAGGGTCCAAATTTAAGTAAATGTCAGGTAAAAAAATTCCCATGAAGTGAAAAAAGCTAAATTTCAATATACCAACTCAAAAATCATCAAAATTTCAATGGGATATCGGATTTTCTTGAATTTTTTTTGGTCAAAATCATTCTTTCAGAAAAGATTCAAAAATGCCTTCAGAAACCTTACTGGAAAGATTTTTAGTGGCCACTATAGGGTTTTGACGTTTTAGTGGCCACTATAGAGGTATAAATGCTACTACTAGACCACTAAAAGTTTAGTGGCCACTATAGGGTTTTGACGTTTTAGTGGCCACTACAGTAGTCAAGTTAGTGGCCACTTAGGGGTTAACAATTAGTGGCCACTATAGAGATCTACGTGCTACTACTAGACTGATAAAAATTTTAGTGGCCACTTAAGGGGTCAATGGATCAACAGAACTGGTCCAATTTGTTTGTTTTAAAACTATCAGAGTTACTGGAAGGAATTCTGGATGAAAAACTACTGAAGTGGCAACTAAATGGAAAACAGTGGCCACTATAGAGGTGGTTTTAGTGGCCACTTTAGTGCCCTCTCCAAGTAGTCCTTGGCGAGCCACTAAAAAATATTCCCATTACAATGAGGTCATTTTACTTTTGTGATTGGCATTCTCCTGAAAATTGGCCAGGACGCTCCTGGATGTACTAGAAAAAATCTCCGAAAGTCTCAAGCTTCAAAATTCTCTAGTTTCTGAGAAACGACTCCTCAAAATCCGTAAAAACAGGCCATTTTTGGGGCTTTAAGACCTCATTTTTAAAAACATTGAGGAGTTGTGAAGTTCAGGCTCATTTTATAGTACACCCAAAAAAAAAATTCAAGGTATTCCCAATCGCAATGTAAAACAACTTAGTGAAAAATCAAGTTTCTGACATACGATCCCTCAAAACACGTAAAAACAGGCTATTTTTTGAATTTGAGCCCTGGTTTTTCGAAAACTAGAAATTTCTACAGAATGAAACTTTCATTTCCTGGTACATCAAAAAATAATCTGGCCAATTTTCAACTTCCCTTTAAGGTAATCAACACTTTTCTATTAAAAGACTCTAGAAACATCCGAAATAAACAAAGCCTAATCTATTTACTAACAATGATAAAAATGTCTTGAGCCTATAAACGTGTCGAAAATGGGTACAAATCCGGTCTTTGGCTTCCCTCGCCTTCATTTGTATGCATTCATATGCGAGTCAACACAAACATTCTTAACAATTCTAGAAAAACTGATCACTTCTTAATAAAAAAAATATTATGATAGATCTTTGATTGGTTCAATTATGCTATAAAGTCGGCCGAAATTTCGATTCTCATTTAATTTTTAGCTTGTAAGCCTTAAAAAGCGGAAAAATCCGAAAAACTCCATTTTTCGGCTTCTTCACCTTTCTTGTACATCATATTTTGGTTTCACCTTTGAAAAATTTTTTTTCTCGAGCTTCAGCTCAAAGAAAAGATTGAAGATAACTGGAAAAATGCAAAGAATCTCAAATATTTTAAACATAATCTACAGGAAAAGGACATAAATATCACAAAAAATAAGCAAACTTGCAAAACAGAAGAATTAAAAATTTTCACATCCTATAAAATTTCACTTTCTGAAGCTAAAACCCTTCTCAACTTGATTTATAAGCTAGGAACTTCCCTACATCTAATGAAAAGAGGCCAAAAATAACCAAAAACGCGTCAGAAAATCTGTTTATGAGTATGAACAACTAATTTAAAGGTATAACAGATTCGTAAGCTTATCAATTTTTTTTTGGCCCTTTAAAAGAATACTAATCGAAAAGCTCAAATCTTCAGCTTCACTGCATAGCTAAGAAATAAGGTCAGAATCCGAGCTTTTTTCGAGATTTTGAATGAAAAAGCAAGCTTCATTTGGAAATATCAAAATTCACGAAATGGACCGAAAATATCTTGAATAATTAGTTCGAGCGTGTGGATAACATTTCAGGAGGGGGAGGGGGAGGTCTATAATTTCGATTTTTAAAGCCAAAACTCTTCTAAACTTTATGTATAACCTAGGAACTGCTCGTCTGTCTACACCTAATGAAAGAATTCCAAAAATAGCCCGAAATACGTCAAAAAAAAGCTCGTTACGGGCGTAAAAATAAGCAAAAAAAAAGGCAGGCGGGACGGGGGATGTGTTTCAGACAATTCAGGAAAGAGGGGGTCTATAATTTTTATTTTTGAAGCTAAAACTCCCCTTAACTTCAAGTGAAACCGAGCAACTTCTCGTCTGTCTAAACCTATCTCAGGAAGAGAGGAGGGGGGCGCTTTTTCAGACATTCCAAGAAGAGAAGGAGGTCTATAATTCTTCTAAACTTCGTTTATAACCTAGGAACTGCTCGTCTGTCAAAAACCTAATTCAGGGGGGCTTTTCAGACAATTCAGAAAGAGGGAGTGGCGGGGGAGCTCTATAAATTTAATTTTTTTGAAGCCAAAAAAATGCACTCAACTTTATGTAGAACCTAGAGACAGCTCGTCTGTCTACACCTATCTCAGGAAGAGAGAGGAGGGGGGCTTTTTCAGACAATTCAGGAAGAGGGGGAGGCGCTTATTAGAAATTCAGGGAGGGGGGATCTATAATTTCGATTTTTGAAGCCAAAAACTCTTCTAAACTTTGTGTATAACCTAGGAACCCCTGTCTGTCTACACCTATCTCAGGAGGAGGAGGGGGGTTTCAGAAATACCAGGAAGAGGGGGTCCAAATTTTAGATTTTTTTGAAGCTTAATTTTTTTTCTCAAAATGATGCATAACCTAGGAGCTGCCCGTCTGTCTACACCTATTGAAAATATTCCAAAAATAACCCAGCACACGTCAAAAAAGCTCGTTACGGGCGTAAAAATAAGCAAAAAAAGGCAGGCGGGAAACGGGGGATGATCCAAATTAGAAGACACTCTCGAACTCATAACAAACGCACATTTTATGTGTGTGAGCGGGGGAAATCTTTCGACGTCGCTAGGGCATCCGGTTAACAGATTATCCAACCCTTCAAGTCGCTACGGATACGGCTTCGTCTTGAGGAGCTTCCTCGTGACAAGCAACTTGCTATGAATCTTGGAAAATGGGTCCTTTTTACAGATACAAAGCTGGCTAAATTTTGAAAATTTGAGATTCCTCGAATTTCAACTAGAACTTCAAAATGAAGGGAAGAACTCACTAGGGAACGGGAACGTTTTTTTCACCCACCCCCGGTTGAACTTTTTGCTGAAACTTTGCTGAAGTGTACTTAAGAACCTTCTGATTACAGAAAAGAAAAAAAATTTCTCGCAATAGATTTGGTTTTCGAGTTAGGGCACTTCAAAAGCCCGAAATAGCGCTTTTTGGCCTAATTTGCGTATTTTGCACACTTTGAAGCTTCATTACTCGGAAACAAGATCTATTGCGAGAAATTTTTTTTCTGCAATCAGGGGGTCCTAAAGTACACTTCAGCAAAGTTTCAGCAAAAGTTCAACCTGGGGGTAAAATATTTTCCCTGGTCAGGAGAATCCTGGAAAAATGCTGAGAAAGCAATCAGTAGGTGTTTGAAAGGTAGAAAAAACCCATTGCGAAACTTCCAAAACCTTTCTTTTCCCTATCAATTCAAAATTGTCCTTTAAAGATGAAAATCTAGCTTTGACTTGAAGAACCCGGGCCAAAAATTCAGATCACAAGTCTCAAATTTGCGTTTTCCGTCACTGAAGCTCATTTCGTGACAAGTAACTTGCTCGAGATCTTGGAAAATGAGTCCTTTTTACAGCTAAAAAAATTTAAGATCCTTCAGAGTCCAATTAAAAATAAAATTGAAGGGAAGAACTCAGGTGAGTCCTGGGAGCTGTTCAGAAAGTCTTTGTAAAGTAAAAAATGAAAATTTTCTTCCAGAAGCCTTCCAGCAGGCTTCAGGGAGGTGAGAAGAGGCTTTGGGAAGCTGCCAATTTTCAACTAAGAAGAAAAAATCTTTTATCATCTTATCAGCTAGAAAAATTTCTCAAAAAAATTATTTTCTAACTTTTTTTGAAGTAAAATCTGGCTTTTTACTCCTAAAACGATCTATTTTCCTTCGAACAAGATCCTCAGCCAAAAATCACCAGATAAAAGGTCTCAAAATTGTTAAAAATCTGGGAAAATGGGTTTCACTTTACAGCGTAAAGCTGGCCTTTACTCTTTTTCAAGAGAAGTTCGTTTCTTGAGAAGTTCGTTCAAAAATTAATTTGTAAGAGAGAATTTTGAAAATTTTCCAAGCTTTCACCTGCTTGTAAGCTAGAAAATTCCTCATAATGTTCCCTCTACTTTTTATAAAAAAATTAAAAATAAACTTTGATTTAAAGAAACACAGCCAAAAATCCGATAACAAGTCTGAAAATTGCGCTTGTCTAAAATTTGATTTGTGACTTTTAACTCGTTGAAAACCTTGGAAAATGGGTTCATTTAAAAGCAGAAAAATGGCTAATTCTCAAAACTAAAAAGATTTTCTACAAAAAAAGTAAGTTGAAAATTAAAATTTTAGGTGTGGAAAAAAACCTATTTCGAAATTTTTTCGCGTCCTTACTCTACTAAAACTCCAGATTTTTTTTCCATTTTTTTCTATAAAGTTACTACTTGAACATGAGCATTATGGAGAATTAAATAAGAATAAAAAAGCTAAAGTCCAAGGAAAGAAGCCTTTCGTGACATGCAACTTGTTGTGTTCTGGAAGTTATTCGGCCATTTTGCAAGCGGAAGTTTTTTTTT